AATCCTCATATGAAGTAAGATCCAGGCATGATTGATAAAGTCCAGTTATTTATATGCAAGCAGCAAGGCACAGAAAATTAAAAAACACGAAATGGATTTCGTTCAATTCAAACAGCATGGAACTATTGGTTGCTGTAACCTTTCCTTAAGAAATATTTGGCTCTAAAAGATCCAGTTGCAAGATTCAGGCCAAAAAAGGATCAACTGCATTCTTACTTATTAGGAACTGCAACTGAAAACTGTTGATTTGAAAAATAATTTGAGAAATTGAAAACAAAAATCTTGCATGGAGGGATTTTAAAATCCCAATAAAATCTTTCATACAAGAGATTTAAATCAAAATCCAAAAAAAAAAATCCCTTTGAAAAAATGATTTAAATCAAAATCCTAAATAAGATAAAATACAAAAAATGAAGAAAGTCAGAAATTTCTTTGAAAACAATTATATTTAAAATGCAATAATTTACCGTGAATCAATTCGAATGATTTTTTATACATTTCAACACATTAAAAAGTTGTAAAAAGTATAATTGTGAACAGGGTGAGTGATTTAAATCAAAAATCAAAATCTTTTTGCAATGATTTTTAAAAGAGATTTTGATTTAAATCATTGCTGTATGGGGATTTTTTTTTAAGATTTTGATTTAAATCTATTGTATGGAAGATTTTATTGGAATTTAAAAATCCATCGATGTAAAATTTTTGTATTTAATTTCGCAAATTATTTTTCAAATCAACAGTTTTCAGTTGCAGTTTCTCAAGTAAGAATGCAGTTGATCATTTTTTGGCCACATTCTTGCAACTGGATCTTTTAGATCCAAGCAGTTCTTAAAGAAAGGTTACAGCAACCAATGGTTCCATGCTGTTTGACTGAAACGAAATCCAATTCTTGATTTTTATCTTCTGTGCCTTGATGTACGAAAGGAATCGGCCATTTCCGCAAAAAAATTTTGATTTCAAGAGGTGAATCTTTGATGAAAAAGCAACAAAAAAATTTTTTGTGGATGTAAAGGAACTAGGCAGTTCAAGTGCCTATTCTTGCTTATGACTCATTAAACTAACGTACTGTAATAAAAGATATTTAAGTTTTTGAAAGCATTGAAAGCAGGTAAATCCTCATATGAAGTAAGATCCAGGCATGATTGATAAAGTCCAGTTATTTATATGCAAGCAGCAAGGCACAGAAAATTAAAAAACACGAAATGGATTTCGTTCAATTCAAACAGCATGGAACTATTGGTTGCTGTAACCTTTCCTTAAGAAATATTTGGCTCTAAAAGATCCAGTTGCAAGATTCAGGCCAAAAAAGGATCAACTGCATTCTTACTTATTAGGAACTGCAACTGAAAACTGTTGATTTGAAAAATAATTTGAGAAATTGAAAACAAAAATCTTGCATGGAGGGATTTTAAAATCCCAATAAAATCTTTCATACAAGAGATTTAAATCAAAATCCAAAAAAAAAAATCCCTTTGAAAAAATGATTTAAATCAAAATCCTTTTTAAAATCATTGCAAAAAGATTTTGATTTTGATATTTGATTTAAATCACCCACCCTGGTTATAAATGAAAAAATTGTTATATCAAGCTTATTTCGTTCTTTAAATTCAAACAAATAAATTTTTAATATTAAATTAATATTTCTTCTCTAATAACCCGTGAAAAACATTTTTAAATGTTCCATACAATTATTTCATCCTTACAATCTTTATATGGAAAGGATTGTAAGAATTACAATCTTTACAATCCTTTCCATATAAGGATTGTACGGATTACAATCCCTACAATCCTTCTCATATAAAGATTGTAAGGATTGTAAGGATTGTACAATCTTTACAATTCTTCCATATGGATTGTGAAGAATTGTACAATCCTTACAATTCTGTTGGAGTGTCTGACCCTTGGTTGATCCTTTTTTGGCCTGAATCTTGCAACTGGATCTTTTAGAGCCAAATATTTCTTAAGGAAAGGTTACAGCAACCAATAGTTCCATGCTGTTTGAATTGAACGAAATCCATTTCGTGTTTTTTAATTTTCTGTGCCTTGCTGCTTGCATATAAATAACTGGACTTTATCAATCATGCCTGGATCTTACTTCATATGAGGATTTACCTGCTTTCAATGCTTTCAAAAACTTAAATATCTTTTATTACAGTACGTTAGTTTAATGAGTCATAAGCAAGAATAGGCACTTGAACTGCCTAGTTCCTTTACATCCACAAAAAATTTTTTTGTTGCTTTTTCATCAAAGATTCACCTCTTGAAATCAAAATTTTTTTGCGGAAATGGCCGATTCCTTTCGTACATCAAGGCACAGAAGATAAAAATCAAGAATTGGATTTCGTTTCAGTCAAACAGCATGGAACCATTGGTTGCTGTAACCTTTCTTTAAGAACTGCTTGGATCTAAAAGATCCAGTTGCAAGAATGTGGCCAAAAAATGATCAACTGCATTCTTACTTGAGAAACTGCAACTGAAAACTGTTGATTTGAAAAATAATTTGCGAAATTAAATACAAAAATTTTACATCGATGGATTTTTAAATTCCAATAAAATCTTCCATACAATAGATTTAAATCAAAATCTTAAAAAAAAATCCCCATACAGCAATGATTTAAATCAAAATCTCTTTTAAAAATCATTGCAAAAAGATTTTGATTTTTGATTTAAATCACTCACCCTGTTCACAATTATACTTTTTACAACTTTTTAATGTGTTGAAATGTATAAAAAATCATTCGAATTGATTCACGGTAAATTATTGCATTTTAAATATAATTGTTTTCAAAGAAATTTCTGACTTTCTTCATTTTTTGTATTTTATCTTATTTTTTAAAAATAAATGGACATTATTTTTTGTTTAGTAAGGATTGTACAATCCTTACAATCCTCATATAGAAAGATTGTAGGAATTGTACAATCCTTACAATCCTTATATGAAAAGGATTGTAGGGATTGTAAGGATTGTACAATCCTCACAATTCGTATGGAAGGATTGTAAGGATTGTACAATCCTTACAATTCTGTTGGAGTGTCTGACCCTTGAGATTTCCTCAATTTAATGTTCTGTACTCTGAGAAAATCGACAGTGAAAATAATATTTCTATAATTTTTTTGCAAAATATCAACTTTTACTATAATAAACTATATATATTCTGAAAGCTTATTAAAAATCCTATATAAATCAGTTAAGTTTAAGTTAATTAAGATTGAATTATATGACATATTTGCTTAAAAGTGATGAAAAATAGTAGCCATTTTGAATTTAAGAAAAATCGAGAAAACACGTGGTTTTGGTGGAAAATTTTTGAACATAAATTAAGAAAATCGTTAAAATTTTAGATTTCCATCTTAAAAAGTTACCATAACATACTTATTAACACATTTTATTGTCATTGAAAATTGTCCACACACTTTTGCACGTTATCGATTTTGAATATTTAACGGTTTTTTCAAATTACTTAATTATAGTACAAAATTTGTTTTGCATGTGAAATCTCATCAAAAATTAAATATGCTGTGAAAATTTGAAGTGATTTCGTTTAGTGAAAGATACTTTTTGAACGAAATTATTAAAAAATTTGTTCTGTCCACTCACTTTTGCACGCTACTGTAAGTGTTTTTGTAGCTGACATAATTATGACATAAATTAGGTATAACCTTTGAACTGTGTCGATATGGGTCTCGGGTACTTCACGCCCACCCTTCGAAATTATGCTGAGCAAATCTTGGTCTATCCATAAGACTTTTGATAGTACGGTGTGAATATATCCGCATTGGGTTTCTACCCGATACACTAGTTTCTAGTAAATATCATCAAAATTTTAAAAAAATGTATCAGATTGTACCGGATCTAAAAGCCTCTTCAATTTCTTTTTAAATACATCAACACTACTTTAAGCTTTCTAACAATACCAAAATTATTGCATATACTTAAGATTTACAATAGTTCTAAGCAAAAATGTCAAGCATAGGCTTTCAGATTCGGTACAATTTGATACATTTTTTAAAATTTTGATGATATTTGCTAGAAATTACATCTTTATATGACTTATTATATACCATTGGAAAGCTTTTTAAATGAACTATATGAAAATTGTAGATATGTTTTGATTTAAACTAGTTATAGTAGCTCTATTGAGCATTTATAGTTTCATAACATCATATATCACTTTTGCTTAAATTTTCAACAAAATTGTGTTTTTAATTAAAAACGTTTGTTGTGGATGTTAAGTACATTGCTTTTTGAATAAAACCTGAAAACTAGGAAACTTCAGGCTCATATTTTTAATCTTTCTTGCAAGTGATTCTTTTTTCTTATTGCATTAATTGATAGAGCATACTAAAGTCTACAAATTAATGAAATAAAATTTGGGAGCCGGACGTGGACAGTGGATCATAATTGAGAATAAAGCAAAAAATATGCAAATTTTTGACTTCAAAGTTAATTTTCACTACTCAAACTACATAAAATATGGAGATTATGTATGTGATGATTGTAGATATAAATTAGGTCTGCAATAAACTACAATCAAAAAAAAATAGAAAGCCTTATATAGTCATGAGGTCCAAAAAATGACAAAAAACCTAGTTTTTTCGACTTTTAGGAACCAAAAGTATATCATGTGGATATTCATAAGAAAGCTCTAACTTGTACCTATCAAATAAAAAATATTTGAAGACAAACGGATAAGTAGGTGAAGCACAATAGCATTTTAAAAATTACATGAAGTACAAAAATTCAAACCTTCTTTTCTCGAGGACCAGGCACTTCCAGGGAAAAAAATTATTTTTCCCATAAACCAGGGACCAATGTCTACAACATAAGCATATAAGCTGAATTTTTGACAAACTTTTCACTTTTTCGATCAACGTCGACTCTAGGGAAAAAATTTTTGAGAATATTTTACAGCAAATTTAAAGTATGGAATTGCCCTTATATGAATTTTTCAAAATTAGAACAAAAGATTAAGATTTTTGTCATAATTCGGAAAATTGAGCGGCATTGGCATTTTTAAATTTGTGCTCCTGTTGAGCTTTATTACTTCAACTAATTGTTATGTTGAAAATTGACAATCGAGTTGCTCAATTTTAAGCATCAAGTTTTGAGTCAAATGCGTGTTATGTGGGTGAATTGTAGCATACATAATAATCTTTTTGTTTTTTGTGACTACACTTTGTCCAGAGCCATTAAAACTGATTATTTGAATATCAATGATAATTATAAGCATAATTATAATGTAAATTGTTAATATTTCATTTCCAAGCACATATTTCGAACACATCTCACAAGCTCAGATTTGTCCACGAAAATAGATAGGTGCGTTGACACATGCGACGAAGCATAAATGTATAGTATTTTTTACTCGTTTAATTTGTATAAACTCCTTTGAAATTTTTTTTTAAAGTTAAATTTTTTAATGTAAAACCCACGTTAGAGTATTATAGTATAAATGATTACAAGCATAACTAGTGAATATGTCGAATTATTGGCAATTTATGTTTACAATGTTTAGTTTTGTAATAGTATTTTCATTAAAAATATTAGTTGTAGTATCACAGCAATCAAGTGTTTTAATTTCGTCTCAAGAATCAAAAAGTCGATATAATCAGAAGGAATATAATACTCAAGTTTCAAACACTAATCATCATAACAAATGCGAACCTATTTCGATACCTTTGTGCCAAGATATACAATTTTATAATCAAACCATCTTCCCAAACCTACTTAATCATGCTAGACAGGTATTGAACTACTTTATTTACAGTAATGAGTGCAAACAATAAATAAACTACCACTCGTTTAGATCATTTGTTATCAATTTATTTTCAATATATTCAATCAATAGGATGAAGCAGCATTGGAAGTTCATCAGTTTATTCCACTTATTAAGATTAATTGCTCACCAGATTTGAAATTATTTTTATGCTCATTATATGCGCCATTATGTACAATTTTGGAATATCCAATACCACCATGCAGAAAACTATGTGAAAGTGCACGAAATTGCGAAAAAATCATGAGAACCTTTGATGTAAGTAACTTGCTTGAGTGACTGAAAAATTATTTACTTGTAATGATGACAAAATAGTTTTTGGATTGTGTTCCATAAAGATGATAATCCTTTACATAGAAATGTAAGTGAAATGTTGTTTTATTTTATTTATTATGTCTTAGTTCCCTTGGCCGGAAAATCTCGAATGTACAAAGTTTCCAGAAGATGGAACTGACATTTGCATCTCTCCAAACATTTCATCCTCATCAACAGCATCAACATCACAAGACTCACAACATTTTAATTCTCAAATTACCTCTCTTGGAAAAGTCGAGAAAACTCCCATAAAAATTCAGAACACTACTGCCTATTCTCATCGTTTTAGAGGATTTATATGTCCAGTCCAATTAAAAGCACCAGCCGTCCTTGGATATGAAATAAATATTGGTGGAAAAGTCGTCAAAGACTGTGGAGCACCATGCAATTCATTATCTTTCGATGATAAAGAAGTAACGACATTGAGGTATATGCCAAACTATTATATCTATAAACTGTCATAATTTTTATTATCACACTTATCAATAACTTTATTTCTTCATTTTTTTTAGATATTGGATAAGTTTTTGGGCAGTTATTTGCGCGTTATGTTGTCTATTTACTGTAAATATAAACACTAGTGTTTTATTGTTTAGTGGAATTTTAATTTTATTTTTTTGCATAGATCTTAACTTTCATCATCGACTCGTCACGTTTTCGCTATCCAGAACGTCCGATTGTTTTTCTGGCAATTTGCTACTTAATAATCAGTTCTGCTTACATTTTTGGACTATCCGCTGGAAAGTCTGTCTCATGCCGTGAGCCATTTGTGCATGCGGGTCGACTGGGGCGTTTGCAGCTTATTCCAACAATCACCCAAGTGAGTTTATACTTTTATTTATGTCTAATTCAATCTCCTGACAAACTTTTATCATAGGGACATCAAAGCAGCCTATCATGTACTGTTTTATTCTTGATGATGTATTTTTGCTTGATGTCTGCCTTTACTTGGTGGGTGTTTTTCGCTTTATCTTGGCTTCTTGCCTCTGGATTTAAATGGTAAAAAAATATAATATTTATGCTCAAACGGTTTTTCTCTAATTGGGTTTTAACTAATATCTTAGGGGGCACGAAGCAATCGAATCCAGAGCGCACCTATTTCACTTAATAGCTTGGTGTCTTCCGTGCATTCAAACAATTTTTGTGCTGGCATTGGGAAAAGTTGAAGGAGATATTTTATCTGGTGTCTGCTTTGTTGGAACTCTCTCGAAGCATTCAATTGCAATATTCTTACTTATTCCATTGACTATATACTTAGTGCTTGGAACATTATTCTTCTCTGTCGGCTTTACAGCATTACTTAAAATTAGAACGATGATGAGGAATAAAAATGATGGCACTCGAACTGACAAATTGGAAAAATTAATGTTTCGCATCGTCTTCTTCAGGTAGCATTGTTTGTCTTTCGTTTTCGTAAGGAATATGTTTTAAAAAAATTAATTTCAGTATTCTATTTGTCATCCCATCGTTTATCTACATTGGATGCTTATTTTATGAGTGGATATACTTTGACGAATGGACTCTCCAGGTATATTTTAATGAGATCTATTCACGAAATCATCTAATTGTATGCTTAACATTTCAGTGGAATCGAATGACATGCAAGAAATTCTCAATTCCTTGTCCACCACAAAGTGCTAACGATGAATCGAAGCCAATTTTCGCAATCTTCATGCTTAAATATTTATGCTCAATGCATGTCGGCATAACATCAGGATTAACATGGTTATGCTCTAGTAAAACAATCGCAAGTTGGAAAGCTTTTATTGATCGCTTAAGAGGAAGGAAAGCAAGAAATTTTGTGTAAGCATTTACTTTATGTTTTAAATAAAAGAAATATACAAATTAAGCATTTTAATTAAACTAAAATTCATTCGTTTTATTAAAAGTTTATTTTTTTCTTTTTTGTAAGACAATTTTTCGATAAAGATTAAAATTAATTCACACTGATTAGGTAAGCTTCTTCGTCCTCAACATAAAATCATATAAACATAACGTTTATCGCAATTCTGATTTTTTTTTTTTGTAAAACTTGTGTGCATGTTTAATACGAGATCATGTTTTATTAATTAATTTAGGACAGAATTGTCTCATTTAATAACAAAAATCTTTGGTTTATGTGGCATCAAAAGTTGTTACTTGTTTTGATAAAGCATCTGTTTGACATACATAATGTTATTATTTGGTATTTGTTTTCTTCATATAGCATCTCGACATCAAGCATATACTTATTATTAATCTACAGACATACATTTTCGTCGGATTATCAATTTTTTAATCCATTGAACACACTTGCTAAACTCTCAATTTACTCCTAATATAAAATCATTGGTTTATTAGTTAAAATCAACACTTAATTAAATCCTTCGACTAATTGTTCAAGAATTTCTTCTACACTTTTCCGCCCTTCCTTGAAATTCTTCATTGATTCAAGCGGAACTGTCCATTCAAGAAATTCCTCAATATTTAATTTTAATCGTTCGGCTTCTGTGAATTTTTCATCTGTATAAACAGTTCGACCAGCGCAACGCAATGAATCTATTAGTATGTTGTCAATTAGACGTTTCTCAAAGCCCTGAGAAATTAATTTCTATTAGAATTAAGTAATTGAAGAAGAAAATTTATTTTCTTACCAACTCTTTTAACTTTGATTCCGAAGATATTTTCTTAATCAAGATTGTAATCAAAAGCCTCATTTTCTCAATTGGCATTACCGTTTCTGCATACCTCATTCCATTATTCGATTCACTTTCAGACGATTTTTCTCTACACGTTTGATAATGCTGTTGCAATTCTTGCTTAGTTTTAAAGAACGTTTTACATTTGCACATATATGGTAGACTTTGATGATGAATACTTAACATATGCTGAAAAGATTAATTGGGGAAAAAATATCTTCTGACATATGAAAGATTTTGCTCTTTTTTTCGTTTCTTCACTTACCTTTTTCAAATGAGGTAATTGTGAGAATGCGACTGCCGACTTGGTACATTCATCGATGGGACATCTTAAAAAAATTAAATTATTTAGACATACATACAGACTTGGTTAAATCGATCTTACCTAAAAGGTTTTTCACCCGTATGCTTAAGGTTTAAAATACAAAAATATAAGACATTATTCGATAGAACTTTATTACTTTATGAGAATCTTTTACTTACCTTTCGTATGTGAAGCTTCAAAACGGAAGAATGTGCAAATGCTTGATGACAAATTTGACACCTAGAAGTTGTACCTTTTGATTTCATTCTATTTATTAAACAATTGTTAAGACTCACCTATATGGACGTTCGCCGCTGAGTAAAAAGATTTTTAAAGATAATAATATTAATAGTGTAATTTATGGTCTAATTACTCGTGGAACACAGAAGGTGTTTCTTTATGTCAAATTTTGTCACCCAACCTATGGGTCCACCGTTTTAACCAAAAGCAATGATTTATATGTCAAAACTTAGTCAATTGTGGCGAAAATCTAACGGATTAAAAATGAAATCAACTTTATCTCTTCTATTCAAGACCAATTCATGCAAATTAAAGATAATAAAAGGTAGAAAATTGAGAACATAAAGTTTTTTCGTTTAAGCAGTTCTTGAGTAGTTTCATGCAATATTTATTATAAACTTGATTAATTTTAAAACGGATTTTTAAATAAAATTTTTTTATTGATAGTACCGGTCTTAATCTCTGAGGATATCTCAGCTATCCCTCATCTAGCTTTAAATCTTCAGGCATATGCTGAGCGAAGTTCAGTTAACCCAGCTTGCATTAAACCTTCAAACATATGCGTAGCTTAGCTAATCTGCTACGATGGGGGGGTAAAATCCCCGAAAGATATTAATTCCACGATCCTGCGGGATAATAACCCCGAAAATCGCAAATTTTTAAATGTTCCCTGCGGGATAATATTCTCACTTAGAAGTACACGTGGAATTATTATCCTTCCGAAAAGATAATAATCCCACCTATAATTACAAGTGGGATTATTATCTCCCAGGTAGATAATAATTTCACTTACATTTCTAAGTGGGATTATTATCTTTATGGAACACGATTAAAATTATGGATTAAATTAAATCCAAAAACTTATTTGTCATAGTTGATAATAATTCCACTTGTATTAATAAGTGGATTTATTATCTAATAGGATTTTCATCCAAAAAAATCCCACTTATTAATTTGTCAATTTCATTATTCCAAAAACTTAAATATGAAGAAAACATAAATATTGGTTGAATGTTTGCTTTTTAAAAATATATTATTCCAAATTGTTTGAAAAATAAAATCAAGGTGGGTTCAACTGATCTAAAGATGTTAGCTATTCCATATAAAATTATGTTCGAAATTCGCTCGAATGTTTAAAGAAAATGTAGCCGTAATTCCATTTTGTTTCGCTTCATTCATTCAACTGTTTAAAAATCACAGTTTTGTTCAAATGTTTAGAAGTAGATATGCTAACCTCTAATGGGCAAAATAATAAATTTTCGATTCTTTCCTGAAATTTTCCAAAAGTCATTCAAATAATTGTAAATTGCCCTTAACAAAATTAGATTTATAAATATAATCATAATATTTGTTTACACATTTTGCTAAGAAAAATGTAAAGATTTAAACATAAAAAGGACGCAAAATTAAAATTCTGTTGCTCAAATTCCTATTAAATAAACTAGAATTTTAAAATGATGGCAGTTCTGATGCTGTTTAACCGTGTCTACAAGCCCCAAGAAGGTTTCCAATGGTTTTAGAACATTTAAGAGATTTGATTGTTTATAATCTCAAAATTTCGAAATTATTCTGATTATTCAGGTATACAGGGTTACTTAAACAAACTGATGGCCACAATTTTATTGAAAATGTTCAGCAAATAATTAAAGTGATTCGTACAAAATTCAAACGTAATATTTTGTAAGTTCTTTCAAACGGTTTCAAACTTGAGCTCTTTTAAAGAAAAGCTTAAAATAAAACCTGTCAGAACTAGTGTATCGGGCAGAAACCCAATGCGGATTATATTCACACCGTACCATCAAAAGTCTAATGGATAGACCAAGATTTTCCCAGCATAAGTATGAAAGTATGAAGCAGTATGAAGCTTGATAAGTCAACTGAGCTTCGCTCAGCATAAGTTTGAAGATCTAAAGCTTAACGAACATTCTTTAAAAGTTTTTAAAAAAAATTTTTCATCCAAACTTGAATTTTATAAAAATCACAGTCAACTTTTGTTTTAAAAAAATTCGTAAGAAAGGAAAGTTTTTTGCTTTTTCTGAAGCAACGGCTGTTCTTACCTTGCCCAAAAACAAAACAGCTCTTCTATAGAGCAGCACGGATCAAATGTAAAAAACTAGAAGTCTCTACGATGTCTCGTTATTGAGATTTCTTGCTGATTAACTTGCTTGCTTGCTTGTTTGCTTATTTTCTTACAGAAAGCGTATTTTGCGATTTTCTCAGCAATGCCACAACCAATTTGAAATCTGTTTTTTGAAAATGATGTAAAATTTCAGGCACAAACTTTTCTTCTGTGACCTTTTATAACCCATTTTGCTTCGTTTTCTCAAAAAATGCGAAAAACTGATTTTTCAATCTGAACAAAACTAATAGATTCACACGTGAAAACTATGTGAATATAAAAAAATTTTATATCCTAAAATAGATTTTATATTCACACCGTATTCACTTTATTTTTGTTCAGCTTGAAAAACAGTTTTTCGCATTTTGAGGAAAAAAAGCAAATGGGCAAAAACAGAATTTAAATTGGCTGTAGCATTGATGAGAAAATCGCATGATAGGTAAGCAAACAAGCATCAAGGCAAGTAAATCAGCAAAAATCTCAATAACGAGGCATCTTAGAGACTTCTAATTATTGCATTTTGATTCTTGCTGCGTTAAAAAGGATAAGGCTTTATTTTTTTTATTGGGTAAGGTAGAAACAACCATTGCTTCCAAAAAAGCAAAAAACCCTGCATCCTCTATCCTGCATCACGTGAACTCAAATTTTGCCAATGACAAAAATGATAAAAACGTGATTTATTAGTTCCGCACGTTTTAAATTTTGAAAGCCTTCATTTCAAAACTATTTGCAAAAACAAAAAATTGAAAATTTTGTGTGAAGATGATTTCTTGAGTGAATAGATCTTTGATACATTAAACATCTAGGCTCTAGGGTTTTAAAAAAATTACAAAAGGCACAAAAACCAAGTTTTCAACTTAAACATTCAACCAATATTTATGTTTTCTTCATATTTAAGTTTTTGGAATAATGAAATTGACAAATTAATAAGTGGGATTTTTTTTGGATGAAAATCCTATTAGATAATAAATCCACTTATTAATACAAGTGGAATTATTATCTTAATAATATGTTCCATAAAGATAATAATCCCACTTGTAATTATAGGTGTATTTCTAAGTGAGAATATTATCCCGCAGGGAACATTTAAAAATTTGCGATTTTCGGGGTTATTATCCCGCAGGATCGTGGAATTAATATCTTAATATATTTCTTTTTTTGTATTCTATTTTATAATCTAAGCGGAAGCATTTGACTTTCTACGTAAGTCGTGTTTTTATTTTTCAATTTATTTTTTTTTTTTGACGGAATTTAAATGTGTGTACCTGTGGATTCTTTGATGAACAATCAATTGAGATCGTTGAGAAAATAAAGCCCCACATGTTAAACAACCATGAGTTTTGATCGCTTGATGTGTTCGCTGATGCTAGAAATGGTAAAAAAGCATTTATAATTTTAAATTTTATCGAATTAAGCATAAATTACCTGTGGCAAGTGACCTATAGAAAGCAGAAAAGGATTGAATAATGAAATGTTTGAATTCATCGTGAATGCTTTTAAAATCCTACCTTTGAACATTTTGTTACAAATGTTGCAGTGAAAAGCTTTTACATTTTCATGAAAACATGATATATGTTTTTTGAGAGCATCACGTCTGCAATAAAATTACAATTTAAATTCTATGATTTATTTCAAGCAACAAGTCGAACCTATAGAATGCTTTACTGCAAATATGGCATATGTAATCTCTCTCTTCCAAATGGCTCTGAAATTATTGATAGATTTAAAATAAAATCGTTTAATTTTCAACAAAGGACTTACTTTCAAATGAATTTTCAGATTTGCTAGACACGAGAACTGAAAAATTTATGAGATGAAATATTAATGTAACTGACAAAAATAGAGAAGGAATCATATTACTTTTGAGTCACAGTAATCACATTTGTATTTTTTTACACCCGTATGTGTAACCATGTGCTGGGAAAGTTGACCTCCGCTTTTTAAATAAATTTTTAACGAAGATTGGAAATCATAATCCTTTTGAATTAAATGGAAAAATTATGTATTACCGTGCGAAATTTTTGCTGCAAACGGAACATTTATAGGGCTTGTATCCTACAAAAATAACAATATTTTAATCATGTCTTTTAAGTTAATTACAAGCACAATATACCTGTATGAACTCGTAAATGTAGCCGTAATCTCTCTTTTACAGGAAACTGTTTACCACAGAGCTAATTCAAATTTAAATCCCTTTCTTTAGTTCCATATATTCTTTCTTAAATATCAATTTTTACTCACATCACAGTAGTAAATGATGTCCGTTCCATGCTGGGATGCTCTAAAGTCGTCATATCAAAATAGAAAATGGTGATAATACAGTAGAAGAAAATTCGTCTTATTACCTGTGATTTTTGAGACAACCGGCTTGACGAAATCTTTTTCCACATCCTGCTTCCGGACATTCATAAGGTCTCTAAAATTCAAAATTAACAATATAGCATAACAAAGATTGCAAGTGAGAGAGTTAAAAGTATATTTTCATACCTCATCACTGTTGAAAAAAAATTGAAAATGTATTCGTTAATAATTTTTAATTGAATCAACAGCTGAAACATGCTGCTTGAAAATCCGAATCTTTGAATCTTTTTCAGATAATCTAATGCCTGGAAACAGCCCACCCCTCCACTCTACATTTTTTATACACAAATCATTTAAAAATATAAAACAAAAATTCGGATTCATGCATTGTTTCAGGATAATGATCGCTACCTGTGGATGCGAATATGCTTTCTTAAATCGTTTAGTCCTATTTGAAATTAGAAAAAAAAATAATTTTTTGAAATGAAAGTACATATTAATTGATCCACCCTGACAAACTTCTTAACTAGCATGCAATCATGATCTGAAATAATGAATAATTCATTAACATCTAAAAATATATAACTGATAAGGACATGCAAATTGCTATTCTATTGGTTAAGGATAAAAAAAAAGTGTAAAAGATTAAGCCAGATTGGGGAAAAAAGTGTAGATTATTTGGTTCTGATTAAAAAGACGTACATGGAACACTTTATCAAAAGAATTAAATAGGAAAGTTAGTTTAAAGGAAAAACGAATAAGCTATACAATATATAGGATAGTAACAAATTGTTTGGGATGGGCTATGATGTATATCGCAATAAATAGCTTTTTTTTTCTATGTATATAAAAACAATAAATTTCTATGAGCAGTCACATTCTAAGTCTGTTTTTGAAAAAAAAAAAAATCAATCAAGCAAAAAATGTTTAATTAAGAATCACACGATGAAAAGACAAAATCACGATAAATAGTAAGTCATTAGCTACAAACCTTTAAAAACTTTTCCACAAATTTCACAATTATTAATTTTCTTTGGTTTTTGACAGGTTTCTGTCTTAACTCTTAGTTTAGATTTTTCGATTGCCTGAGCGCTAGATTTTTGACTTTTCTTGTTATTTTCATCTTTTCGTTTTTGCTGACTAGAAAGTCGTGTCGTGATGTTTGATAAGTTAGCATTAGAGGAAGACAATGATGCTCCCTTTTTATGCCGTTTTGAAGCCATTCAATTATAATTAAATTTTTGAAAAATCCCCCAAAAAGTTAACTTTCAAGAATTTTTCTTTAATTATAGCTAAAGTGTACTTAATCTACGCTACTTGCATTTCTCTATTAATGCCTTATCACCAGTTACTGTAAATAAATAACTTTAAACCACCATAATATAATTTTTTTGACAATTTTTTTCTGCAATTTCAATCACCGTTGTTAAATTGTAGTTTAATTAAGCTATTTGATTGTTAAAATTTCTTTATTCAATATATGAATGCTAAACGAGTACTCACAAAACGTTTTCGATCACTAGGATGTTTTGATTTCTTGTTAATTAAATAATATAAATGAAACTAGTGTATCGGGTAGAAACCCAATGCGGATATATTCACACCGTACCATAGAAAGTCTTGTGAAAAGACCAAGCTTCATATGAAATGACCAAAAGACCATATGATTAAAGGTTTAAAGCTTGACGGGTCAGCTGAGCTTCAGCACATGTTTGAAGATTTAAAAGTTGAAAAATATGCGAAACATGCTTAAAAAGTTTTTTTTAAAAAAAATTTCATCCAAAGTTTAATTTTATAAAAATTATAATAATCTTTGGTTTTTAAAATTTGTAAGAACAAAATTCGAAAAACTGATTTCTTAATCTGAAAAATAAACAAACCCTTTACTATTTAGCACTAAAATACAGCTGTAATTAGATTGCATCTCGGCTATGATTTTTTCTTTTGCAAAACGACTGGATAAAAAGTGACATGTTAAAAACTTTTGAACAAATGTTTACTACAAAAGTTGATAAAAGTAAAAATGTAATCCCAATAATATTCGAAGAACCATTGGTTTTGTTACGTAACCGTTAAATTATTGGTATTTGCAATAAAGCCAACAAATTTCATTGGAAAACATGATGAAAAATATCGAAGTTTTAAAAGAATTATATTTATACGATGAAATTTGAACTACACTAGCTATGTTATACTGAATACTATTGAAAAAGAGCATTGTAAATAAGAAATCAATTTATGAAAGGTTTTTTTATGCATTCTGAAAAGTTTAAGTACTTCTTCAGAGTGCTTTTTCCTTTATACATAATTGAAAGCAAAAAGAAAGGTCCTATAATTTTAATACGGACCATAATAAAAATAATAATAATAATAATATAACATGATAAAAAATTGATGGAAATTGCGATTCCAGACTTTTTGTAAAAGCAAAATTTGTGAGAAAAAAATCAGGTTGTAAGTGTATACCATCTGCATTTACAGCTGTATTTTATTTAAGCCCAATAAACTACAGCTACAATTTAATTTTTAAGTACGCTCATCTGTAATCTCCAGCTGTAAATTAGTGATAAATAGTATAGGGTCACACGTGAATACGGTGTGAATATAATAAATATTATGTTAGTTTTTCACTCAATTTTTGCTCAATTTAATAGGGTCAACAATTCTCGTTTGATTTATATGCACAATTTTTTCGTTTTCTAGTGATCCCTAAAGAACATCCTACATTATTTTTCTTTCAAAATGTGAATTAAACTTTTCGTTTAATCAAGTTGAATAAAAATTAATTAAGCTTATCTTCTGGAATTTAACAAATAAGCGATGCTTCGTTAAATTATCGTTAAATTTCATAAAGTTCAATGTTTAACGGTTTTTTACAAAAATTTGAATCAAATTGTCAACATAACCTTACCTTCGTTTATTGCAAAATCTAATCTAATTAAATTTATTTTCGGTTATTTGATAAGTTTTTAAAGAATAAATTTGTGTTTATAGTCGCTGCGCTAAAGAAGGATTAAGTGCATAGTGAAGGTTGTTTGTGTTGATGTGTTAAAACAGCAAGAATTGAGATTAAATTTATTTTGTTTATACATTCATGTAGATAAGCTGAAATAAAAATTAGGAAAAAAAAATAATGAATCAAGATACAGACATTTCAGAACAACGTGATTTGCACGAGATATTTCGAGTATGGGAACAGAAGTATAGTACAGCTAATTTTGATCCAGAGCCTTATGTCAAACGGTAATGTAATTAACTTTTCTAAGGAAAGACTTTTGTGTTTATATCGGTTTTTCTTTTTCGTCTATTCTTTTTTGCAGACTTGCGGATATTTTCGAGGAGGAAACAGAGCAGTATATGCAAAAAGGTAACTATTATTATTCTCTTGTGTATAATCGGATATAAATCTTGCACAATATCATTTAGATCCCGATCCATTTGATGAAAGACATCCGTCAAGAACAGATCCAAGTTCAGAATTAGGAAAGAACCTGAAATTGCTATTTAAAAAAGAAGTTTTTATGAATAGGCTCGTAAATGATTATCTTCGCGATAATTTTTTCACAAGACAAAGCATAAACAAGAGCTCATTTCAATTGAATATCTCGGCATGCCGTCTCATATTAATAATCATGCCTGGATTAGAAACTTCAGCTGTATTTCAAGTGTCCAATGATCAGCTAATAAATCGTCTTTATGATTGGGTTGAAAATGGTGCGGAACCACTAAGAAGTTATGCTACAGGACTTTTGGGTGCAGCTATGGATATCCAAGATATTGCAATTGCTTATCGTGAGCAAAATATTAGGATGCTTCCATTACTTCTTCAGCGATTGAGAACGCTTCAAGCAAGATATAAAAAATATGGCAACATTTCAAGTTTGATACCAGAAAGTACAGAAGAAGAGCAGGAACAGGAACATAGCACATCTACAAACGGGCCTACTTCAGAATGTACAGCGATAGCATCGAAGAAAGAAACTCCAGCTGAAGAAAATCATATCGATATTGATGAAAATTCAATGAGTACAAGTCAGCCGCAAAATAATCTCCCAAGACATGTCATTTTGCTTGATCCACCGACTCTAGCCACAAGTCAAATGTTAATCTTACGGTATTTGTCACCAATGGGCGAATATCAGGAATTTCTTCCATTCATTTTCGAGCATGTTGCTATGGACATTATTTTTGATTTCATTGAAAATGTCGATCCAAAAGATTTATGCTTAGCATTTGAGGCTTTAAAGTATCTCGCGTCATTACTTTGTCATAAAAAATGCTGCATAGAATTGCTTAATAAAAATGGAATACAGAAATTGCTTAAACTTCCACGACAATCAACAACCGCAACAGGAGTTGCAATAACTCTATATTATATTGCATATTGTGAAGAAGCTATGGAAAGGATATGCTCAATGGCACCACGACTAATATCAGAATTAGTAAGTTACGCATTAGGATTGTTATCATGTACTCACGATTCGGGAAGATGTCATGCAACAATGTTCTTTGGACTTTCATTTCAATTTAAAAACATTCTTGATGAATTCGATAAACAAGACGGTCTTCGTCAACTTTATAACGTTATATCTGTTCTTCCAATTTTGTCTCAATCAAATGATGAGTTGAATCTATCAGCTGATGAAGAGAATGCAGAAAGACAAGTCATTAGACACGTTTGCGTAGCCATTAAGAAATATTTCGAAAGTCATTTGTTTTACAAATATACACAAGTAGTACGAAGTCCTACAACGCGATACCCAGTTCCTTTACGATCATTAAAAAATACGCCAGAAGTAATAGATGAGCAAGTAATGGCTCTTCAAAATTTATTGCCAATGAAGGCTAATTGGCAGCCTGTCCAAATATTTTTACAACTTGGTGGTGTTACTCTTTTTATTTTAATCATAGCTCACAGTTATGAGTGGAATTACAGGTGAGTCAAAACATAAAGAAATATTTCTGATTTTATATCTCATTTTTTTAGCGCATTTTTGAAACTTGTTTCAAAAAGGTAGCTTAATAATTCACTTTATTCGGCTGTTTGAGAAAAACTTTTTAGCCAGACATCGTAGAGAGCTCGCGTTTGTTTTATTATCTCCATTACTATCGATTTATTGTCCCATCGATTGGTTAAAAGTCTTAAAATCATGTATTTATACTATAATTAATCATGCTACGGACATTTCAGTGTCGTATTTTTTGAATTTCAATTGAAATATAAAACCCACTGGAAAAACAGATTTTCGAAGAAAATCCTTGTACCCACCTAAAAATTGATTTTCGAAGAAAATGCTTTTATCCGTTTTTGAAAGCTTTTATAAAGCTTTTTTTGAAAGATTTTGACCCCCCAAAAGAGCTTTTATGTTGTGGCCCCCACCCGAGAACTCTCGGTTCCCACGATGCCCCCTAGTTTGACCGATAAATCAAAAAATATCTAAAGAGCTTTTTTTGGAAGCTTTTATGGAGCTTTTTTAAAGCTTTTTACACCTAAAAGCTCCACGTGTAGTTGTCCCCACCCGAAAACCCCCCAGGTTCCCACGAGCTCCGCCGGTTTTTCCCAAGCTTCGCTAAAAACAACTGATAATGGTTCCAAGAAACATTATAAAAACGTTTAAAATGTATTTTAAAAAGTCGCCGCTAAAGTACATAATTCTCGAAATTCACAAAACAGTTAAATAATAAAGCCTTTCTATACAGGATTATTGTCAACGGACAAAATTAAATTTGAAATTCATTAACACTATCTTACAATTCATCAAAAATTAAATTCTCAAATATCTCAATTATTCAATCATTATCCCCAAATATTATGATATGATTACAAAAAGGAAATGATACATTAGCTATTTTGCCTATTTAAAGAGCTTTAACATCAATATTGAGTGATATTTTCATGACTTTAAATTTTATTTCAATTTTTGTTTGTAAACAAACAACTCACGACAGAAAAAATTCAAAAAATTTAAAATCGGTAAAATTTTTTTTAACTTAATTTTGTTCATTCAAGTATGTATCGGGGACAATTTACTACTTTTTTTGGAGCCAAATAAAAGAGAATAAAATTTCTGTTTTAAAAAAATACTTTTGAAGATATATCAATGAAAACTGACAAAGTTATGGCAAATCCCCAAAAATTATTCGTGAGTGACGCTTAATTAAAGTGATTTTCTGAAGCAACTGCTTAATTTTATTAAGTGAGTTGTATATTAAAGATGGGAACCTTTTTTTTCCTACAGGATAAAATAACTTTGAAATTTGTCACTTTTGTGGTTTCGGAGATATTTAAGATTTAAAGCGTCACTCACGAATAATTTTTTTTTTTCGTCGGGTTAATTACACTAAAATTAATGATGTTCTAATCTTCTCATGATCTGTAATTGAACGCAAAATAATTAGATAATCAAATACTGATCACAAATACAAAAATGCTCTTAAGTCTCTCGATCAATAACATGAGGACTTCTGTAATTTTTTACGATTTAGTGGACGAGGTGAAACGGTTCGTTCTGCTTTAGATGTCATCAATATTTGTTGTGTCTTACCTCGTGTTCATGCAGTTCTTTGCGATAGAATTGATTTTCCCGATGAAGCCAGTGCTGCTGGAATTAATATTATACTTGGATGTCTCGAAGGCGAAATTGTAGCTGATCCTGAGGTTCAAAAGTCTGCTCTATCGTTGTTGGTTAATTGTGTTTGCGCTCCAATATTAAGGCCAAGTGGAATTGCTCGATTTGGAAGTAATAAGAAGAAAATGACAGACAAGAATAGTGAAGAACTCATTAAAATGGTCTGGGAAACTGTCAGAAGCAATAATGGAATCATTATTCTTTTGCAATTGATGATGGTAAAGACACCAATAACAGATGCTGATTATATTCGAGGAATGGCATGTCGTGCTTTAGCAGGATTAGCTAGATCAGAGACAGTTCGACAAATTATCAGTAAATTGCCACTTTTTGTAAACGGTCAACTTCAACAGCTATGCAGAGATCCGATTCTTCAAGAGAAACGTACCGAACATGTTCAGTTCCAAAAATATGCATTAGAATTACTAGAAAGAGTTAGTGGAAAGCCCATTAATATCGATACATCGCTCGCTAATATCCATAAAGCCAATGTTGTAGCACAAACGAAGATTCAGTTTAATGAAAAACAGCTATATTTTCTGATTTATCAACATCTCATCGAGCATGGATTGTCAACTTCTGCAGAAGCATTAATGAGAGAAGCAAAGATTGAGCATTTACTTGGAAGTAACAAGGCAATAGCATCGAGTACACAGCATTTGAATTCTCCATTTAATTATAGATCGCCTTTAATTCAACGTTCAAGGATTCATAGAAAAACAAATGAGACACATCCACAGAATTTTATTGACAATACGGACAGTGCAAAAATCAGTTTCAGTAGTAAGTTAAATATGATTGAAGCATGTGAACATGCTTTAAATTCATCAGCATCGTCGTCGACTATAACACCCATAAAGCTTATAAAGAAAGCAAGTAGTGTCCAAACGCCAACAACTCATCAATCAGCTTTAGAAAAACAACCGTCTTCAGAAGTTTTTCTTACAGCCTCAGTTCCACAACAAAATCAACAAAAGAACTCCGTTTCAAATGCAAACATATCGCTCAATACAATCATAACTGAATACCTAGCAAATCAGCATTCGCTGTGTAAAAATCCAATGTCTACATGCCCAACTTTTGATCTTTTTGAACCTCACAAATGCCCTGATCCACGACCAAAATCAATTAGTGGAATGAGTGTAAATGTCGCTGCTAGATTCTTTAAACGTCATCAAGGATTTAATTCATCAAAGCTTGATCGTAGATTTGTTCATTCGAATTTTAATGTTGTAAGGACACTAAGAATTCCAGATTTGGATCTTTATTTTACAACTTGTGACTTCTTTACACCGGAAGGAAATAAATTGTTGATTGGAACACATACTGGCGAAGTAAGAGTGCTCAATATTAATGATTCAACGGAAGAGTTTAGTGCGTCGTGTTCTGACTCGTATATAAACAACATTAAGTGTTCTCGACATGAAGGATTGGTCTTAACAAGTGCATGGCAGTCGCCTCTTTCTTGTCTTTGGAGTGTTGATAATAAACAATTTATACCAAAAATGAACTTTGAGGAGGAAGAGTATGTAGAGTTTAGTAACGTAACACAAGATAAGGTTTTAGGTACGAAAGCAGAAAAAGCCACAATTTACGATATTAATACTGGTCAAGTAATACGAAAATTAGTGCCAACAATTTACAATCAATACAATAAGAATCGTGCGACATTCTGTCCAACTGATGAATTAATTCTATCGGATGGTGTTTTATGGGACTTTAGATCTGGTACGCAAATACACAAGTTTGATAAGCTTAATAATACGGTATCGGGAGTTTTCCATCAAAATGGATTGGAAGTAATATCCAACACTGAAGTATGGGATCTTCGAACGTTTCATTTGATGCGAACAATTCCAACATTGGATCAATGCCAATTAAAGTTTTCAACCCAGAATGTCATTTATGCATTTAGTATTCAATATGAAGACATAGACGAAGAGCAAGGATATGGCTCATCATTTAAAGTTATTGATAGTTATGATTATTCAAGTATATCGACAACGGATGTACGAAAATCAATTTATGATTTGGCTGTTAATGAGAGCGGTTGCCAAATTGCTTTGTGCGAGAATCAAGGTGGCTTCGAATCAGCCTCTGAATCCGTCGTTCGTGTTTATGCAGGTAAATTTTATTTTTCAGCTTTATTTTTTAATTTTTGTGCAAGTTTTTAATTACTGTTCTAGTCGGTCGTAAACGTGAAGAATTTGATGGGGATGAAATGGAAGAGGATGAAGAAATGGGCTCAGATGAAGAGGATGGACTGGATTCGATATCAGAGAACGATAACGATAATGGTAACTTTAGACTGACTGTCTATAAATTTAATTGTTGTCAATAATCTTATTTTTACTTAAATTTGCACAGAGTTTGATAGGGAAAGCAACCGAAGACGACGCCGTAGGATGAACATTAATAGAGGAAATTTGAATAATATGTTTGACATTATTTCATTGTCTACGGAAAGTCTATCGGATAGCGAATTATCTGAAGAGAATTTCAACTCTGATGGATCAGATCAAGCCGATTCCGATGAAAATGCATCTGAAGGAGGTGATAATGATGACAATGATGAGAATGAAGCACAAGACGACGACGAAGAAGCAAATTGGGAAACTGAGGATGAGGTCGATGATGATAATTAAACACATTGTTATTTATTAAATAAGTTGAAATACTTATTTGGATTTAATAAAGATATTTTTTTCGGAATCTTGTGTATTATTTGTCTAGGACATAATAGTTTTATAAATTGAATAAAAATCCATATAATAAAGGAATTAATATAAACAAAAGATTAACTTTAATATATTAATGTTCAGTTTTAACGACTATTTTTATATTTGAAAATTCAAAAGAACCTGAATGTAACGCAGGAAAAGACGTTCGAACGAGGTTTAAGTGCATCTTGAAACTTTTTTGACGCGTAAAACGCGCTCTAAATCGATAGAAAAACGCTTTTTAATATTTTTTTTTTTGATAAATTGCAAATATCTTTGAGAAATTACGACGGAAAATAAAAAAAAGGCATAGAAACTGACTAGAACTGTTATATTGAAAAGTAGAAAGCATCTATAAAGCCATTTATGTAAGTAAATTGTGATTTTTCAGCATTTTAACAATTGAAAAAAGATGGATTTCTGTGAAAAAAAAGAAGAGAAAAAAATCAAGGTGCTCCATCATCGTAAAATGGTAACCCATTGATTAAAATTTGACTGGTTCCAAAAAAAAAGTTTTTTTGTATCGAAAGTGACAAAGTGTCTCATACATAATTTTTTCAAAACATATTTTTTTTGGATCTAGTCCAGATTTTGATTAAAGTAACACATTTTACGATGATGGATCACCCTTGGAAAAAAATGCATAAAAATTTTTTCTGATGATTCAAATACTCATTTCTGATCTTTTTGTCTTTCTTGTTAACACAAAAGATTTTTAGATAATTCTATCGAAAAAAATGGAGTTACGCGTTGGAAATAGATATAGATTGGGACGAAAAATTGGATCAGGCTCATTTGGTGATATATATTTGGGCACGAATATATCAACTGGCGAGGAAGTAGCAATAAAATTAGAATGCATTAAAACAAAACATCCACAGCTACACATTGAAAGTAAATTCTATAAAATGACACAAGGAGGAATCGGAATCCCAACAATCAAATGGTGTGGATCAGAAGGTAAATAATTGTTTTTTGTGCAGCTATTGCTCTTTTTCGAGCATTTTACGTTTATCGTGTACATATAATCAATAACTGCTTTATCATTCGATTGACTTATTAAATGCTTCTACTCCTATTTTCTATCCATCTATCTCCCTCTTTCTCTCTCTCTCTTACTCTCTTTTTTTCTTCTCTTGTTTTTGTTTGTTGGATGCAACCAATTTACTTAATAGGCGACTACAATGTAATGGTAATGGAGCTGTTGGGACCATCGCTAGAAGATCTTTTTAATTTTTGCTCAAGACGTTTCTCGTTGAAAACCGTATTGCTTTTGGCTGATCAGATGATATCGCGCATTGACTACATACATTCTCGAAACTTTATTCATAGAGACATCAAACCAGATAACTTTTTAATGGGCTTAGGGAAGAAAGGAAACTTGGTTTACATTATTGATTTTGGACTAGCGAAAAAATACAAAGATGCAAAATCCTCGATGCATATACCGTACAGAGAAAATAAGAATTTGACTGGAACAGCGCGCTATGCTTCAATTAATACACATTTAGGCATTGAACAATCACGACGAGATGATTTGGAATCATTGGGTTACGTTCTCATGTACTTTAATTTGGGCACACTGCCTTGGCAAGGGTTAAAGGCAGCAAATAAACGACAAAAGTACGAACGGATATCCGAGAAAAAGCTCTCAACGCCAATTGAGGTTCTTTGCAAGGATTTTCCCGTCGAATTTCCAACATATTTAACATACTGCCGTCGTCTCGACTTCATCCAACGTCCCGACTACTCATACTTGCGTAAACTATTTCGTACCCTCTTTCACAGTCAAGGGTTCACTTATGACTATGTATTCGACTGGAATATGCTGAAATTCGGTGGACCTCGTAGTAATACTAATCAAGATGCACAGCAACCACAGCCGCCACTACCGCAAGAAGGAGTCGATGGAACAAATCGAAGAAATAATATACCAATGTTACAGCATCAGAATCCTGATGAACCAATCGCATCAAATTCTCGAAATCAATATGAGAACGAGAGAAGAGCATCTGTAAGGATTAGAGGACAAACGGTAGATACACGGAATATAAATAAATAATACACATAAATATACACTAAAACAAAACCCTTGATAAACATTCATGTTAATCAAAAAGAAAGAAAAGAAGAAAAAATCACAACACATAAAAAAAGAAGAGAAAAAAACTTAAACTAATTTATGCTAAGAAAAAATATTTTAAAAAATATTTTACTGAGCTTATGAATGATTCATAAAAGAAAATACAACAACCTATCGAGTGTATCTACATTAAATAACTCTGAAAAAAAAAACAAAGGAAAAATCAATGCTAAAGGCTTCTTTTTAAGACAGAAAACAAATAATAATACTAAAGTATCGTTTAAAACTCTCATCATAATCATCACCAAAAGAAGAAACTAGTAGATATGTGGTCATTCGTGATCAAAAGAAGTGCATTTTCCCCGTGCAGTATTAAGCAAATTAAATCAGAAGTAAGTGTACTAGGGATAATGCACTGAAACAGGTGAAAAGATGAAAGCATTTTCGGAATTTTGTCACTTAATTTTAAAATCTAAATGAACTGTTTCATAACACACTGCGCCTTGTGTAAGTCATGACTCATGACGATTGGCTTCTGCAAGCATTAAGATTAATATTTTTTTCTACTCTCTTTATTTGTTACTTGAAAGGATAAAAATACTGAATACGTCTCAAGTATAATTTTACTGTAGAATATTAAAATTTCTAACAATAAACAATTAAAATTATCATTTCGTATGAAGGAAATGAGCTTTTTTGATGATAAGTAAGGAACAGATTAAAAAGATTATTCTAATTATAAATAATTGGACAAATGAATTTTATTCTCTTAAGTCTTGTAATTAATTAATTTTTAAAGAGAGAAATGTAAGTGATTCATAATTGCCGGAGGTCGAAGCCTGTTTAAACTTACATGATTTGCAAAAGTGACGAAGTTATTTCGACCTCTGCAAAATTCATTTATGTTGCGCGCTAATGTTTGCTTATAGATATGATTTAAAAAAGTATATTAATGATCACATGTGAAATGTTCATAAGCTCATATGTAATCTTTTCTTACAATTATTGTAGTATTCTTCAAGAAACTGGAGTAAAAAATTTTTTGTAATGGAATGGAGCAACCTAGAACTTAATTACTGATATTTCTCTAAATATAAGATTTCAATTAAATTAAAAACAAAAACAATTTTGACTTTTTTTTATGAAATACTTTTTCATTCATTTTTTTTTTATTTTTCATTTTCATTAATCATCATATATAGTTTGGAAAGAGGTTCTAAAGAACAATTTGAATTATTTTTCTTCATCATTTGTGCATTTTGAGCCGATACAATAAAAAACCGGATAAGATGACTTCAACATTTAAAATTAAAAATCGATCTCTTAAATTGTGGTGTAGACATCATATAAAAGAGAGCTATCCAAGGATTCTTCACTTGTTCTATCTACATTTATCATTAACTCAATTTAAATTTTCGTTTTTCATTTTTAAATGAAAACACCAAGAAATTTATGATTTCAGATTTCCTAATCCTTTTTAGATTACATTCAAGATGGATCTTATTAAAACGTTTTTTGTAATGTGACCAACATAATGCTACACATTAAATAAGGAATTTTTACAGTCTATAATAAAAGTTTGACACTCTTAAAAACTGATTGATCTGTTATCAATTTATTTGAAGTTGACATGTCTTGAAAGCTATATCAGAGATCCACACAATCCACGAAAAATCGGACAATATAATCCAAAGAACGTTTTAAACGAGGCAAAATTTGAATTTTCTTTTTGTTTTTGTTGTTCATCGATATGAATTAGGAAGATGGTATGTATCATTTTCATAAACTATTCTATGAAAGAATTTTTTATTCAAAACATAATTGAGTCTTAAAAAACACATGAAATTTTCTCATTAAAACTTTTAGTCTGAACTTGGATTTATTCTTTGTTATCATCTTTTTCATAGGTTTTTTTTCAGCATATCAATTTTAATTAATATGTAATAATACTTTTGAAAGCTTTGTATCCAATAATGGGGAGGGGGGTTTTGTTTTCAATTTTCACAATAAACCAATCATTTCTAAAATAGATTTTTCTTAATAAAATTGTTCATTATTATTTTTTTTTGTCCTTAAATAAATTTAAAATCATCTTTGTTGCAGCGGAAACAACAAAAAGGTTTGAATTGACATTTTTTTGCCACTTTTTTTGGTTGGAAATTTTTCCGAGTTGTTTATATTAAAAGTTTTACATTTGCATTAGTTTTTTGGTATTTTCGAGAATTAAATACATTTTCTTAAGATTTGGTCATCAATTTTGAATATCTTTAGAGACAACATTTGGTAATGGTCCAACCCACATTTAACTGACTGATTTTCATTTGAATGAAAAAAAAAATAACTGCCTAGTTAACAGACTGACTTACTTTCTTGACATTGCAAGCATATTACCTTTAGTAACGACAACTCGAAAAATTTTCATATTATAAAATAAAAATATTGAGAGAGTCTATTCATTATTTGTGAGTATGTAAAATTCTTGCTTCTTTGGTTTCATATACCTACATATATATATATATATATATGTTCCGCCAATAGTGCCGCTTAATAATGAAACATTTTATCATGACATAGATATAAAATTTACTTTTTCAAACTTCCTTTTCATTTCAAACTAAAGTTGATTTCTTTCGTTTTTTTTTTGTCGAAGAAAAAATAATTAAATCACATTTTATTTACTACTTACTCAAATCATAATTATTATTACTTCTTTTTTTTTATATTTTTCATTCAAAAATGACTTTATAACTTTGGCGTAAAAGTAAAAAGAATCTCAACATACAAAGTATTTCTTTAAAGAGTGCAAATTGAAATATTCTTAAGCCTGCTTTTTTAATATCTATCGTAATTAATTAATTGCTTAACGCTATATATTTTTTAAAACTCTTGTATCAAATTAGCGAAAAATCTCTGATTTTTTGTTATGTATAGCTTTTCGAAACGTATAGCTTAGTACTTAGAAATATTCTCTACTTAATATCATTTCAACTTAATTTTACATAGAGCTTTTATTTTTGGAACCGTGGAAAGAACCTGCTTATGATGAAGACGAGGTCATATTTGTTATTCAGCAATATTGCAAAAACTCAGCTGATCATAATTGTTATAATCACGTCTTCAACAAAAGCAGAGATTTTGGGTTTTCAAAGGATTTGACACTCTATTCCATTTCTACTTTTTTTTACGACACTTCAATTTGTTGCACCAAAAAAGTTGGAATCAGTTAAGAAAACAGTTTATTGGACTTCTGGTTTCGGAAGCAATTCGATCAATTTTGAATAAAAAAAAAATTAAAGTCAAAATTTGGAAGATTTTCGAGGAATTTCAAACTAAAGATTATTGGTATTCAATTTGAAAATGGAAGCTATTTTAATGGAATCTAAATTTGATTCCAATAAACTGTCATCGAATGATTCCACAATTTTCCAATGATTCATTGGATACTTATAGAAATAACTTTTAAACATATTTTCATAATTTTTGTGAGCAAATTGTCCAAAATACAAATTAGCTTTACAATATATGCGGAAAAATTAAAAAACAATGAAAATCTCACAAAAGTGCCATTGCCTAGATAATTTCAAGTTTCAAAAAATATTTTATGCTTTCTTTTTTTGTTCAAAAGTCTAATATGGCTCAAGATTTTTAGATTGTGACATAATGTTAGAGAGAGAGAGAGAGTTATAGAGAGATTAATCTTTTATTTTTGCAAGAGATTCAACATTTGGCGATGTATTCGAAGTTTATTACTGACAAAACCATTCATAGAGAGACAACTAAAATTTAAATAGGAAATGCTTACATTTAATCTAAAGGTTATTTTAATTAAAGAACAAATAAAAATAACATATAATTGTACTTTTAGAAAAATAATCTCAAAAAAGTGAGATTTTCCTTTCTTTTTACGTAATTTTGTGCATATTTCTTACTTTTTGTGTCTTACTTAATATTTGTTTTCTATGTATATGTCTATTATGTATGTCACAATCTAATAATGTTGACATGACTACTCACCTCAACATAATAATCATCAATTGATTACTTAATTAATTAATTATACATGGTCAGAATTAAGAAAGAAGAGAAAGAGAGATGGGAACAAAAAAATAAGGAACAATTAAACGGATTTAAACACTATGTCTTAAAAATTACATGACGAAATCAAAGTGATGCATTGTTATTCAAGTTTTTTTTTAATTTTTCATCTGTTGTGTGTAAAGGTATCTGTTGTGGTACTGTCTACGAAATTTTGAAGAGCAAAAACACTTTATCGCATTTTCTTAATACCAATTTAATAAAATCTCCAAGTTTATCTCTTTTGTATGTAGTTCCCATTTTCTTCTTTTTCATAATATTTTCCTCATTTTGAAGCTTGCTTATACGTTCCTCAACATACAATTCTTTTTTTTACAGAACATGATCAATGAAATTTATCATTAAATTTCATTAACACACGAATGTTGAATGCATGCTGAAATTAATAGCTTTCTAATAGAGGGTTTTAAAAGTTGTATAACTATTCTATGAGTTTTATAGTTAATATGGCGCATATCTATTATATCCTGCATTACGGTACATAGTTGTCTGAAATATATATAAAAAAAAAAATAAATTAATTCTATCAATTAAAACAACCACACTGTTGACGTACAGTAAACCCAGGAATAGGTCCGATACTATGGCCAAGATACGCTTCTGCGAAATCTCTGCTGTATCTACAGATAATTAAAAAAAAAAACATAATTAGCAAAATGAGATAAGCAAAACACAAAATGAATTATACGAACCCTCCAAGCGAGGCTGCTGCGTAGCTTGCAGTTAATGGTTGCGTTTGAGCTTGTACTTGAGATAATCCAGCTGCTCCCAAAGATCGAGCCTGTACTTGAGTAAACGCGGCTGTTGGAAACGTTTGTTGAGGTTGTGCCATCGGAGCTTTCATCATGGGAGCAGTTGCGGCCTACATGATACATAAACAATATATTATAGCTTTATTCTTATTATTAAAATAAATTCACTGTTTCATTACTTGTAATCTTAACGCAGGATCTGTGTTTTGATGATGAGCTGTTGCCGCTGGATTGAAAAATGGATCATAATATACCCTATACAAAGAAAATGATTGAAAGATGAGTATCAAGTAAAAATAGTCGCGGCATTTAGGTTGTAATACATTTCGCAAATTATTCATTTTATGGTAATTTTTCAGGGACTGAATAGTTGTTCGAATACTTCTATAGTTTCCACAAAATTAAAAATTTATATTGTATGTATAAAAAGAATCGTTATTCTAAAATTACTTTAGGTTTTAAAACGGCATCATTTCCAAATATCAACTTTATTAGACATATTATATGTCAAAATTGATCTCTTAATTACGTCCAATTGCGTCCTGCAAAAATTTTTGGAATTGGATATAACCAGCAAGAGTTATGGACTGTCAAAGTTTTGGACAGTACTATTTGTGGACCAATATTTTTTTTGCCCAAATCCTATCATGTTATATATCAAAACACGTCTACTTTTCCTCAGCAGCTTAAATCTGATGGAATTATTTTAGTCCAACCTGTAAGTTTCGACATATGGCTGTTCCAGTGTATTCTAACCTGTACCTGCACATATCGAAAGTTTTACTTTTACCTGTCTAATATATATTTTGACAAAGATTGTTATTACTCCATCAACAAATTTGGAAATTATAGCTAAGGTTATGTGCTACAAAACTACCTCTTTAGATTTTCAAATGTTTTCATAGTTTTAAGGAAAAACAAGAAAATTTGAAAATCAGTAATTTTTTTCAGTTTTGGTTCAAATCAATTTTCTGGAAAAACCAGTTGACGAAAAATTATGAAAATAGTTGCAAATTTTAGCTTATTGTGATATCTACAGATATCAATCATTGGAAAATTTTTCCCTAGTGAGATAATTCTTGAGAAAATTGCAATGAACAAAAGGGAGAATAAAATATTAATTTTTCTCTACATTCAAAGTGATTTTCAGAGTTTTCATAAGAAAATTATCTTACAAAAACTATTTGAAAAACTTTCCACTATGTTAACAATTTTAATACTTTTTACTTTATTTTGATAACTATTTTACTTTCTGAGTTATTAAATCACAAAATAGGACTAGAAAAATCGGAATTTATTTAGAAAACTCCCGAAGAAATAAAAAAATTATAAGATTGTAATTGAGATTATAAAGTAATAACAATCTCTGTCAATATTAGACAGGTAAAAGAAAAACTTTCGATATGTGCAGGTACAGGTTATAATACACTGGAACAGCCATATTTCGAAACTTACAGGTTGGACTAAGATAATTCTATCAGATTTAAGCGTCTGACGAAAAGTAGACGTGTTTTGATATATAACATGATAGGATTTGGGCAAAAAAAATATTGGTCCACAAATAGTACTGTCCAAAACTTTGACAGTCCATAAATCTTGCTGGTTATATCCAATTCCGAAAATTTTTGCAGAACGCAATTGGACGTAAGAGATCAATTTTGATGTATAATATGTCTAATAAAGTTGATATTTGGGAATGATGCCGTTTAAAACCTGAAGTACGACGGCATAATTCTCAAAAATGGAACCTGCTATATCCAGCCACAGGAAGTAGGACACAATTATTTTTTTTGTTGGACGCAATTGGACGTAATATGGACTTAATTCTGGCAAAGTTTCAAAGTGATTGGACACTTCATGCCGTGGTCCTTCAGTCACAAAATTAATCATCCTTGAATCAGATAATCCTCAAAATGGGAAATATGAAAGAAAAACTTAAAACATCTTTGTTGCGGGAATAAAAGCATTATTAAAAAGGTAACAAAACAAAATGAGCTCATAAGTTCATTTGCTTTGCAAAAATTGGGCGATAAATATTGAAATTAATTTAATCATTATCCATATAACAAAATGAATAATATGTGAGGGAAAGAGAATAAATTAGATGAAAAACATACGGTGTATATCCATGAAGTTGACCAACTGCGGCTGCTGCTGCACTGTTTAAAGGCGTTGGTAGTCTTGGGAAAGTTCTAGCTGTCGGGAATGCAGCACTGGCACGCGCTCTAGCACTTTGGATTGTAACACCTCTTAATGCCGCTGCAGTTGCTATAAAAATAAATAAAATAAAAAAAAAGATGAATTGGAATTAGGAACAAGACAAACTTATTAAATGCTTTATTTTCCTACCATCAGGAGGCCATTGTACGCAAACTATAATAAATAAAAAAGAATTAATTAATCAGTAAGCTCATTACAATTGATAATTTGACTAATTTATAGAAAATAATGCAACACAAAATTACAAATGAAAGAAAAATTAAAATTAGTTATATGTGCGAGAACGTACCATTTGGAATAGTAGCAACTTTTTTACTCTGTACTCTAGCAGTAGCATTATTTACCTAGTTTATAAGAGGGACGATTTCAAGAAAAATAGTTTATCATTTACATTACGGGTGGGTTTCAACATTCAGAGCTATTAGCTGAGTATAAAAATTAAAATATTTTAAAAATGATTTTAGGTTTTTTTTATAAAAAAAAATTGTATCCAAGAATAAATAGCAAAAAAGCTCAGCTAGTAGCTCTGCAGCAAACATTTTCATGACCATAATCCGTTAATTTAATTGTATTAAGTTGTATTAATAAAATTAATCTACGGTTATGGTATCAATCCTTCATTAATCGAATAGTAACTAAATTACACATTGTTAGTATTGTGAAAATAAAACATCGAGCATAAAATACAAAAACTTGAGATTCGTGTATAAAAGAGAAAAAAATTTTCGTGGACAATTTAACAAGAGGAAAATTTGTCACGTCTTATGCATTTGGCCAATTTGATCTCATTTTTGTTCACATACTTCATGCTTAATTTTATGCATCGTCTTGTTTATTTAAGTATTTCAAATAGTTCCAAACGATTTTTTTTGCATTAGTTCCAAAAACAGTTTTGTGTTTGACCAATAACAAAAGTTCAAGAAAAGCAAATTTCATGATAGAAAAGTTTTGGTCTAATTCAGGACCAGAAAATGGCATATTGACATTTTCCAGTACTAATCTACAAATACTTAATGTTGCTCAAAAAGAGAAAATATTCTTTAGTGTGTACTTTCACAATTTCAATGTCTTGTTTCAAACTACTATAATTAATTTCTTATCAAATAAAATATATTATCATGCACACCTCAATTTTACGTCCCTCTACCACAGTGCCATGTAGTTTTTCACGTGCTCGCTCAGCATCTGCGTTATTATGCATTGTCACAAAACCGAAACCCTAAAATAGAAAATCATGCAACAACATTCATTCATCCAAGCTCCAAAAATTTGTTTTTGTTCAATTTTTTTCTTAATAATAATATGTAGGTATAAGGGAAATTTAATGTAATACATGATAATAATATCAATTCAAAAAAAAAAGGATAAGGAAAAGATTTGTTTGAGAATGAAAAAGTAAGCATTATGATATGTAATTTTTTTTTGTTTAGAAGTATGTTTAATGTCAAAAGCATTGACATAAGATTGATATATGACGAAATACGAGAAGGAATTAAACTTTTATTAGGTGGGTTAAGAATTTATTATTTAATTCCATTTTTTTTTGTTTTGTTATAGTTCAGCTTATTTGATGATCTAGTCATACAATTCAGCTACCTCGAAACTTGCTTTGTTTTCGTTCAATTAAAAAGTAAGTGAAAAGGGATTAATTTTTTTTATAGGATTTTGCTTTCGATGATATTGGGAGATAAAATTTTAGAATAGATTGTTGTTCATGGTATTATATGAGCGCACTTTTGTTCAATCATGTTTATATTTGCTTTGTTGCTTTGACTTGATTTGGTTTCAAAACTTTGAACATAAAAATTTTTTAAAAAAAAGTGACAAAATTGAACCAAAAATCGTGTTAAATTTCGGAAAAAATCTTAGTCATTCCATTCACAAAACAAAAATGCGCTTTTGTACAAACATAAAAAGACTTGATTGGTGGCTTTAATTGACAAATTGTCGTATGGAGATTTTTGAATTTTTTAAACTTACTTTGCTTCCTCGTTCATTGAAAATAATCTCAACATCAAGTATTGGTCCAAATTGCTGCAGAAAAGGAAATAAGGGATGTGATTTAATTAGAAAGTTATTCTTGGCTCAGATCCTTTGTCATTTTGACAGTTGTCTGTTAGCATTTGCTCTCAAATAGTTGTGAACCTACCCCGAACATTGCTCTTAAGTCAGGATCTCTAAACCTAAATGGTATATTTGATACATGAAGACGCTTTGGTTGATTTTTGGCTTCTGAAATAATGGAAGATGAAGTATTTGTTGCATTTGTAGAATTGCTCGATGTCGTGATGACTGTCTCTGTTTGTGACACTTGTGTTCCAGATGATGAAGTCGTTGTGACTGATTGTGATGAAGTTTTGGCGTCAATATTGGCACTAGATAAATTTGTGTCTGCTGTGGCCTCTGTACTCTGTAAATGTCAATTACAATAATGCGATTATTAGCATGCTTGTGAGTCACAAAGAAAAAAAACAAAGAGCGCTACCTTCACTTGTTCATTATTGGCTGTCGGAGTGGATACTGTGAGAGGTATTGTAGGATTATTTGTTGTTATTGCTTGATTGGAAACAAATTCTGTTACAGCATTCTAAAAATAGAGAAATTACAATTAAGAAAAGAACATTCATGGTTGGTGGTGACCACTGGGAGTCAATTTTGCTACAACCAGCATTAACTTTAATTGACGAAATTTATCTTTTTCTATCTTTCATTAACTTACATGTATTGAGTTTGACTGTTGAGTATTTAAATCAGGCTTTAACGATGCCAGAGGATCTGTCATTGAGTTTTTTACTGCTACAGTCACAGTAGGACCTACATTTTGAGGGTTTGGCGTAAATTGTGTTGGAAATGGGCTCATGCCAGCTTGTAAAACTGGCTGCAATTTAAACAAAATGAAAGAATATTTCGTCAGAAAATTAACAAGGCAAATAATAACGTTTTATGAGAAAGATGATTAAAATTAACTAAATCAAATATTTTTTTCATACTAAGTGACACTTAATATGCGAAAGAAATTTGCGAAAATTTCATTTCTCTGTTATAAACAACGTATGCAAAGAGCAGCAAAGAGCTTTAATAATTCAATAATATAAATTTATTTATACCAAATTATCTTCCTCAAATCTTCTTATTTCTTGTAATATACTCATATTATAATTTAATTTACTTTGTGAATACAACTTGCTACACGTTGTGTTCGTTCTTCATTATTACAATTTAAACATTATTTTTATATTCACACCGTTTTCACGTGTGAATCTATTGGTTTTGTTCAGATTGAAAAATCAGTTTTTCGCATTTTGTGAGAAAACAAAGCAAAATTGGTTATAAAAGGTCACAGAAGAAAAGTTTGTGCCTGAATTTTTACATCATTTTCAAAAAACAGATTTCAAATTGGTTGTGGCATTGCTGAGAAAATCGCAAAATACGCTTTCTGTAAGCAAACAAGCAAGCAAGCAAGTTAATCAGCAAGAATTCTCAATAACGAGACATTGTAGACTTTTATTTTTTTACATTTGATCCGTGCTGCTCTACAGAATAGCTGTATTGTTTTTGGGCAAGGTAGGAACAGCCGTTGCTTCAGAAAAAGCAAAAAACTTTCCTTTCTCACGAATTTTTCAAATTAAAAGTTCACTGTGATTTTTTTTTATTTATAATTAAACTTTGGATGAAAAAAATTTTTTGAGCAAAGAACCAAGAAGGAAATACATTTTCAATTATGATCTTGGGACAGGTCTAGTCAAAATATAGTTTTTCACTTTTTTTCTTCGAAGGTTTATCCAATTACAGTGAAACTTTGTGTGAGTATACTAATATTTATACAAAACAGTTTTAAATATCTAAAGAAAGAAATGTATGTAATGTCGTCAGACCCAAATTTTATAAATTTGGTTGTACATTCAAAAACAACGTGACTTAAAATTTTGTCCAAAAAAATGATTTTTATTAATTCAGAAATGTGTGACCTGAAGATTTGAATGCTCATACAAAGTTTTACTGTATTTGGATTTATCCTCGAAGAAAAAAGTGACAAAATTGATTTTGACTAGGGTCGCCGCTAGTCCAAAATTGAACATGTATTTCCTACTTGGTTATTTGCTCAAAAAATTTTTTGAATGTTTTATTTGTATTTGTATTAAGCACTTTAATATTTATGCAAAGTTTCAATCCATTTGTATAAACCCTCGAAGAAAAAAGTGACAAAATTGATTTTGACTAGGGTCGCCCCTAGTCCAAAATTGAAAATGTATTTCCTACTTGGTTCTTTGCTCAAAAAAATTTTTAGAATGTTTTATTTGTATTTGTTTTAAGCACTAGAATATTTACGCAAAGTTTCAATCCATTTGTATAAACCCTCGAAGAAAAAAGTGACAAAAATGATTTTGACTAGGGTCGCCCCTAGTCCAAAATTGAAAATGTATTTCCTACTTGGTTCTTTGCTCAAAAAAATTTAAGGATGTTTTATTTGTATTTGTTTTAAGCACTAGAATATTTAGGCAAAGTTTTAATCCATTTGTATAAACCCTCGAAGAAAAAAGTGACAAAATTGATTTTGACTAGGGTCACCCCTAGTCCAAAATTGAAAATTGATTTTCTATGGTGTACTTTTGTCAAAAAAATTTTTTGGATGTTTTATTTGAATTGACATAATTCTGACATAAATCACATTCCAATATTACTTTTAGTAATGCATAGCTTAAAAAAATCGAAATCTAAAATTTCGACTACCCCATCTGAATTTTGTTCATACTCTTCACCGTGGAAACCAAAAAACAAATTCTTTATCTTAAAACACTTGACAAAATAGCGACATAATTCAGGATTAATTACTTTTTAAAAATATTTTAACATTTACGAGAAAATGTGGTTCAAATAAGTGTGAAGTATGGCCGAGATTTGGACCATAGTGTTCCCGAGGGTGACAAAATTCAAACTAAGTGTTTTTGTAGCTGACTAATTATGACATAAATTAGGTATATCTTTTGAACTGTGTCGATATGGGTCTCGGCCTTACTTCACGCCCACCCTTCAAACTTATGCTGAGCAAATCTTGGTCTATCCATAAGACTTTTGATGGTACGGTGTGAATATATCCGCATTGGGTTTCTACCCGATACACTAGTTTAATTTCACTTTCTATTCTAAATTTTACTTTTTTTCAGCGCATTTTCTTCAAGGAAATGTCCTGCTGTACACATTTTGCATCTCAGTTCTTGTTTTTTTTTTATTTGATCCCTATTCTGCATACATTTTTTGTCATTCAATAATATAAATCTTTTCGAAAAAAATGCTGGTTTTGCTAGATTTGAGCAAATAACATCCAAACTTGTTCCCTTCTTGCCAAAATTAACGAATAGCTCGCTCAAAAAATGCACAATATTTCTCGTTGTGACTACTTGTGCATATTGTACAACATTATTATATTATGTAATTTATTAAATTCCTAAGATTTAAATAATTTTTTATAGCCATGAGGTACATGCGACTCTTAAAAAATAATCTATCTCATGCGAATATGAGTTTGAATATTTTTTGTGAGTCAAGAGTCACTACTAAATAAAAGAGCCAATCCAACATCAAAACACCACTAAAAGTCGTAGTATTACTCAAGATTATACATACACTAAATATATAGAATTTTCGAAATAAATTGAAATGACCTCTTAAATGTACGAAGCTTAATTGAACAGAATGCAGGAACATTTAAATTGAAGAAAAAACTTTTTGTTTGATATTATACAAAATAATATGCTTTGTATATTCATGCATTAGAAGCAGGGTGTCCATAGATTATTCGTCTCTTTTTGTAGACGTTGATTTGACCCGAAAAAGTAATAAAATTAGCACCACGCCATTGACATTTTGAATATCTTATATTTTATAAAAAATTGTAAACACTTTCGTAACTCGTTTCTGATCAAAGGAAGATGTTATTTTTAAGCTCATCATTTGTGGAAGATCAGAGGGCTTTTTAAAGATATTTCGTCCACTTTATTCTTATTAAATTCTTTTTTGTAATACTTTATTTAATGTTATGCAGTCTGCATTTAAGTGAGAAAAATGCGTTAAAATCATCATTGTAGGACAATAGAAACAATTTAGATACAATTCTTCTTAGTTTTTGATAACACAACAGAGGCATCATGCTTGTCGGTTATCAAAAAATGTGCTTAGCATAAATGTCAAGTATAAAAAAAATATTTGTGAAAATCCCTATCTTTTAAAAAAATAACTCACTCTGGATGATGGGGCAATTACCTCAAATCCAGAACCGTCCCTTCGTACACCCATGAGTTGGACACCCTATATTCATGCATGAGAAAGAAAAAAAATTTTATAGATGTATTACGAGGTTATAGTTTAAAGGCTATCAATAAATAAATTTATTTACATGCATACACAATTTTTTGCCATTTTATTTCTTTCCGAATTTTTTTTGCCTCCCAAAACTTCACAGCATTAATAATCATTTATCAAAGACAGTATGGTGAACTGATTTCAAGGAAAGAAACTAATGATTGTCGTAAAGGAAATTTATATTCAAATTACGTGAGAGATGCATGAATCAATTTTATAATTTTTTCGGAATTGCAATATCCTTTAATATTCTCATCTCTTTCTTGTACTTTATCTATATATGCTTAGAATCAAATTATCATACTGAATAAAGTTCTCATCTTTCCTCTTCGTTCATTTCGTGTGTGCAAGACGGGAAAGAAATAAATAATATGCAAAAATACTGATGATTTTTTTCCTGTTCCGAAACAGAAATAAACTGATGATGATGAGAGAATTAGAGACATACATACACACAAAGTGAATGAGTAAAGAACAGTTTAAGGATTCTTTATAAAAGAACAAGAAAGAAAAAGTTAACAACATCTGCTTGAGAGTGAGTGAAAAAATAAAGTAATGATGTTTGTCTACGAGATTCCATATGCAAGCATCATCATAAAAATTTATTTATAGAAAGAGAAACGAGCGTCTTAAAATCATTGTCAAGAAAACATTCATGATTAACGTGCAGTGAATTAATCAAATTATTGAATCTTTTGCTGCTTAGCCCATTTTCAGTTAATTCGCTTGCTAGTCTCTTCATGCTACGTCTTTCCTGTATGTATATGTATACATATGTATATATATATATATATATATATATATATATATATATAAATATGAGACTGACTGAATGTTTAAAGCACTTTAAACGTTGGACGAATTTTTACAGAGATAATGAATTGCACATATTTTAATAAGCATACATACCGGAAAATACATTCCTTGCGGAGGTAAGAAATAAGCGTTAGACCACATAAAATAAACTTTTCTTTTTTCCTCTTTGGTAAAATTTCAGAACAAAAAATCTGATGATTTAAAACGCAAGACAGACAAAAATCCTTTTTTTTTCAGATTCAAATATCGATTATTCTGCCCAGGATGCAAAAACTTTAAACTTCCTTTTATACAATTACTATACACAAACACTTTATGTTTTGTATTTTTATGAACATTAAAATAAAGGTAAATTCTTAAAATTATTCACTATTTTTAATTTTTTAGTCATGGATAATAGAAAACAAAATTTACACTGAGCTGAATGAATATATTTTTAAGAGGGCGATGACAATTTTCACAAACTGGCTTTATTTATCCCCTCGCTAGCCTCTAGCGGATGCTCGATGACTAGTCTTTTATGCTCAGCATTTTATATTGTAATTCTACTTTTCTTAAAGCTGTCTGTTTTTAAGGGACAACAAACATACTTATTTTTGATCCTCTTTGAGCTCGCAAGAACTACTCTTAATAATTACACGTTTGCTTTTTTATTTGCTCGAGCAACTATTGTTGAAATTTATATGGTTTTAAAATATTATATTATGAAATGTCATCTTTTGGTACTAGATATCTTTCTTAGATTTTTGTATTACTATTTTTCTGACTATCTAATCCCTAAACGTGCTGTTCTTGGATACTAAAACAACACAACAGTACTTGTTATTTTCAGAATTTTTTTAAAATTTAAAAAACATCAATTAATTTTACAAAAGAATTTAAGGTATGTCAAAAGTGAATTGATTTAAATTAAGCAAGTTTAAATCATGAGTTCCAAAAGACATAATTAACAAATTCGTTAACTGTAGTAAACTTTTTCAGTGTTATTCCCCTTGTTTCAGGGGGCAGCAGCATTTTGTTATTTCGTGCGCAAGACTGAAACTGTAGTATTTTTTTTTACTTTCTCGACCATCTGAAAGCATAAACCGCAACATTAAGAACAAGATTTTCTATTAATATTTCAGTAATATAGATACAAGAGGATTATTTTTATGGTGAATTTTAAAAACATTTAAAAGATAATTTTTTGCATCGTTAAAATCGTAAACAAGACAAAATAAAGAACATTTTAAAAACATTAATTGAGCATAGAGCATACAAGTAATTAATTAATTACAAAAATGTCAAAGCCGGTTTACGAGATTGGTTAGTAAATTACATGTTTTCTCCTATATTTCCGCTATTAAATTCTACTTCCTTTAATCAGATTTTCAAAATCAAATTGCTGGAAATAATAATGCCACTCAATCAGCACAAAATCTTCCACAGTTTACACTACAAACTCCTCAAACGCCCGGAGCAAATATCTCTATAAACACACAGCAAAAGGAACTGAATGTCCTGACACTGTGTCGAATTGGTAAGTAAAGCAAATGTCAGCTGACAGTTTATAATTTTGAGTAGCATTGCATATATTTATTTTTTTAATTATAGGACAAGAAACTGTACAGGATATCCTATCGAGATTTCAAGACATATTCAGTACTTTGAAAAATTTACAACCACCAAATGGAACTCAAAACTCGGCCGATGATAAAAAACAAAAAATGCAGGATCAATTTCGAACCATTCGTTTACTTTTTAAGAGACTAAGATTATTATATGAAAAGTCAGAGAATTCTGAAGAGTATATAGAGATTGAAAATCTTATACCGTATATAGGAGATACAACAAACACAATTGAACCAATGTCAAATGCTGAAGAATATGAGAAGGCATTGACTGAAAATCGGGAATTGAATGAAGTATTGCGTGAGAAGAACCAACAATTAAAAGAGATAATTGATAGGATACGAAACATAATATCTGAAATTAATACTATGATGTCATGCAGAAGATGCTAAAATGTCATCATGTACAAATCAAAAAGTTTTTTATTAATTTTTAAAAATAAAGGAGCTCGCTCGAATAGACTCAAGAACCGAGCTGTTCTATGTACATGAGTTTTCCAATTAGCTAGTTTATTTGCAGTGTTAAGTCTGTCTGCAAGACAAAATATTTTTTTAAAAGTAGAGGAAACTATAGATTATCAACAACTCACTTCATTCGACAGATAAATATGCAATGAGTTTGCTTCTACTTTATTTTTCTTTTGTGTGTAAAAATGCCTTCTTGGAGTGAGTTTTGGGCTATTTATATGAAATACATCAATGTAGAATGAAGGTGTATAACTTAAGGGTTTATAAATGTTCCTAAGTGAGACGATGACATTCTTACAATTATTAAATTTCTCACAATTCTTTAATGACCTAATCATCACAATACAAAAGCAGTTATTAGTAGTTTTATTTTTTTTAAATAATAATTTAAACGTCATGATTAAGAAAGCTTGTCGATTCATATTCATATTTTCGATTTGTTAAACTGCATGGTAAAAGCCAGCAAATAAATGGTGTTCTATGTCCACAAACTTCTCCCATCAAATACATTTTTGGTCTATGCGGTCGATAACTCCCTCTCATTTGCAATTGTTCAATAGGCGTCTCGTCATATAAAATGGCATGTAGCTGATCAACCATTATGGCAATTACAAATAATCCAAAAAGTCCACTTTCGAGTAATAAAATTATGCTATGGAGCATTCTCTTTTGAATTTCTTCTTGATCAATATTATTATCAACTTCAGACATCCATGTAATTACTATTAGAATTATTGAGTAAATTGCAAGCACCCCGACATATACTAAGAATTGTAGAAAATATTTTTGATTCCTTTCCCCCACACAGTTGTTTATCCTATACATACCAAAGAAGAAGAAAAATTGCCGTAAACATACAGTACCGTTCAAAACTATTTCCATGCTTCATGAAAATTTTTCTTTCCAACATATTTCTTATAAAACTTAATATTTTCCCAACATGTTATATATCGTTTTAAAGCTTGTTTAATAAGCTATTTAAAAATGATAAGCAACTCTGGAAAATATTTAATTTAAGTAGATTTTTTTCTTAAAATATACTTGTCACATGGAAACACTTTTGAGCTAATAATTGTTTTTCCAAATTTTGATGCATAGTTGAACTAATTGATTAAAGTTTGTTTATTATAGGAGAAAGCAAATAAAATATAAGATAATAGCACATAAATTAAATTGCTAGACAAACTTGAAATATTTAAACAAGAATGTCAAATCACATGATAATTTTTCATATAATTTTGCAAAAAATTAGTGAATTAAAGCCAAATGTTGTGATGTTTGCATCTATACAAATGTAAATAGAAGCATTTGAAAGCAAAAAAAATTTAAAAGATTTCATGGAAACACTTAAATTTTCTTACTTGCAAACACAAACATTCAACAATTTTTATTCCTTCCTCAACTTCAAAGAACTTTAATCGCTTTTTCTGATAGATTTTATGTTAACAAAGTTAACCATATATGATTTATGTAGTCATTGTGAGAGTAAATGGATTTTTTTTACAATTTTATTGGTCAATGATAGCCATATTTAAAAATTCTGTAAGCATTTACAAAAATTCATTTTTTTAACCTAAATATCGACTTTAGACAATCCAAAATGATTAAAATAACTTTAAAATCCAATTCATAATAAAAAATGATCATATTAGACTGTCTAAAGTCGTTATTTACGTAAAAAAATTGAATTTTTGTAAATGCTTATAGAATTTTTGAATATGGCTATCATTGACCAATAAAATTGTAAAAAAAATCCGTTTCCTCTCACAATGACTACATAAATCATATATGGTTATCTTTGTTAACATAAAATCTATCAGAAAAAGCGATTAAAGTTCTTTGAAGTGGAGGAAGGAATAAAAATTGTTGAATGTTTGTGTTTGCAAGTAAGAAAATTTAAGTGTTTCCATGAAATCTCATCAATTTTTTTGCTTTCAAATGCTTCTATTTACAATTAAAAACTGTTTTTCAGATTTAATAAGCTAAAATACATTTGTATAGATGCAAACATCACAACATTTGGCTTTAATTCACTAATTTTTTGCAAAATTATATGAAAATTTATCATGTGATTTGACATTCATGTTTAAATATTTTAAGTTTGTCTAGCAATTTAATTTATGTGCTATTATCTTATATTTTACTTGCTTTCTCCTATAATAAACAAACTTTAATCAATTAGTTCAGCTATGCATCAAAATTTGAAAAAACAATTATTAGCTCAAAAGTGTTTCCATGTGACAGTGTATATTTTAAGAAAAAAATCTACTTTAATTAAATATTTTCCAAAGTTGCTTATCATTTTTAAATAGCTTATTAAACAAGCTTTAAAACGATACATAACATGTTGGGAAAATATTAAGTTTTATAAGAAATATGTTGGAAAGAAAAACTTTCGTGAAACATGGAAACAGTTTTGAACGGTACTGTATTTATATTGATTATCGGTGTTTTGAGAAAATCATGCTTGTAATGCAAAATCAATCCAATTGAAAGACTTTATGATCATTCAAAAAAGTTTTCTTCTCAGTACATACGTACATACCAAGGACAATGATGGTCCAGTTTTTTTATGCAGCGCTTACAGATCCTACAATGATGTGCTCTTGGAGGGCGAAATGTCTCGCACCTTGTGCATACAGTCCATTCATCCTTTTCTAATTCTTTTGGATGCGAATGAAGGTCAGAAAAGTCTAGACGATTTGAGGAGAGTGGAACAGTTCCTGGATCTAGAAAAACTGCTTTCAAATGCGCAATCACAAGTAAAAAAATGATTGTGTTAAATAAGAATACGTTGAAAGGTCCCCAAAGCCTTTAAAAGAAAATTAAGTATTTTATTAGTTTACTGGATGTTCTATTTACGATCGATATTTCTATTTGTTTAGTTTTAAAAATAGACATTCGTGTCAGAAATCTCATTAGAATTGTTTATTAGGAACTCAAAGGAATTACGATGATCTTACGAGTTGGTGAAAACTGTCATAATTATCCATCGTGTAACTACATAGTCAGCATAAAACAGTGCAAGATATGTAAAAATAAGACATATTATCCCTAAAAAATATAGAATTTACAAAAATGTCAATTCAGTTTCATCAATGTATCGTATCTTCTTCTAATTTTTACCACAAACATCCTTTACAAAAACCATGTTTAATTTAATTTCACTATTTTCATCCAATAACTATTCATAATGTCCGTCAGACTTTAATATATTTATGCTTCTGCCTAAAAAATATTTTTATCTACGAAATTTTTCACAATAACATGAATGAACTGTATTTTTCATGAATATCATAGGGCGATTACTTCTTTTAAGAAACGTAGAAGCCGTTACAGAAGTGAAAATACAGACAAACTTTACATTGACCAATTAATTAATTGAAGAAGTTAAGACACAAAGATCAGCAGGTTGGTTATTCGATAAAAGTGCATTTTCTTAGCACAATAAATCCATTTTAGGATGCATTCTGAAAATTTTAAGTACTTCTACAGAGTGCTTTTTCCTTTATACATAATTGAAAGCAAAAAGAAAAGTAAAGGTCCTTTAATTTTAATACGGACTATGATAAAAATAATAATAATAATCCATTTTAGGTTCAATAGCCAAGTATAGATTTCAAGTTAAATATTGCATAAAAAAAAAATAAAAATATTATTAGAGGAGATAGATTTACAATCTGCATGTCTATAATTTTAGAATATAATAAAATTTTATTAATCTTTAAACTGTATTACAGATAATAGATAATATTTTTAAACTGATAATTTTAAATACCTAGAACAATTATTTATTTTCCTTCCTTCGTCATTTTTTAAACAGAACATCAAGCTTACTCAAAAATTTATATGCAATAACTAAATGCTCATGGCTGTTGATATAATGGTTGTGCTGCTGCATCAATCGTCTGCTGTGAAGGATAATTCATTGTTGTTGACTGCAGTGTCATATTTCCTAGCATATCTGTAATTTGTTGTTGCTGCTGGATTTGTTGATTTAAAGGAATCATATTTGGATTCATTTGAAAATTTTGCGGCGTCATTCTAGTCATTTGCTGGTGATGTTGTTGTAAAGGAGATAAAGAATAATTTTGAGCTACAAAAAGAAAAATGTTTTACTTTTAACATGTGTGACTCATTGTCGAGTTATCGTTAAATAGCTAGAAAACAAAGAAAGTAGGAACAAATTGATTGCAATAAGAACTTACCTAAATTATGATTTTGAGGGAATGTTGGTGGTAACGAAGAATGATTTTGCTGAGACGGCATGCTAGCTTGTGACATGTCTTGTGACTGATTATTATGATAAATTGCACTTGGCATTTGAGGCATTTGTTGAATACCGTTTATTGGATGTTGATATTGCTGCATCATTTGTTCCTGTGATGGACTTTGATTATTAATTTGACTCATATGACCAGACATATTGCCTGACTGTACAAGATGAGAAGGAAAATTTTGATGCATTTGTTCAGGAATCCCCATCTGTCCAATGAGATGTGGATCTACCATGTTGCTTGGCATTCGATAAGAGCTATTGGGACGATACATTTGATGTTGCATGTTTGGAAATGTATTCATTATTGGAATCTTTTCAGTATCTCGCATTAAACTATGATAAAGATTAATCGTATCAATCAAATCACTACTAAGTTGAGTAAGCTGAGCATGCCTTCTATCGACACGTTCTAATTCCGAATCAATTAATGGCCCCATTTGATTTACGAAATTTTCTAATCGCATCATTTCGTCGGTATCTTGAGATGGATCTTCTGGATCAGCTTCATGCAAAAGGAACAATAAACGGTCAATAGCTTCTTCATTTATCTCAACAGGTCTTTCGATTTTCGGCTCATCGTTATTATTTGGAACTTTATTAGATTTTCTAGTTTCTTTTTGCATCAAATCTTCGGGCTCTGAACTTAAATCAGCTGAAACGAAGTTTGCTGGAAAATATCCTTCACCTCTGTGATTACTACCACGCCACCAATTCGGATCAGACTCTTCAATAACCATAATTATTTCGCCTGCTTTAAATGTCAATTCATTGTCTTCAGCTGCTTCAAAATCATAAATTGCACGAACTTTTCGAGGCTCTGGAGCTTTAATAGCAGTTACTGTAGCACTTGAATTATTTAACACATCACTCATTGATGGATAAAGTGATGATGCAGTTGCTGTAATGCTCGAAGCTGCTTTAGATGGCGTAAATTTTTCTTTTAACGATAATTCGATGGCTTTAGCAATATCATCTTCTTCTTGCTGACTAGAAACCACATTCGGATCACTTGATTTCTCAATTTCCCTTTTCACTGGCGTTGAATGATCAACAAAATCATGTCCTTCCGATTTCATCTTATTGTAAAGGGATGGAATTAAATTCAATTGTGGATCAGCTTTGAAATCTCCTTCAGCCCATTTTTTCAAGCATTGCTTCAATTTCTATAAAATGTATTAGATTTTACTATGCAATAAGTATATCATAATAATAATTTATCAGATTCTCTTACATTTGCCACAGTTGGTTGACTTTTAATGACTAATTTCTTAAATTCTTGTTCAAATTCTCGCGAAGCGACTTCCAAATGATAATTTTTCCCACAGTTATTGATACATGCATCCAACAACTGAAATTATAATGAACTTAATCAGTTATAGACACACTTGATTGACTTTATTTATATTTACGGTAATGGCTTGCATAACAACATGAGGATCAGCATGATTAAGGCGTTTAATAATGATTCTCAAACTTTCTTTTGCGTTTATCGGATTACTTCCAATTTTATCACATACATCCATAATAAGGGACCATTTTTCCGTAATGTTAGTTTCACTCGTTGCTTTTTCTGTAAGAAAGTCAGAAAGCACCAAAAGATTATTAATGACATTATAAGATTCAGTAATCTTTTGTTGAAATGAACGAGGAAAAATAAGAAAATTTCTTTGTGTTTGATTCAAAATTAATTTCAAATTGCGTCTGCTTTTATTTATCTGTTGACCCGAAGATTTCATTGTAGATAAGTCCAAATAATACGAATTGTGTCAATATATTTTACCATTTTGTTTCAATCTTACTCTAATTAATACAATCAATACAGACGTAGAAATTATTTGAATATCGATATTTTTTCAAAAATTTCTCAAATCTATGTCATAACATTTTTAATTCAATTAAAATCTTTTGACTTACCTATTTCAGTTTCAAGTGGTGATGCCGAGTTACCAAATATCCCCATGGTTAATGCAAAACTTAATAATGTTTTTTTAATGCCAAATCCAATTCTAAAATCTTTTAATTGTAATGATTGAAAGATTTTGTTAAAAAAAATTGATGAATAATAAGGGGTCGTCTATAAATGACGTAGTAAGAAGAATGTCACCTAATAATTGAGCAAATTTGAGCAAATTTCTCGAGTGCTCGGAACTGGAAGAACTTGGAGATTTCTGGTTTTTTATATTCACACCAATTCACACCGTTTTCACGTGTGAATCTATTGGTTTTGTTCAGATTGAAAAATCAGTTTTTTCGCATTTTGTGAGGATATGGAGCAAGATAGCTTAAAATGTTCAGAGATGAAAAGTTTGTGCCTTGAATTTCACATCTTTTGCAAAAAAAACAGATTTCAAATTGGTTGTGGCATTGCTGAGAAAATCGCAAAATATGCTTTCTGTAAGCAAGCAAACAAGCAAACAAGCAAGAAATCTCAATAACGAGACATCATAGAGACTTCTAGTTTTTTACATTTGATCCGTGCTGCTCTATAGAAGAGCTGTATTGTTTTTGGGCAAGGTAGGAACAGCCGTTGCTTCAGAAAAAGCAAAAAACTTTCCTTTCTTACGAATTTTTCAAATTAAAAGTTCACTGTGATTTTTTTTAAATTAAACTTTGGATGAAAAAAATTTTTTTGAGCAAAGAAGGAAATACATTTTCAATTTTGGACTAGGGGCTAGGGTTTGTGGAAAAGAGCTGTTTTTGAAAATCTGTTTTCGGTTTTTGATTTTTAAAAACAGCTGTTTTCCTGTTTTTCTAAAATTCAAAATAAACTGAGTTATCCTAAGTGTTTCTCTAAGATAATGAAACTTTTTGGTGGTTATAAGCAGTTAAGCATACATTTTAGAGCTAAGCATTATTATTTCTTATTTTTTTATGTTAATTAACTGTAAAAAATATAATGAAATATGAAAATGCAAAAAATAAAATCCAAAAAAATTTATACCTTTAAGTAACATTGCATTGTTGCATTGTAAAAGTTCCATAAGCTCTAATATTTTATTTGAAATATTCAAAAAATCTTTCTGAATAAAAAAATATCTTGTAAAATTGTTGATTATATTTTTAAACTTTAGTAAATGCTACAAAAGGTTCAACAAATTTAAAATTTCGATTGCAAAATTAAAAATTAATAAACATCCAAAAAATATTAAAATAGGAAATACATTTCAATTTGAAATGCTAGAAAAATATATTAAGTTCTTCAAAAAATTAAGAAATTTTTTTTTCTATAAATTTTATGTAAAAATGAAAAACAGAAAACTTTTTTGAGACCTGTTTTCTGTTAACAGATTTTTGTCGAAAAACAGCTGTTTTTCTGTTTTCTGTTAACAGATTCCCCAAACCCTACTAGGGGCGACCCTAGTCAAAATCAATTTTGTCACTTTTTTCTTCGAGGGTTTATCCAAATGGATTGAAACTTTGCATAAATATTCTAGTGCTTAAAACAAATACAAATAAAACATTCTAAAAATTTTTTGAGCAAAGAACCAAGAAGGAAATACATTTTCAATTTTGGACTAGGGGCGACCCTAGTCAAAATCAATTTTGTCACTTTTTTCTTCGAGGGTTTTTCCAAATGGATTGAAACTTTGCATAAATATTCTACTGCTTAAAACAAATACAAATAAAACATTCTAAAATTTTTTTGAGCAAAGAACCAAGTAGGAAATACATTTTCAATTTTGGACTAGGGGCGACCCTAGTCAAAATCAATTTTGTCACTTTTTTCTTCGAGGGTTTATAAAAATGGATTGAAACTTTGCATAAATATTCTAGTGCTTAAAACAAATACAAATAAAACATCCTAAAATTTTTTTGAGCAAAGAACCAAGAAGGAAATACATTTTCAATTTTGGACTAGGGGCGACCCTAGTCAAAATCAATTTTGTCACTTTTTTCTTCGAGAGTTTTTCCAAATGGATTGAAACTTTGCATAAATATTCTACTGCTTAAAACAAATACAAATAAAACATTCTAAAATTTTTTTGAGCAAAGAACCAAGTAGGAAATACATTTTCAATTTTGGACTAGGGGCGACCCTTGTCAAAATCAATTTTGTCACTTTTTTCTTCGAGGGTTTATACAAATGGATTGAAACTTTGCATAAATATTCTAGTGCTTAAAACAAATACAAATAAAACATTCTAAAATTTTTTTGAGCAAAGAACTAAGTAGAAAATACATTTTCAATTTTGGACTAGGGGCGACCCTTGTCAAAATCAATTTTGTCACTTTTTTCTTCGAGGGTTTATACAAATGGATTGAAACTTTGCATAAATATTCTAGTGCTTAAAAAAAATACAAATAAAACATTATAAAATTTTTTTGAGCAAAGAACCAAGAAGAATACATTTTCAATTTTGGACTAGGGGCGACCCTAGTCAAAATCTAGTTTTTTACTTTTTTCTTCGAAGGTTTATCCAATTACAGTGAAACTTTGTGTGAGTATACTAATATTTATGCAAAACAGTTTTAAATATCTAAAGCAAGAAATGTATTCTATATGTCGTCAGACCCAAATTTTATAAATTTGGTTCTACATATAAAAACAAAGTGACTTAAAATTTTTCCAAAAAAATGATTTTTATTAATTCAGAAATGTGTGACCTGAGGATTAGAATGCTCATGCAAAGTTTTACTGTATTTGGATTTATCCTCGAAGGGAAAAAAATGAAAAACGAGATTTTGACTAGACCTGTCCCAAGTTCATAATTAAAAATGTATTTCTTACTTGGTTCTTTGCTCAAAAAAATTTTAGGATGTTTTATTTGTATTTGTTTTAAGCACTTGAATATTTATGCAAAGTTTCAATCCATTTGGAGAAACCCTCGAAGAAAAAAGTGACAAAATTGATTTTGACTAGGGTCGCCTCTAGTCAAAAATTGAAAATGTATTTCCTACGTGGTTCTGTGGTCAAAAAAACTTTTTGGATGTTTTATTTGAATTGACATAATTCTGATATAAATCACATTCCAATATTACTTTTTGTAATGCATAGCTTAAAAAAATCGAAATCTAAAATTTCGACTACCCCATCTGAATTTTGTTCATACTCTTCACTGTCGAAACCAAAAAACAAATTCTTTATCTTAAAACACTTGGCAAAATAGCGACATAATTCAGGATTAATTACTTTTTAATAATATTTTAACATTTACGAGAAAATGTGGTTCAAATAATGTTTTTGTAGCTGACATAATTATGACATAAATTATGTATAACTTTTGAACTGTGTCGATATGGGTCTCGGCCGTACTTCACGCCCACCCTTCAAACTTATGCTGAGCAAATCTTGGTCTATCCATAAGACTTTTGATGGTACGGTGTGAATATATCCGTATTGGGTTTCTACCCGATACACTAGTTGCATTAAATAGTTGCTACTTCGCAGGTTTGCATGTTTTTTATAGTTTTTAAAAAACTTCCCTAATTTATTAATTAAACGCACTTTTCTGTTTTTAGTGGTGCATACAAATTTGTTATTGGTTAAAACCAATGAAATAAAATTTAAAAAAACCGTTATTTTTTGAATAGAAATATACCGTTACATGAATATTTTTCAAGAAGTCTTCAGATTCGGCATTAAGAGGTGGTGGGTGAGGGTGGGTATCAAACCAATATTAAATTTCTGAACCAAAAAATTCTTTTCATAATTAATCGATAACCAATTAACGAAGACATAGCAATTTTCTTAAAAATTCTATGCAAGTTACGCTTTATTAAAGTGACTAATGTCATCATTGATTGTAGACTTGGAGAAAATCAAGAAAAACAGTGTCACTTAGAAATTTTTTTTTCCTCGGGTCATAATAAAAATTTTAAATAAAACGGATAAAACGTGTAAAAAAATATTAAACAAGATAAAACTTTATTACATGATCACTTCATTAAATATGCAAATTCATTTGAATGCTACATTTTTTTGTTTAATAAGTCAATTATTTGAGTAATTTATGCTCAAGGGGTAGGGGGATGAGTCGGTTAAAAAAGCTTTAATATTATATTTTGGAAATACAAATTCACTAAAGCTTTGACATAAATAACTTATGAATGCTGTTAAATTAAAAGTAATGATTAATTCATAGTTTGAAAAATTTGCATTTACTAAGTTAAAACATAGCGAACTAAAGAGGATTTTTTTTTTGCACAAAAGCTCGTCTTTATTAACAAATCAAATTTTTTCTTCGTTTATCCGTAGAAAAATACCTTGAAAGTAAGTACACAAGTTTGATGAGATACATCTGTATTTTATTTATGTTTAAGTGGTGATATGTTAAATTTTTATGTCGTATACAGAATGCAACACTAAAAGAAGTTTTAGAATTTTGTTAAGCACACGAATTATGCCATAATATGGAATCTGAAAGTTTTGATCTTGTTGAAGTAAGGAAAATTTTTGGAAAACTATTAGCAAGAAAATCACTTGCAGTGTTATATGGCTTTAAGAAAAATTTATTGTGGACTTGTGGGACTTAGGAGTTTAAATAAACTAGCCCTTAACTTTGTTTTTAATACTGAAAGGTTGTTTTTATATTCATTCAATAAATATTATTGATCTCATTTATATTGAAAATATCAATAAAACAAAGATGAATATTAATTAATTCACTTTCCTCCAGCCTGTCTAACAGAGAAGAGTATAAAGATTATATTACATTCTAGAATTTCATTGTGGAGATAAATCTCATTAAAAAAAAGCCTTAAGTCGATTAAAAAACATTTCATTCTTTTGATTGTAATGAAAGCTTTTTGTGCTTTTCAGTCAAATTCTTTCGACATGACAAATGAACGTCAACCACTTCTTTTGGGAAATGACACGGAACAAACCGTCCCAGCAAGGCCTGATGTTCGTAATTCCCCGGAAAATGTCATTGTCGATGGATCGGACGACTTCAAAAGTCCAGACGATGGTGATTAAGCATTGAACCTTAACATAATAACATTGAGTCATATAAACTCGTTGTATTTTATTAATCATTTTTTTTTTCTTATCAGACTATGAGCCGTATAAAAATCGTAATTTGGAGCATCCAACAAGTAATTTAGAAACTTTAATTTTACTGATTAAAGGGAACGTGGGGACAGGTATATTGGCGTAAGTAATTAGTATTATTTAATTTGATTGAAAAATTAGTTTTGAAAATTAAATAAAACTGACAATAGAACTAGTTTTTATCTAATTTTCACTAGCTTCCACTTTCCATATGTTTTGCACATGCATAAATATTTTTTACGTCTTCTCATTCTTCATATTTTTCACACAGCATGCCCGATGCATTTAGAAATTCTGGCTTATATATTGGATTGGTCTCAACATTGTTCTTAGGATTTGTGTGCACACATTGCATGCACATTTTAGTGAAATGTTCCCATGAGCTGTGTCGTCGATTACAAGTACCGTCACTAAATTTTTCTGGCGTTTGTCATGCGAGCTTTGAAACTGGCCCTGAGAGTCTACGAAAATATTCTACACATGCAAGAAATTTAATCAACATTTTTTTGATTATAACTCAAATTGGATTTTGTTGCGTATACTTTGTCTTTGTTGCCGTTAATCTTCAAGAAATAGTGGCATATTATTGGATGAAAATCGACACTCATGTCTTTCTCATTCTACTTTTGATACCATTAATTATGGTGAATCTAATAAAGACTTTAAAGTATTTAACTCCACTTTCATTTATTGCAACAATTTTGACAATTACCGGCCTAGTCATCTGTTTTTACTACATGCTACAAGACATTCCAGAGCTTGGAAGTGTTAGACCATATGCAACTTGGGCTCAACTTCCACTATTTTTTGGAACTGCTATTTATGGTAGGAAGATTATAAATCTTTGTCAAGGATGGGGGGTAAAATCCCCGAAAGATATTAATTCCACGATTATGCGTGATAATAACCACGAAAATCACAATTTTAAATGTTCTCTGCGAGATAATATTCCCACTTAGAAATACACCTATAATTACAAGTGGGATTATTATCTCACAGGTAGATAATAATTTCACTAACATTTCTAAGTGGGATTATTATCTTTATGGAACACGATTAAAATTATGGATTAAATTAAATCCAAAAACTTATTTGTCATATTCGATAATAATTCCACTTGTATTAATAAGTGGATTTATTATGTAATAGGATTTTCATCCGAAAAAAATCCCACTTATTAATTTGTCAATTTCATTATTCAAAAAACTTAAATAAGAAGAAGACATAAATATTGGTTGAATGTTTGTTTTTTAAAAATATGATATTCCAAATTGTTTAAAAAATAACTTCAAGGTGGTTTCAAGTGGGTTCAACTGATCTAAAGATGTTAGCTATTCCATATAAACATATATAAATTATTTTCGAGATTCGCTCGAATGTTTCATTCATTCAACTGTTTAAAAATCACAGTTTTGTTATTTGAAATTCGGAGTCGAATCATCCATTTCAGTCGAAATGGACATGAAATTGGTGTTAGCCTGTTCATATAAACAGACAATTTTTTTTTTGTTAAAAAATCTCGATAAACATTTTTAAATTTCTCAGTCTAAGAAAAATAGTTTATTTATCATGGTTCCATAATCCCAAGCTTTAATAATCCAATATCAATGAGTTTTGTTTAAAAAAAATGTTTTCATTACCCTGTTTTTTCGTTATAAGCTACTACTCGTTACCAAGCTACTAGTAAGCCAAAAAAATCACTTTTTTATTCTTCTAAGCTACTAGCTTATAACGAAAAAACAGGGTAATTTCATATTACTGTGAAGGATAAATAAGCTAGAACTTTCGGCGATAATTCTTTGGAAACGATCTATTAAAATGTTGAAAATTCAACCAAATTAAGTGAAAAATTAAAAATATATGTTTTAAAATTTTGTATTTTTTCACGGATTAGGACAACAAAAAGCTTTTTAATAACTCGATGACACATGATATTTTTTAAAAGAATTGAAATATTTCATTATTTAATGACTTAAAGCATACAGAAAAACTACTTAATTGTAGATTTTTGTCTGTTTTACAACTCAGCAGTTGTTATTTAATACTAATTTCAACAGTTTTCTTTAATTTTCAATCCTTCGAATGATGAAAATGGAAAATTCCGATTTCTGTCATCGAGTTATTTACTAAAGAAATCAATAAAAATAATTAACACAGCGATTAGAAGTTTATGATATCGAAAGTATTTTACATTTTTTTAACATCGATTAGAATTATTAAATCCGGACCTCTAATGGGCAAAATAATAAATTTTCGATTCTTTCCTGAAATTTTCCAAAAGTCATTCAAAGAATTGTAAATTGCTCTTAACAAAATTAGATTTATAAATCTAATCATAATATTTGTTTACACATTTTGCTAAGAAAAATGTAAAGATTTAAACATAAAAAGAACGCAAATTTAAAATTCTGTTGCTCATATTCTTATTAAATTAACTAGAATTTTAAAATGATGGCAGTTCTGATGCTGTTTAACAGTGTCTACAAGCTCCAAAAAGGTTTCCAATGGTTTTAGAACATTTAAGAGATTTGATTGTTTATAATCTCAAAATTTCGAAATTATTCTGATTATTATTTTGAGGAAAAAAAGCAAATGGGCAAAAACAGAATTTAAATTGGCTGTAGCATTGATGGGAAAATCGCATAATACGTAAGCAAACAAGCATCAAGGCAAGTAAATCAGCAAAAATCTCAATAACGAGGCATCTTAGAGACTTCTAATTCTTGCATTTGATTCTTGCTGTGTTAAAAAGGATAAGGCTTTATTTTTTTATTGGATAAGGTAGAAACAGCCATTGCTTCCAAAAATGCAAAAAACCCTGCATCCTCTATCACGTGAACTCAAATTTTGCCAATGACAAAAATGATAAAAACGTGATTTATTAGTTCCGCACGTTTTAAATTTTGAAAGACTTAATTAATAACTATTTGCAAAAACAAAAAATTGAAAATTTTGTGTGAATATGATTTCTTGAGTGAATAGATCTTTGATACATTAAACATCTAGGCTCTAGGCTTTTAGAAAATTTACAATTCATAAAAAACCAAGTTTTCAACTTAAACATTCAACGAATATTTATTATGTTTCCTCTTATTTAAGTTTTTGGAATAATGAAATTGACAAATTAATAAGTGGGATTTTTTTTGGATGAAAATCATATTAGATAATAAATCCCATTATTAATACAAGTGAAATTATTATCCACTATGACAAATAAGTTTTTGGATTTAATTTAATCCATAATTTTAATCGTGTTCCATAAAGATAATAATCCCACTTAGAAATGTAAGTGAAATTATTATCTACCTGGGAGATAATAATCCCACTTGTAATTAAAGGTGGGATTATTATCTTCTCGGATGGATAATAATTCCACGTGTATTTCTAAGTAGGAATATTATCCCGCAGAGAACATTTAAAAATTTGCTTCTTTTTAAAATGTTAACTTTTCTTCCTTACTCTCTTGCAGCTTTTGAAGGAATCGGTGTTGTCCTTCCGCTTGAAAACAATTTAAAATCTCCAGAAGACTTTGCAAGCTGTGCAGGAGTGCTCAACAGTGGCATGACAATAGTTGCAATTTTATATACATCTGTTGGATTTTTCGGCTACTTAAAGTATGGTGACAATGCAAAAGGATCAATAACTTTAAACCTTGGAGACAGTTTGTTGGCGCAACTAGTACGTTTAATGATGGCAATCGCAATTTTTCTCAGCTATACAATACAATTTTATGTTCCTGTTAACATAATTGGGTCATGGTTACGGTCTCAATTGCATGGAGATCATGTCAGACGATTTGCTGATTATGGATTGAGAATTGCATTAGTATTACTTACATTCATACTTGCTGCGATGATTCCTAATCTTGGCGCAGTCATATCTTTAGTTGGAGCAGTTTCTTCATCTGCTTTGGCTTTGATTTTCCCGCCAATAATTGAGGTAGGTTTAAAAGATTTTTGTTTGTGAATTATGATACAAGTGATTCTTGAATCTTCACAGATGATCACTTTTTGGCCAAACAAACTAGGAAAGTATAATTGGATTTTATGGAAAGACATTGTGATAGTAATTTTTGGAATAATGGGTTTCGTTTTTGGAACCTTTACTAGCGTACTCCAAATATTGCATCCGAATCAAGATGATAAGTAAATTTCAATTCCAATTTTTGTTTTATTTATACAATTTACATTTTATCAATTATTATTTAAGTGTTTCAAACTTAAAAAATGATCTCACAGTTAATTTATTAAATATTGATAAATAATATGACTATTATTGAAAACTTATTATTATTTGATTTTATCGTTTTAAACCAAAAGAGATTTAATTTCATTTGAATTTTATAATTTTATGACACAGAGTGATTTTAAGAATAATTTTATATTACACCGCACATTTAAAGTGTTAAAAGTTAAGCTAGTAAGAGCATTTTTGTTAGTGTACTGTTGCCAATAATCACATCTACTTTTTTGCAAATCTATTACCTTCTGAAATTTAAATTATCAAATAAATATCAATATTTAATTGATAAGAATATACATTGCTTCAAATAAAACGATCGACAATAATAAAATGAAAAAATGAAAAAAACATTACCTAATATATATATGATATATTAAATATTTATGTATTCCAATAAATTGTAAGTAATACAATATTGTTGTGCTCTGAATAAAGAATAATTAAAACAATATTCATGAAAAACTAATTTTTGTTTAAGAAGTTACTTTAATATCTTTTCCATTTTGAAACTCAAATAAACTGTTTATTTTAGATTCAATAATTTCATCTTGAGTTAACTCTACCACATTGTTTTGAAACTATAATCTTAAAAAATAAACCTTTCAGTATGTCTTGAAATTGAAATTATAATCTTAAAAAAATAAACCTTTTAGAATTTTAATAATAAAAAAATGATCTACCAACCTTAGAAGAAAGCTTAACGTCAAGCTTTTAATGACTGTAATAACGTCATTGATGAAATTTTAAAATTTTGAGCAACAGTTGCTCACGGGTGAGTAAGACTCGCTTGAATTCCCATGTCATTTTTTAAAAAGTTTTGGTAAGAAGGTATCTTTGTTGAAAATAAAAATTAAGATATTATGTTTAAGAAAATTTCAGTTTTTATAAGTTAAAACAAAATCGAAGAATGTGAGGAACAATAATAAATTACTAGATTAATAATAATATTAAATTTCAATACGAAAATTAATGAATGAAATAACAATGTGAATTATGTACCACAACCAATATTAATTAAAAAAAAACTGAAATACATACACATAAAACAAATAATGAATGTGTTGGTGTTTTACAAAAATATTATGAGAAATTGAGAATAAATTTATTCAAAGAAATAACATTGGTGGAAAAAAAGTGTTTTTTAATAACACAGTATAATCGTTTTTTTCGTATTACTGTGTAATTTTTTCTTCAAAAATAAAGAAGTCACCTCAAAAGTACAATTCTGGATCATTTTTATACAACAGGGAAAAATCAGCGCATTCCTTTAGATTTGAATGCTAAAGTAAGTTGTTTGTATTTGTTCTTTTTCTTCTCTACTTAATAGAAAAATAACAAAAGAGCAAACATAAAATTATACATAAGAAGTTCCTTTCATAATTTCTCATATTTTTTTTATGTTTTTTCTACAATTGCAAACATTATGCAAAAAAATATGTGTGATTACTGATAAGAACATCGACACAAAATTTTTTTTATAATAAATAAACAAAAAATTTGTTTCCATTTACTCTACAAATATTAGGAAATAAAAAATGAGATGATTGGTGTGCATACAGTAGACTCACTAAAAACTCCAACGCATGGAGTTCCATCAAGTTCTCATTCAAATAGTCAACAACAAATGTCTACGAGAAGACAGACATTGAATGCTGTTGAATATTATAATCATAATGTCCTTCGAGCACGTATGGAAGCTGGTTTAGCTGGAACAAGAAACTATGCACCAATGAACGGAGAAACTATGTACAGAAGCAATTCGAGTTTAGAATTGCTGGATGTTGGAAAAGTTGACAATCAATTTTCGAATGCTAGTGGACCACTGAGAAGAGAATATGGTTCACAGAGCTCGATTGATATCATTTCCGAAAAAAATACATCCAATGCAAAGGGAGAGAATTTTTTCACAATGCTACAAGACTATAGACCAGCAGTATTAAATTTGAGAAACAATAACAATAACAATAAAGATAACAAGAAAGAACAAACAGAAGTAATTCAGAAAAATAATTTAAGTGTTGCTGATGCTTCTTATTTGGAAGATCAGCTTGATCAAGTAACATCCAGTCCAAAACTACGAATGAAATTAAAATTATGGGGTCAAACGAAAGCCTCAAAATCGCAAACGAATATTCCAGTTGTTGATGAAATCAATGTAAATATGTGCAATGAAAATGCAAGTGTTGTTTCGACCATTTCATCTGACATAGAGGAGCGAACCAGACGACGAGCATTTGCTCATTATGATTGCCAATCGCTCACTGCCAATTTGGGATACGCTGCTAAAGTGAGAGGTCTTTTGCTTGCAAAAAGAAGAAATACAACGACAGGAGCTTCAGCAGCAGCAATGTATTCAAGATCGTCTACTCCTGATCGTGACAATGGTGATGAGGATTTGGATGAAAGATTGTGTAACGATTTGATTGAAATTTGTCCTTTTTTTCGGAATGAAATTGGTGGAGAAGAGGAACGAGAAGTAAGCTTGACTCGAATGAATAAGACCTTAAGTAAAAAACATCAAAAGAGAGCTATACATCGTCCCTTATTTACTTACGGCACTTCAATATTAGAATGTAATATTGGAGAATCCCTTTGGAGCAAACAAGCATGCCCTTACCAAAGTAATACGAGCTTAATTGAGCAAACTGACAATGGTGCATACTATTACCGTAAATACTTTTTCGGACAAGAGCATCAGAATTTCATTGGAATGGACGAACACCTGGGACCGGTTGCAATTTCAATTAAGAGAGACAAACCACCATATCAGCCAATATCTCCAGAGTTTTCAAATGAACAGTATCTCTACCGAATGATTGTAAGAACGAGTGAATTATTAACACTTCGTGGTTGCATTTTCGAAGAGTCTATACCAAATCCAAGAGGTTCAAATAAATCAGTAAATACCAAAGATGTTATCGATCATATTGCTCCAGAAGTGCAAATTTCATGCCTGAGGTTGGCTATCAATACACCCCAGTGTGAACAACAGCTGTTGAAATTAGATGAGCAAGGTCTCACGAATAAATATAAGGTTGGAGTTCTTTTTTGTCGTGCTGGACAAACAACCGAGGAGGACATGTATAATAATGAAGATGCAGGACCAGCATTTATTGAGTTTCTCGAGACTATTGGTAAACGAGTTCGTTTAAAAGGCTTTGAGAACTACAAGGGAGGTTTAGATAACAAAACAGACTCGACCGGAACTCATTCTGTGTACACAACTTACCAAAATTGTGAAATTATGTTTCATGTATCAACAATGCTACCATTTACGCCGAATAATCGACAACAACTTTTACGAAAGAGGCATATTGGAAATGATATTGTTACCATTGTTTTTCAAGAACCAGGAGCGCTACCGTTTACACCCAAAAATATTCGATCTCAATTTCAACATGTTTTTATTATCGTTCGCGTTGTAAATCCTTGTTCTGAACATACGACTTTTCGTGTTGCTGTATCAAGATCAAGAGAAGTTCCAGTCTTTGGACCGCCAATTAGAAGTAATGCTTGCTACTCAAAGAATAAAAATTTCATTGACTTTTTGCTCGCAAAAGTCATCAATGCTGAGAATGCAGCGCACAGAAGTGAGAAATTTGCAACAATGGCAACTAGAACGCGACAAGAGTATTTAAAAGACTTGTGTAATAACTTCAGTACACAAACATCTATAGAGACTGGACAGAAATTGAAAATATTTCCAAGTAAAAAGAGGGAACCAACGAAGCCACGTTTTAAGGGTGATGCAATCCAAAGAGGAGCATTTTGTTGGCAAGTAGTTCTTCATGACAGCGGATCGTCAACTCAGATGGAATGTTTCTTAGGAATATCATCTGAAACGTTTGTATTAATTGAAGAGTCATCGAGACAAACAGTATTTGCAGCACCTAATCGTTCGATATTAGGTTGGTCAACAAACGGAAACGCTCTAAGAGTTTATCATCATCAGGGTGAATGTATAACTATGAATATGAGAGACTATGGTGACAGAGATGAACAATTAGAAGTAATAGAAAGATTAAGGGCTGTATCAAATGGATGTGGAGCTTTAGAACTAAGTTTACATCGAAATACAATGGGGCAACTAGGATTTCATGTTCAACCTGACGGAATTGTAACTCAAGTTGAACTGAATGGACCTGCATGGTCAGCTGGATTAAGACAAGGCTGTAGATTGGTTGAAATTTGTAAAGTGGCAGTTGCAACATTATCACACGATCAAATGGTCGATTTGTTGAAAACATCTATTCAAGTTACCGTGACAGTAATTGAGTCATTCTCAGATTTTTCTCCCCGTCGAGGCTGTTTTCTTTCAAATTGTAAGTTCAATTCAATAATTTATCAATATGAAAATGATTTACCCCCAAAACAACAAGCATCAGCCGTTCCGCGTAGATTTATTGAACGCAGTTTTTCACCACCTAAATCAGTAGACAGTTCTGGTTATGGAACAGCAAGTTCAAGTAGATCATTTACAGCTAATAACGATAGAAAATATGTGCCCGATATGGGGACATTAACTTCTTCTTCAAGTGGACATTCAAGCAATGATGAAAAATGGTATGACGTAGTTGAAAATACAAACTTGCAACTATTAGATTATGACTCAAATGGTCGTTATACCAAACGCGGAAATGCTGTACCAATGCATCAAAATAATAAAAAAAATACAGTACCACATGAAAATTCGCAATTATATAAAAACAATAATAGTGATTTTTTTGAACATAATTCAATAAAAGCAGCTGCTGAATCAAGTGTATTAAATCGAAGCTATCAGATGCAAGATGAGGAAAGTAAAAATGCATCTAGTAGTAATGTAAGTGTTAAGCCAGTGTACAGTGTTCCAGTAAAAGATACAAACTCACAACCGTCATACAGTGAAGATGAATTAGAGAAATTGACTAAACAAGAGACTCCACAGTTAAAGCGTTCAGCTACAACAAATGCAATTTATGTTGTTAAGAAAGCTCAAACAGCAACTGTGGCTTCAACTTCCTCTTCTTCATCTAGCAGGAATAATAGTCCGAGACCGACTGCGGAAACAAGATTAAAAGCTGGTGTATCCAGGAGTATAAATCCATCTCACAGATCCAGCATGCATTGTACTAGTACCTTGAAAGAAGATTTGTTGAAATTGATAAATCCAGACTATTTGCATGGATCAAACGATGACAATTTTCATGATGGCGACATACCAATTTCATTGAAAAGTGATAAAAAATCATCAACCAGTCATAGCTTGGGGAATTTGTCTATAGCAAGCAACCAGCTATCTCCACTCAAAACACCAATGATTCGTGATGACAATGTAATACGATCAAAAACAAAGTTCAAGGAAGAATCGGAATTTAATCCTGTTGATACTCGAATGAAATTTCAAAAAGCAAAATCAGTTTCACCCGAAGAAGAAGTTATAATTACTACAGCACGACCAGCAACTGTTATTTCACCTGTGAGTGAGATCGTCCAAAACACAAATTATCTACACATAAAAGAAGACCAAATAAATACAACACCTAGAGATCACTTTTATAACCCAAACGATGAGAGTGGACTACCAAAAATAAAAATTTCAACATTATCGGATATGAAAGAGGCTGAATGGAAAAATTTTGTAAATAATTCTTCCAAAAATATACAGGTAATTGTATTTTATATACATTAAATGTTTATTCTACAAAAATATACAAAAAGAAAAGATTTGCATATAAACTTCTTAATTTTTGTAGATTAATGGTCATCAAGAGAGCATATATGATGAGCTCAATGCATTAACAAGCAGTGAACCTATCACAGTAAATCAATTTCTGTACAGTACAGTTTCGAATTCAAACTCTCCAATTTCCAACTCAGGCGCCGCTAGTGTATGCAGTAACAGTAGTGTAAATAATATAAACAATGATCCTACATGTGCATTGCCTGAATTGCAATGTCAAGTCTCGCAATTATCCGACCGCGTTATGCGTGAGACAAGACGTCGCAGGAGCCTTGAAGTTGCCGTCAAAAAACTTACAGAAGAAAATCGAAGATTACAAGACGAGAGTCAACAAGCTGTACAACAACTTAAAAGGTTTACTGAATGGTTTTTCCAGACAATCGATAAACAATGACATTCTGAGCTACACATTTAATGTTATGACTATAATTATCATTATTATCTAATAGCTTTAAGTTTTCTCTTTTTGAAAAAGTATTTTTTTTTAATTTAAACAAAAGAAACAGTAATTACTCAACAAAGAATGAACTTTCACACTCAACACTTTAAATATTATATGTTTGGTATTTAATTTAATGAGATTTCAAAAACAAACAAAATTTTTAATTATTGCCGGTATAGATACACGAGATTTATTGTTTTTACCTCCAGCAAATCTTACATGTTATAGATACAAGACATTGTAACAATTTAGCAAACAAAATTTTATTAAATCAGATAAAATGTCCAATAATGATATATGTGGATTGTTTGTGATGATAAATGTGATAAAAGTTGGCTTGTTGGAGAAGTATGAGTTTCTAAAAATTCAAATATTTACATTCCTTTATGTAAATAAATGTGCTGAAAAAATGATAATTTTGCGCAACTACTTATTATGTAAAATGTTCGAACAATCTAGACCATTAAAATATCATCACAATATACTAAAAAAACTATCCCTTCAATAACAAAGACATGAACATGAATTTCCTCCTGGCTACAAATTTGCAATTTCAATCATGATCTACACGAATCAAAATCTGTCAGGACGAATGTTCAGTATTAGAAAATTTTACATTTTTTTGTCTTTTAATGCTTTTAATTTTAACGATTTTCGTCTCGCAATATTCAATTAAAAGATACAAAAATATAAAACCCAATATTGCACAGTTTATTAATATTAATCCGAAATTGAATGGATTTTTTTTTAAAAAAATTTTTTTTTAAACTTGTAAGTCTTCCAAAATCACAAACGAATAGAGAATTTTTTGTCTATATGAAATAATGAAATATGATAAAGAGCGAAGAAACAAAAGATAAGATACAAATTAAGAGTGCATTCGCACTCGGGATTAGTCTCAAAAATACCAAAAATCCCTTTCCCTTAATTATTTCTAATCTATAGTAGGTATTTCAAGTGGAATTTTATGTTTGATGGTAGCAAGTGCTAGGTTTTTTTGGAACTTTTGGGATTAATCCTGAGTTTATACAGCTTGAAACAAATTTAAATATTTTTGATGAAATTGCCCTCCAAAGTTCGTCGTTAAGCTTTGAATGAGTTGTTATACTTTATAGATAATTAAGATAAATTAAATATTGCCTTCATGTGATGCACTTATGAATGAAAATTCTTCACATAGACTATTAAGGAACAAGACAAAAATATAATACACTGAGTGTCTATGAAAATTGCATTTAGGATTAAAATGAACAAATATTAAAAAAAATTTATTCCACTTTTCATTAGAAATTTTGGAATTCTTTCATAAATGATAAGTAAATGAGGGTCTCTAATTTTCAAAACTGTACAATTACTTGCTTACTTAAACCTTTATTTGAATATCACCTTCATCAACTACCTAATTTGACTAATTTATCTCTCATTAAAAATCAAACTAATTCATAATTTATCTCAATCTTTTTCTCTCTATCTAGTTACAATTATAAGACCCTAATTCACACATTTTACTATTTTTAATTAACATACTTTGCTTTAATATAGAGATATTTATTTTTAATCATTTATTGATTCAATTAAATATATTATTTTTGATAAAAATGAAATGAAAAAAAAAACAAAACAAATTAAATTGAGACCATTGAGTAATTTAAATTTCGATTGAATTACAATATACATAAATTAACGTTTTCTCGATGAAATACCAAAACAATTTACCTAAATTAGATTTTATTTTAATTAATAATTTTAGTTTTTATTTTTTGTTTGAATCAAAACGTTTGATTTATTATTAGATATCAATAAATATTACTATTTAGTGCCTTAATGTAAGCAAAAATCATGATAAATAGAACAGAACAATAAAGACATTGAAACTTTTATTTGATATTTTAGTATGAGTTATTTTAATGTTTAGAAAATAATTGAATTAAAGGATATGTGAAAAATATTTGTAGAAATTTAAGACTCATTCCGTTAAAACGACAAAAAGTTTTAAATTTTTTTTTCGCTTCAACAGAGAGCACCCTGAAAATTGTTTCAAAAGAAAGATAGAAAAATTTGATGATGGTTTCGAGTAAATTTTTATAAAAAATAAGTTTGAAACCAAAATTCAATTTCAACAATGAGAATGAATGGTTTAAAATAAATTTTAAAAATTCATCTCATATCATTATCAGCAACATTTCAAAGCATTTAGTCACCCCCTGTGAATTATTTTGGAAAATTGTTTTCATGTTAAATGATTCATTTTTATAAAATTTCATATGTGAAATTGGCTTATTTTCAACTAGTGAATGTAGTTCTTAAATATTCAGTTTGATAGTGAATAATTAAAAGTTTATAGTACAACTTAAAGTGAAAAATTGTGGTAATTTACTTAGAATGGATGATTTAGGTAAGTTTTTTTTTATTTTTTTTTTTAAATTTAAAATTAAAAGTCCGATTTTTGAGGAATCAAAACAAAAGAAATCCATTCACATTAAAGGAGATATTGCAATCATAATGCATTAATAATATATTGCCGAAGAAATGCAAATTTATGATATCATTAAATTGATTTTAGTCTTCAATTCATTAATTTATCATCAAAATTAAGATTGAATTGACTCGCATTATTATGGCATACACAAATTTTTTTAAGAATTATTCTCCCCATTAAGATCAATTTTCGCACAACTCTGAACTTTTCTATGACTATAAAGCACCATTTGTTGACAAATTAATTAAAAATTATTTCAGAAATCGTAGATGTGCGAAACATTTATAAATTATATGAAATCATCGCTCCTTCAAAGAAAAAGAAGACATTAAATTGAAAAAAGTCGATTGTACATATTTACAAAATAAATATTTTTAGAATTAAATGAATCAAGCCATCAATAAATTCAATCATAAAAAAAAAAATAGGAGTCGCTAATATTTCTAATGTGATTCTTAATTTTTAATTTTTGCTAAGCGAAATTATATTAACAAGTCCAGCTTAAAATTGTTTTGAATCCAACGCGATCCATTATTTACATATAGCAAAAGCGATGATGTTTTTTTTCTTCATGCTTGTACTAGTGCTGATTTTTGTCGATGTGGTGTTGCTTTATTCATTTATTTCCATTTTGAAACATTTGATTTTTTTTCATGTCCATAATTTCATTCAGTAATAGTCGACTATAATGTTGTTTCTGGTGTGAATATTTATCTGCTCTCTCTTGAGTATCATTAAGTTCTGTGTCGGTGTTCACAACAAATGTTACAATTTTTATTTAATTCATCGCTCATGAAGGATTGATAACAGTGATAGTGCTAAAAGATCTTACTGTAACTGTGTAAAAGGACATTTTAAGAGAAATTTGAAACAATTTGAATAATATTTAAGTTTTAAAAGTAAAAATTTAAAATTTTCATAGTGGAAAACTCAGAAAAATTCAAAATGACTAAATTTTCAGGTAAATTTGAGGCACAGATCCCAAAGTTACATAAATTAAAATCGAATTATGGTAACAATTTTGCCACATCAAAAAAATCATATGTTACAATTACTGGCAAAATAGCACAAAATAGTTGAAATAATGTCGTAGGATGACTATCAATATCTGTAGCATTCCAATTTTAGAAATGTAATTATTAAGATGATCACTTAAGAAATCTCCGAAAAATGTTTAAAATTTCTGACACATAATGCATCAAAAATGTGGTTCATACCATACAATCAAACAGAAAGTTGTTTAAAAAAAATTGTGCGAAGGCGAAGTTTTTTGTTTGTTTAAACAAAATTAAATTATATCAGATATAAGTTTCATAACTTTAAAAAAAAAATTAAAACAAACTGAGTATTCATATTCAAAACAAGAATGAAAATAAGGTTTTTAAAAGTTGGTTGAGTAAGATGGTAATCCGTAAGAGAGTATAGACAAAAACGTGATTAAGATTGAAATAACAGAATCTTCGTGTCTGAGGAAATTTTAATAAAACTAGTCAAGACACATCCGAGGACAATAAAAGGCTTAGACTTTCAAAAAAAAAAAAGCTCATAAATAAATTAAGAAGTTTATAAAATTTTTAAATTCTGATTTAAAAATAATCTGCATAATTATGTTTTGAGAAAAAAAAAGATGATTAACCATGGTCATATAACAGTTAAATAGCTAAGTGTTATCTTTATTTTAAATGACATAATGATCTTTAAAGAAAAATTAAACTTTAAAAAATTCGCAATTAATCATAAGGATTAATCGCCGTTGGTTTTGATTGAATATAATACTTAATAATAAAATTCTCTGTAGTAAAATCGACGTAAAATATAAAAAACTAACGAAGGAGACTTTTCATTTATCACATTCACATGTACATGTTTTGCAAATGAGAGAAAAAAAGTATGAAAAACAAAAGGAAAAACTAATATCAGAGAAAAAAAAATGAAGTAAGAAAATATTTTCCGTAAAATTTTATCTCAAAGACATCGCATTTTGTGTATATGTGAATGTCGATTGGGAAATCATTGAGAGGTGTGCTGAGATTTTTTTCTTACTTGTTTAAAAATAAAAAGAAACCTTTACAAGCAGTGTGCGGCGTTAACTTAAATTTATCATTCACAAAATTTATCAAGTTTTGCTTAAAAATTATTTCTAATGAGTCTGGTTGTAAATAAGACTACAAATATTGTAAATGAGCGCCAAGTGCAACCTTTAACAAAATTTGAGGTTGATTTGAGTAAGTTTAACGGAATAAAAGTGAAGATATAAAGTTTTGTTGTCGATTAAGTGAAACATTTTCACTTGTGTGAGTCACTCGAGTCCAAGGTTAAAAAAAAAATAGAATTCATTAATTTTCATCTCTCCTTGTGTATTTTTTTCCCACATCAAATTAAAATTGTTCTAATAAGTGAGAAATTGATAAACAAAAAAAAAAATTTCTTTGATTTATGACTCCAATCAATGGACAATAAAACAATTTTTCAAGGCACGAAAAATTTATTTTGCTTTCAGTGAGAAAACATACAGAATTTTTTTTTTCTCAATTTTGAGAAAACTTATTATAGATTCATAGTAAAAAAAATTAGTAAATGAGTGGTAACACAAAAGTTTTCAAACATAGACTTACGAATTGTGATCGTCATTTGTGCCAATTAATTTTGAATATGTAATAATCGTTGAAGTAAATTGACTAATCAAGATTAATTATAAGTAATTAGAAAACAAGTGTATTTTCTCGCTAGTTTACAAAGTATTGAAACGTAAACTTTTATCTGAAATAAAGGATGAGAGAAGTCATACAGTCAAAGTTTGAATTAGAAAATAGATTACCTTTTATTGGAGTTGTATCAGCTAATGTAAAAACTGTTTTGTTTGTTACATTCAAATCGAATTCACGTGTGAATGTATTATTCTTATTCAGAATTTTTTGCAAAATACAGAATTTAAGTTGGTTCAGGGATCGCAAAATATTATTATTATTTATTTGTCGACGTTACCGTCTGGAAGAATTCGTATTTATACATGTTTACTTTTTACATTGATTAGTGATACATTTTTTATCACTATAGGTACATTACTTTCTGTAAGCAGTAACAAGTCAGTTACTCAGCAAGAAATCTCAATAACGATACATCGTAAAGACTTCTAGTTTTTTTTAACATTCCATCAATTATTTTCATCATTATTATGTCGTTGCTTCAAAAAAACCCTTGCTCGAATACGAATTTTAAAAACCAAAAGTTACTATTATTTTTTAAAATTCAACCACGAACAATATCCATCAAACTTTAAAAATTCAAACATATATCATGAGAGAAGCTCAGCCACTCGTCTTGATTTAAACTTTCAAACACATGATTTTACAGTTGAATCGTCTTATTAAAACTAGTTCTGAGCAAAGCTTGGTCTATCACCAATACTTTCGATGGTATGGTTTGAATACATCCGAATTGGGTTTATACCCGATACCTTTCTTTAAACTTCAATTTTTAATCAATCATTTTCACTAGTTATTTATTATGTTTAAATTTTTTTTTGTCTTGAAGTTCACATTCTGAACTAATGACAAAATTTAATTTTTGTGTTTTTATGAGTTTTTAACTACTTATGTTAAATTTATTCTATTACTCTTATGCTTACTTGCTAAAGCCAACTTGAAACAAAAAGACCATTTTGATCAATTCAACCATTTTTACATTTTATCTTCAACACTGACACCCCTTGGTAAAATACCATGGGTTATCACGAGGGACGAACAATATTCAAGTAAAATGAAGAGCGAAGCACAATTTTGAGTTTTTTTCTCAATCAAGTTAAAGACTTGTGGATGTGAAATGTGGTTATTTATAACCATCCCGTTAAAAGATTTATGAAGCAAATTGTAATTTTTAAAATATAAATCCTTTTTACTGTTAATTACGCTACTTTCATGAGAAATAAAATTATCTTCAAATAGATGTTAAAGCATTTAGAATTATGTTATTGCAACATTTTTCACAATATTCGGGGTAAAAAAATCACCAAAATTTATATGGGTTCAAAAACTTTCATTGAAGTTGACTATCAGAAATATAAGGGCGTGGTGAAACGGAGACATAACAAATCAGTAAATTTAGCCCGATGCCAGAGTCTTGATAAGCATCATTTAATTAATTGACTGGCAAAATTACTATTAGCTTTCTTAAGAAAGAAAATTGGTTTATGTCGGTTTATGTGTGATAGGATGAATGGTAATAGTTCAAAAAATTTGGCTTTGTCTTTCCGTCTCCACTTTTCTCTCTTATGTTGTATATTTAATGCTTATGAGTGGCAGTGGAAATAATAAGATAAGAGAAAAAATAACAAATAAGAAAAACGTTATTTTCGATGTAATTTGGAAAGAAAAAATACGAAAATTTCTTCAACTGTTATCATTTTCTCTCTATCTTCATTGTATGTAATTCTAAGTAAAAAATAAGCTTTGAAAAAAAGACATATGGCTTTCTTCATAAATAAGTAATAGTTTTGTATCTAAAATGATAATATACAACATTTGAGTATTGTGTAAAATCCAGAGGGGGGGGGGCAGAACAAAAATTGCTAAGAAAACGAAATTGAAAAAGTCAAATTTAAAGGAACTGAAGCATCCAAGTAAAAAATTTTATATGTCAAAAGGTCTTAAATCATGATTCTCATCAGTTACAATCAAAATTTTGGTCATAAACTGCATCGAAAGGAAATATTGCGAAAATTTCATTTTTCGACAAATTTTTTTCCAATACAAAGTTGAGTACTTGGAAATTTCATCACAGTAAACATTTTTCCGTTTTTTTTTTCTCAACAATTTTTGCTTTGTCTCCCCTCTGGTAAGATCATAATATAGTTTTCGAGTTTCATATCATCGTAAATTGTAAGTTTGTTTAGAGACATGCTGAACAATTAGAAAAGAAAAATTATGTTTACTGCTGTTTGAAGATAAATCAGAATTCTAGATATAAAAAAGGTAACATTTAGCTTAATGCAACAAAATAATCAGCACAATTTCCCAGCTCTCGATAAGGGCGAAAAAGATTAAGTAATAAGCTCCATAAAATCAGATGTTCTTTTGCTCTTTTCTTTTATAAAAAATTGATTAAAATTGAAATGACTTTTAAATAGCAATTGTACATATGAAAATATAGCAAATAATGCTTTAGATAGCGAATAACAGGACATACAAATTTTTAAAGCTCAAAATTTGTCAATTTGTCTCGTGACATTTATGTTAGCTGCTTACATCTGCTTACATTTTAATTATTTTTTTATATATTTTTCAGATGCACTTCTTGCTGATTTACAAAACACCGTCGTACCAAGTGGAAATGCTAACTCATTTAAAAACGTTGACAATAATACTTCCGGCTACGGATGCTTGAAAGGCGTCAAGAAAAAAGAAGTATTGGTGAGTGTTTTCTGGATAAAGTTTCATTGTTTTCGCCATTAAACAAAATGTCAGGAGCAGATGATTGCAATTAAGAGTTAATAGCTAAATTTTAATGCTTTCCTTTTTTTTCTTCCTGCTAAAGTACAACAATGGTGACAATCATTCTCACTCTTCTGTTCAACAGAAAGTCGTTTATAGCAATACCATGCAATCACCAGCAAGTGGAAATCTAAATGAATTAGATTCGCTTCTTAATGACCTGAGTAATGCACGGTATGGTAGTGGATTTGAAAAGAAATGTAAGTCACAAATTTTTTGTCATATATCAGTTATGCATGACTAAATATTTTTTTTAAAAAAATTCTTAAAAAAATCTAGATCAACAAAATAGTGTCAAGGATTCGGGAATATCACAAGAGATTATCGATCAAATTCAACGACCATCTGTTGATACTTTATTGGAAGAGCTCAATGTTCGATCTTCTAGTCCAGTATATGCTGTTCCTCATGATGAAGTAATTAATTGCTTTAATTTGAAGTTTTTTTTTTATTATTTCATGTCATTTTACTTTCTTTCTTGATTACCTGGCACAAAGGAATAGAAATATAAATTTTACCATTAGTAAAATTATTCAGATGATTTTAAAAATATTGAGATTTTTTAAAATGATAATTATTTATTGACAAAATTTTGTGACGGACCAAACAAAATTTTTTTTTTCTATTCAAGTTTGTGACAGAGATGGTCTTAAAATCATGATTTATGACGGACGTCATAAGTGTACACATTAGACAATGAAACATACACATTACACATTGTCCTTTCTCTATTGTGTTAAATGTCATTCAATATTTTTCAGAGTTTGTGAAAATTTAATACATATTATTAGAAGAATCTGGGAGAATCACAAAAATACATTTCATTTTGAAATAAAACTAATGATATCAATCCACAAAATATTTTGAGAAGGGAAAGTCCTGGGGAAATTAATTTACATATAAAATAATTTTATTTTTTGACTCTATAATATTTAATTCTTCTTTCTCTATGTATTGTTTTAATTTTAGAAGCCAAACTCTGGACGGCAGGTTACTATAACTGTCAAGCAAACAACAACAGAACGTGTTGAAGGAAATCCTAGTCAAAGTGAGTGCAATTACCTTTACTTTATTACATTTCTCTCGGCTTATTAGAATTTTTAAAAGTTTGTTCAGATAAAAATTTCAAAATGAGAAGTAATAGCCACAAGTATGGATTCTCTTAAATCTATCCGTCACTTTTTAGAAAATTTAAAAATATTTTCTTCAGCCACTAACCATCTGAAAAACGATAACAATTTTATTTTCCAGTGGACTGTATTTCAATTCCAATAATAAAAAGAATTACAAAAGAAAATTCTATTTATTCACAATTTCAAATTATACGTGATCAATTTCCAAATTATCAATTTCAACTAATTATTAGAAATGAATGGAATTCATCATGATTTAAGGAGGCTAGACAGTGAATTTTTATCAACGTTCAAAAAGCAAATAACATCGAAGCATCTAGGTTTTAAATTTTTGTTTAATAAAATAAAAGCAAAATCAGAAAGACAGTTCGATGTTACAATTCGAGAAAATGAAGATCGACGCCATCAAGTAAGAAAAGTCAAGTTACCAGAAATCAAATTGCCAGAATTTGATGGAAGTTTCGACAAATGGTTAACTTTCCGTGATACTTTCGTATCATTAGTACACACGAATTCATCATTCTCTAACATGGACAAGTTTCATTATTTAAAAAGTTCTATAAAGATAGAACCTGCATCTCAAAACATCCTCAATAATTATCAAGTGACAGATGACACGTATGAAAATGCTTGGGAAACATTATGTTCGAGATTTGATGATCGTAGATTTGATGATCGATATTCATTGTTCAAAGTTGTAAACCTGTTAGTCTTGTTTGCTCAATCTGTTCACAAAATCACTTGAACAGTAACTGTCCATCATTTTTCAGAGAGAACATTGACAAAAGATTTGAAATAGTTTTGAAGCTCAAACTATGTATGAATTGTTTAAGACATGGACATATTGCAAAGAAATGCATAAGTTCAAAAAATTGCAATACATGTGGAAATAGACATCATACGACACTTCATCGAGTTAAAGCATCAGACGAAGAAGCTTTTGAAAAACCATCAACAAGCAGTACATCAGACAAAAGATTAGTGATAAACAATAAAGAATTATTGTCATCAACTCTAACTGTACTATCAACAGTAAAAATATTGATTTGTGACAAAGAAGGTAAATGGCAAGTCAAAAAAACTGTTATGGATTCTGGTAGCAATGGACATGGCATCACAGAAGCAACAGCAAAATGACTGGGCTTATCTCTTAGAAAAATTAATAGAGAAATAAAGGGAATCAATAATATTCCTACTGATGTAAAATACGAAGCTGTCGCAACGACTAAGTCAAGATATCCAAGATATAGTAATTTCAAAAATACCATAACTCTCGATATTTTTTCTGTAATTGCAGATCAGTTTCCTACTCATTATTTTGAAACTAAGAAGTTTCAAATACCCAATGAAATTTTTATGGTTGATCCAGAATTTAACATTCCAAGTGATGTTGACATGTTGATTGGTTGCAAGATATTTTGGGATGATGTATTGAAAGACAGACATCAAATATCTAACATAGATTATTAATTCATACAAAGTTTGGATGGATGTTTAGCGGAAATGCAGAATGTAATGAAAAGTTAAAGACAACATTATTATCAATGTCACAACAGCCATCACTTGAACAACAACTGGAGAAGTTCTGGATGATTGAGCAATGTGAAAATAAAAACAGACTGTTGACTGAAGATCAAAAAACATGTGAAGAGCTATTTAGGGCCACAACAGTTCGAGACGGAAGTATGTGGTTAATCTTCCATTTAATCACTTATCTTGGCAATAACTTGAATAATGCAATTAATCGATTTAGAGGCTTAGAAAACAGATTCAAGCGAGATGATTTATATTATCGTGAATACAAAAAGTTCATAAATGAATATGAAGAATTGGGATATATGACTGAATTGAAAAATTTAACGTCGCCATTTTAATCGTGTTATTATCTTCCACACCATGGAGTTGTGAAGGAAGATAGTACAACAACAAAATTGCGTGTTGTTTTTGATCAAACAAGTCTGCAACTGGTTTGTCGCTTAAGTACTACCAAAACTTTATGATCTCATCATAAAATTCTTAACAAAACCAATAGCATTAAAAGCTAATATTGCTAAGATGTAGAGACAAATTCTTGTAAATGAATCGCATCAGAATTATAGATAGATAGATAGATAGATAGATAGATTGGTTTATTTACCTTAAGGTATTAAAAGTACAAAAGTATAGAGATTTATAATTATCAACGCATTATTTGGAGAGATGGTCCAAATGAGAAATTCAAACATTTCAACTTGAATACTGTAACTTATGGAACATCATGTGCTCCTTATTTGGCAACGAGAGCATTAAATCAACTAGCAGATGATTATCATCGTAGATGATCTGTTGTTTACATGTGATACTGTTGACAAGAGTAACAAATTACGAAAAGAATTGTGTGAAGTATTCGAAAAGGTGGGAATGTCTCTACGTAAATGGGTTTCAAATAGTCAAGAAGTACTCTCTTCAATTCCTACGAGTCATCATGAAAAGATTCAAGAATCAAGTGAAATAAAAGCTTTGGTATAATTTGGAACATATCTTCAGATACATTCACATTCAAGTTGAATTTCAAAGATAAAAAGTCGTTAACAATGTCATCAGTTCTTTCATGTATTGCCAGTATTTACGATCTAATCGGCTGGCTTGGTCCAATTAAATTAACTGCAAAATTATTTATGAAGAAGCTGTGGTCACTACATCTTGATTGAGAGTCAGCATTACCTGATGATTTGTGTGAGGAATGGAAAAAATTTGAAACATCACTGATATTGGTTAATCAAATTAAAATTGATTGACAAATCATTTGTGTAAATCCAGTAAATATTCAATTACATGAATTTTGTGATGCTTCTACAAAGGCATACGGGATGGTGTTCTATTTGCGATCAGCAAATATTAACAAAAATATTACATGTCGAATTATTACATCAAAATCTCGTGTAGCACCACAGAAGCAAATAACACTGGCTAGACTAGAACTTAGTGGTATTTTATTATTATCAAAATTTGCAAAACGAATTAGCACAGTATTAGGATTTCCAGCAAATGATGTTTATTTATGGAGTGACTCTTTAATTGCACTTCATTGGGTCAAGTCAGAACCTGCTATGTTATCAGTTTTTGTTGGAAATCGTGTAGCCGACATTCAAGTAGAAGCAGAAAAATTCAATTTTAGTCATGTTCACACAAAAAGTAATCCTGCAGATTTCATTTCAAGAGGTGCAACAGAAAAAGAATTGAATAACTGTGAATTGTGGTGGAATGGTCCAGATTATCTTCAAGAAGATGTAGAGTGCTGGCCACATTCATTATTAAACTTTGATTTGGATAATTCCAAATATAAAAAGGAATTTCGTCGAGTTTTACTTGTAACTCATCCATCGTTGAATCACATCATTCATTACATTGAAAAAAGATATTCTCATCCAACAAAGCTATTTAAAATATTTGCATCTTTATTAAGAATAATAGAAAAATGGAAGAAGAAAGCAAATATCAAAATCGAACGTCAACATGCAGATTATGAGCTTCTAGTTAAAAACAAAATAATTCATCTTATACAATTACATTTTTTCCCTCAAGAATTGAAGAAGTTGACAAAAGGAAAAGAAGTTTCATTATCATCTAGTATCAAACAACTGTCACCATTTCTGGATAATTATGGTATTATGAGAACAAGAGGTCGCATTGGTGAATGTGAAAGTTTAACATATGAAAATAAGCATCAAATCATCATGCCTAAGTGTCAATTTGTTTATAATTTGATTCGTCAGATTCATCTTGATAATTTGCATTCGACAAAACTTTCAACATTATTTTTTGTGAGACAAGTTTACTGGCCTGTGCAAGTAAAAGCGATGACTCATAAAATTATCAGTCAGTGCATCAAATGTTTTCGAGCATCTCCTAAGTGTCGTAAAAAAATTATGGGAGATTTACTTCCAGAGTAAATCAATCAAATGCATTTGAAAAGGTAGCTATCGATTATGCTGGACCTTTATTAATTAAAGCTGGGAAGGTTCGTAATACAACTGCAATGAAGTCCTATATCGCATTATTCAAGTGTATGTCTACAAAGGCAATTCATTTAGAATTATTAACGGATTTGACAACAGTGGGTTTCATTGGCACATTCGATAGATTTATATCACGCAGAGGGCTTCCAACTGATATCTACTCAGACAATGCAACATGTTTTGAAGGTGCAGGCAATGAATTCAAGAAATTGGCTAAAGATTTGGAAGAACAAATTCAAGAATATTACAATGACAAAAATATAAAAAATGAAGCATCATTTAAAAAGAGTTATGACAGATCGATTAATGACTTATGAGGAATTCTCAACTCTCTTTTGTAGAATTGAAGCAGTTTTGAATTCCCGACCCATTACATTTATAAGCGATCATCGAAATGATTTTTAGGCTCTTACAACTGGCCATTTCTTGATTGGACGGCCGTTGAACAGTCGTTTGTAACGTGATTTTACAGATAGACAACAAGGTCAACTGAAACGATGGGATATGATTCAACAAGCACAGCAGTTATTTTGGAAGTTTTGGTAAAAAGATTTGATCAACGCTTAGTAAGACCAAAAGATTCAACAAAAATGGATTAATATTATTTGAATGATTTAGTTCTCATCATGGATTCGAATGTACAATCAATGAAGTGGAAGATTGGAAGGATTGTTATTCTACATAAGGGAAGAGATGGTCAAATTAGATCTTTTACTATAAAGACATCTTCAAGCGAAGTTAAGCGACATGTGAATTATATTTGTAAAATTCCTATCGAGACGGCAGAGTGATGAATGGAATTCGTCATGATTTAAGGAGGCTTGGAATATATTTGATATTAGTTGAAATTGATAATTTGGAAATTGATCACGCATAATTTGAAATTGAGAATAAATAGAATTTTCTTTTGTAATTCTTTTTATTATTAGAATTGAAATAAAGTCCACTGGAAAATCAACTTGCTATCGTTTTTCACCAGCTATGAAATATTCTTTCTAGTTATTTTTAATTTTTAAAATATTTTAAAGGCGTTTCAAAGTCTTTTTATATTTATTGGCCTCAATGCACATTTAATAAAATGAAAAATCAAACGAATCAAAAACTTGAAATTAAAAGGATTTTACACTCCATTGGTGATAATTTATGAGGGTATCTTTTATATTAATTTGTTATTATTGGAGAGAAATTTGTCATTTAAAGCACCAAAAAACCACAAAAAATGCCAGTTATCAAACGTTTTTAAACGGAATAAAGTGATTCTTCTTAAATATAAATTGACCTTAAATTTTATGATGCCAGTCATTTGATTAACCACCCTTTTTTTTGTTAAAAGCTTGCATTAATTAACAATTAAAATCAAAGTCCTGAAAGCGTCAATGCGAACATATCTAGTTGTGACAAAGATACAATTATAAGAACCAAATCTAAAAACCAGGTAGCAAAAACCAATTTCAGGACGTGGAAACTATCCAAAATATTCCAAATATCCAAAATATTCCTTGAGCATGTATGGATAAAAATTGACATATCTCATTGAATCCTAAAATTATATGTCCATTTCACTAAGGATTTGTAATACAACAAGAAAGCTTTGCTTATTGACTCAGATTTTGTTGCTGAAATCATCTTACGCTGCGTCAAAAATGCACAATCTCTCGATCAATATCACAAGGACTTTTGTAATATATTACAGGAATATGTTAAAATATGTCAAACATTTGTTTAGTCCAATCTTATCTTTTAATCAAAGAAATTTTTTGTAAAAATATTTTTCTAATTCATTGTTCTAAATTTCTTTAATGTTTGACAGTAAATGGACAAAATTCGTATAGCACATCAGCATCAGCATTAGGTCACAATGCATCATCTGCAACGAAGGAACTCGATGACCTGATGGCATCTCTGTCGGATTTTAAGGTAGGAAAATCTTCTTTCACATTTATTATTATCCACGACGAAAAACATTTTTATTATAACTTGATGAAGAACATATTTTTATAGTCTCCAACCTTGAATGTATGTTTTTCCTAAGTTAAGATGTCACATTAATTATATGACGAAAAAAAGCAACAAAAATTTATACATGTAAATCTATCAGAAAAACCATTCAAGATCTTTAAAATGAGATCGCCATCTGACTACACATTATACAAAAAAAAAATAATCAGATTTTAAATAATTTGCTCTCATGTCGACTTTAAAGACATAAAAAAAATTTAAATTGTAAAACAAAATGAAATTTAAATGATGCCACTCTAATGATTGATTATACTTAATTTTTACTCGTAAAAACTTTTCGATTCTTTGTCTATAGTCGATATCGTTTAGGAAGAAAGTATGAAAACATTGTTTAAAAGCTATGTTGAAAAATATAACATTTTAATATTAAACCATTTTTTTTCAGTTTTTAAGATGTCATCGTTAATGTAAACTTTTTTCTTATTTTTATATTTCTAATATTTTTTTAATTATGAAAATTATTACACATTTCCCTTTGAATTTAAGTTCAAATGGAAGAATTGATTTACTAATGACATTCAATAAGTATCATAAATACATTTTAGAGACTTCATTCTGTGTCTATGCACACTGTCTCAAAATATTTTTTTTTGCCGTATAATTTAGTTTTAATTTCATACAAAAAAATTGAGCAAGTTACTCTCATTTAGTTTATAAAGAAAAAAAAATATATATATAGCAAAGAAAAAATACCGAAGAAAAATATTCTCCGGTTTTTTTATTCATCAAGTTATAGTCAGTCATAATCGAACTTTTGAAACGGTAAGACTCGATAATTAAAAGAAAAAAATTAAGTAAATAGCGATAAAAAAATCTTCAACTTCGTTACAATTTATTTTTGGATTTCTGGAATTTATATTCGCATTTGGTGGCTATTACTCATCACTGAAAATAATATACATACTTAAAAAATTGGAAAGAATGACATAGAAAACGGAAAAATAATATCGAGGAGGAGAAAAGAGATGATTGTCTGAGAATAACTTGAGCATTTAGTCTACTAATCTCATCAAAACATTCGAATAATTCTAAATAAATCGAGATTTTGTGCATAAACATCAAGAGACCGCTTTGTGTGAGAGAGCAAGCGAGCATTTTTTTTGCATTCATTGTTTATACGATCATAATGTACACATATCATTAATAAAATAGTCAATAGATATATGGAAATCAAATAAAAGACTATATTCTGATATTTGCGGTCTCATAAAGGTTTTTCGGTTTATATGTGCATATTTAATATATATTTTCAATTTAGTATGTTGCGCTCACTCACCCACTACTATTTCTCTTTTTTCTATCACATAATATGTGCCAGTTTTAAACACTCTTCTGCCCACGACAATTTTATTCATTTTCAAATGATTCTTTTCATTTAGTTTCCATTGCGCTTCTCGACATGAGGAAAATTTTATGCCATAATTTACTTTTGGTTTCGATATAATACAAAAATTCAATGAAAAGTCGCTCGCGTGAACGCCGAAAATAAATGTATGTGGGCTCGAAAAGAAAATTTATTTTTATCGCATTAAAAATATACAAAATAAAAAAACTTTTCAAATACTCGCTTAAACATAGAGAAATAATTTTCAAACCACTTTGAAACGGTTTTGTATTTTCATATCTCTCGCTCTCTCTCCTATTTCTGTTTACTTACTTAAGCGATATTTTTCTTGGGAATGGCGATATATGTGATAGAAAGGTATATTCAAAATTTATTCGTAGCTCGTGCTTTTAGTTTTCTTTTTACACTTTTCATTATATTTCAAAAATGATTAGATTCACGATTCGGCCTATCTCTTTGTATCTCTCTTTCTCTTACTTCTGTTCATATTGTCGTACGACCGAACAGATGCTTAAAAAATTTTCTTGAAACATTGCTGTCTGATTGACTTCTTGATTGTTTTAAATTATCCCGATTATCCCTCGCCACTTATAGATCAATCCAAGCCATCAACAAACATCTGTTACAGACTACGCAAAACCTACAAAAGGTATATCACATTATCAAGTTGGTGAGGAAACAGTCGTTGAAACAACACACGGCAGAGAGCCACGTCGTGACCAGTTAGAACTAATGCTTGGAAATTTACAAGCGGATATGTCGCGTCAAGGAGTTAATACACAACAAAAAGGATGTTGTTCTGGTTGTGAAAAACCAATTGTTGGACAAGTTATTACTGGTTAGTTTCGTAATGTTGCTGAATAACTTTTAAAGGTTTCTGAAAATTTGAGTACTGAAATATTTTAAAAAGGATTAGGTCAACGGAATCGGCTTTATAATCACTGAAATTTAATTTTAAAACAGAGCCGAAAACTATCTAATATGAAAATTCTGAAAAAGCTAATGATAGAACAGCATAAAATAAGTGCTCTCAATTTCAAAGATCCAATATCTTAAAAGCAACCTGTCGGCAGTCATCAAAAAGAACATCAGATTTTAATTAACTCTTCTTTATTTATTTCAATTACAAAATAACATAATTGGCAGCACTTGGAAAACAATGGCATCCGGAACATTTTACGTGCAACCACTGTAATCAAGAGCTCGGAACTAGAAATTTCTTTGAGCGTGATGGAAACCCTTACTGCGAAGCAGATTACCATAATCTTTTTAGCCCACGATGTAGCTATTGTAATGGGCCAATACTTGATGTAGGAATTCAGTATTATTTGATTTTCATCTTTATATGTTCATTATAAAATTCTTTTTTTTTATTTTTACATTTCAATTCCGGATGAATATAAAAACATAAAATTGTATAGAAATGCGTTACAGCTCTTGATAAGACTTGGCACACTGAACATTTCTTTTGCGCACAATGCGGTCAACAATTTGGAGATGAAGGTGATATATTTGTTCATTATTTTGCTGTTTGCGAGAACATTATTTTTAAACTGACGTAATTATTTTTTTCTGTCAAAAACATATAAAACAACAAAATTGATTCCGAAAAAATAAAGGTTTTCATGAGCGCGATGGAAAACCTTATTGTCGTAAAGATTATTTCGATATGTTTGCACCACGCTGTGCAGGATGTAATCAGGCGATCATGGAGAATTACATATCTGCTCTTAACAGTCAATTTCATCCTGATTGCTTTGTTTGTAGAGTAAGTTGCATGTTCTTTCCATTTTTATTGTTGTTATTTCCTTATAGGTGACACATAATAGTAACAAACAAATAAAAACAATATATTGCATTGTTGTAGACAAAAATGTCAACGTTAAAGTTGCAGAATTGAAAATTGAGATGGTTGATGATTAAATTAATTAAATTTTGTGGAAGATGGGGAAAAATTAAACGAAACTCATCGGATCCACAAATTCCACCAGAGTTTTAAAAGTCAATTTTCAAATCTGTAGGAAATGTAATCTGTATATCCATTTGTAAATATCTATATATTTGTGTATATAATTAGGATTGTAAGCAAGCAGTGACTGGAAAATCTTTCTATGCGATGGAAGGTAAACCCGTTTGTCCAAAATGTGTTGGTGTCGATGAGGATGATTAAGAATGGTCATTTAATTAATTGTACAAAAAAGTTAATAAATGCATTGCACATACACACAAACGCAGACCATATTTCTTTTCGCAAATGAAAAGTGCTCCTCTTAAAGTTCCCAAAAAAAATTATTGTAAATTAATGTTGTTTTGATTTAAAAAAGAAATTGTTGTTTTATTTTAATCTTAAAAATTCTTGAAACATTTTAATGAATAAACAAGAAACAGAAAAAAATGAAATTTATTTAAAGTAATTTTATCTTTCATTCCGCTTAAACGAAAAGTTTGGCTATGATGATGTAATAACGTATTGAGGAAATTTTACAACCCAAATTGCTTTATGATATACTGTGATAAACAATTAAAAAATAGAAAAATACTGATAATAATGTGTTACGAATGTAAATATTTGTATAGATTTTGTCAAATTGCTGACATCATGCATCCACACACATTCTCATTAATTGAATTTTATACAGCTCTCAACGGTGATAAAAATATTACAATTTGTTTATTTGAATTCCATTTTCATGTATGAGGATATCATGACCAAATCCAATAATGTCAAAAATAGCTTTTTGCTCTTTTACCATGGAAGAAAAATATTTTTTTTAAAAAAAAACTTTTCAATAGATTTAGACAATCATATCTAATTGATTTTGATGACACAATAAGAGACTGATCACTTATTACGTTCACTTTTTATGGGGGAAACGGGAATCTATTTTTCATTGGAAATTTCTAATAAGAGGAGGGGGAGGCTTAAAATCGTATTTTTCGTAACGTAATAAGTCAACGAGCCCTAATTTATTTTTCATTTTTATTTGCGCATATTGTTGCTTTGGGAATAAAATATTTGGATGTTTTTCTCACATTAATTAAAAAATATATTTTATTTTGTCTGAATGTCTTTTCAAGACTGATTGATGTTCTCTTTTATGAGATTATATTTCAACGGGAACATGCAATATTATTTTATTAGATCAAGTCAAAATTTAGTGAATTTATTTGAAAGTTATTTAATTTTTGCACTTTTCGTTAAATATTTTAAAATAAAATCGTTAATAAATCCAAAAATGTGCTAATAAGACTTTTCTTTATTCAACAAGACTTGATTTATGTTAAGTCTGTAGTCAATGAATAAATTTGACGATACAGGATTTAAATGATTTTGAATAATTCTAAACCCTATTTTAAGCGATTTCCATTGCTATTCACAGAGCTGTAATTTAACAAATTGAAAACAACCAATTAAAATAATGTTAATTCGTAAATGAAACAACGAAGTTTTATAAAGTAAATAAAATGACATAAATTCAGATATTAAATTTTAGAACAATGCGTGTATAATTTACTTACAATGCAGCTTTATTAAAGCATTTTTCTTACAAATCGTCTTCATTTTCTGTTGTTTTTAAAATGAAAAATGCATTTGATTTATTTATAGAAAAAAAATTAATAAATCGGATTTTTCTTAATCTTACCCAAAAACTCCATTGTTTTATGATAACTTCATATATCTTCGTACTTGCCTGCATTTAAGTGTGTAACTTTTCGCTTAGTTTATTATCGATGTTTATTGCAATTCATAATCACTAATTACAAATCAACGCCTCAAAGGAACTGTTCTGTTTTTTTACATCAAATGATAAATTTAAATGAATGTTTAAATGGTTTAGAGAGTAATGACAGGAAGTTATTGCGAAAGGAAACACGTTCGTCTTATGTTTATATATTTCAATCAATTTTATCTCTGGGGCTGCTTGCTTACATAAATATTATTGTATGTACATTCCAAACATCAATGCAATTTTTGATCATTATTTGTGGTTTTGCGATCGATGAAATTTAAAACAAAAACTCCCGAGAGTCTCTTAAACATTTCAAAATCCTATTATGTACTTAGACTCTAATTACAAATTAAATGAAATTTTTGCTATTGTATGATCTAAGATGCTCAGGAGATTTGTTCAGAGCATTTACACAAGTCATTACAATCAATTTGCATTATATTGATTTGTTTGTCATTTATATTGTGTCTTTTATATGTGTACTGTTAAAACTAATCATAAAAAATTAATAAATTGATTTCAAAATATAGTATTGCTAATAAATAATTTGTTCTCTATTTTATTACCATCATTTTTATCATTGAAAAAAGGATTGCCGACAGCCATTTTATGGTGGTTCATTCTTCGACCACGAAGGAATGCCATATTGTGAAACTCATTATCATGCAAAACGTGGCTCATTGTGTGCTGGATGTTCCAAACCAATTACTGGTCGCTGTATAACAGCAATGTTCCGCAAATTTCATCCTGAACATTTTGTTTGTGCGTTCTGTTTGAAGCAATTAAATAAAGGTGAATAATTTCGTTGATTTTTGCTCTGATCAAATTGAACTAATATCAAAAATATATTTATTGTTATTTTTTTTAACTAGGTACATTTAAGGAACAAAATGATAAACCCTTCTGTGCTCCATGCTTTGAAAAGCTCTTTGGATAAATGGTTGATTTTTTTAATAAATATTTTTTCTATCATTATTTTTTCTTTCGTTTTATATTTGGTTAAATTATAATTTATTTGTTGATATTTTTAACATATCAATCAATTGATCGAAGAAAATGTTAATCTTCTCAATCAAACTTTGTTTCTATATTAAGATACATATCTTAATCTACCAATATATAATTATCTTATCCATTAATAAATATATTTAAATTACATTGAGCAATGAAATGATTATCGCAGAATAAAACCCAGGAAAGTTTTTTTTCTTTATATCTTTATTATGGTTTAAAAAACAAAATAATCAGCTTCAAAAGTATTAAAATAAATGTGCAAAATTTTATTGACGTTGGGATGTGCTTATTTGATGAAGAAAATGTGAACGTTAAAGAAATGCAGTGCCAATAAACTTAATTATAATGTTAATTTTTTTTCTACACAAAATTGCAGTTGCATAATCACTCAAATATCCAAGGAGTTTGATAATAAAAAAGATTATTTTGTAGTTCCTGACACGATTGAATAGTTTCTTGCAAAATTATGAAGCCAAAATTTTAACGAAAAAAAAAAACAAAAATTAAATATGAAAATTTTATTTCTTAATAAAAATATAAATTTCACGTAAAAATTTCACGCTCAAATGAAGTGTAAAGTAAACATCTCCACGTTTATAATCTTGTATATGACCTCTAAATATTTATTCATTGAAAAAATGATTTTCATTCTCATTGGAGCTCAAAACAATTTTCTGTGCAACTACTAAGGAGCAAATATATAAACAAAAGCATTAATTGATTTAAAGATACATTGATTTTATAAATTTTGTTATTTTTCATTAAAAATTTTATTATGATTACTAAATATTACTATAAACTACTAGATGAAACAAATGTAAAACTAATAAAGCTTCCATGCAATTTTATACTAAATTAAAACTTTTCATTTTCATAATTTTATTATCCCTTTTCAGAGAATATTTATAAGCATGACTCTCAGGTAAAGGCATATAATCAACTCGTGCAAAATTCATGACTTCAGAATAGGGATTTGTAATCTGCTTCGAGCCAGCAACACTAAGACTACATTAATAAATTATTGACCAAGAGAAAATTATTAAAAATATTCTCAAATTATTAGTAATTTTCCTTTAGGTTTTCAGTTTTTAAGTTTATGAATGCATTTTTTCTTCATTTGTCGTCTTTGAACACAGAAGTCTCCACGCTTCCCAAAATTACGTCGTTAAATAATTTGATAATGACTGCACTCATAGAAAAAAAGTAACCATAATATTTGTTATATGTTTGTTAAACTAGTTTAACAAATTATTGGTTAAGTTTACATGGGTAAAAAAAATTTCAACCAAACTATTTGTTAAAAATTTTACAATTGAGTTTGTTAAATCAACAAATTTATTTGTTAATAATTGATTTAATTAAATTTTAATTTTTGTATTCAAAACTCTTGTTTGATTAATTTCAAACGATTCCCATTAATTTATTGCGTTATTTTTAATGAGAAAACTGCTTTAAATTGAATTTTGTTGATTTTGTTTAACAAATTAATTTGTTAATTTTAACAAAACATTTGTTACAATGTTTTTATTTGTAATTTGTTTTGGAAAATAATGATTTACAAACCAAATCGTAATTTAAAAATTAAATTTGTTCATTTTTTTAAGTCCTACATTTCTATTTTATTATTCATAAATTAATTTTAAAATTTGGATATATTTTTTAAAGAATTATTTATATTGGTTCTGAATCAAATTTTATAAGTAAAAGTTTACAAGCAGCGGACTAGCGGATCATCAACAGGAATTCAGAAGTTAAGCAACCACGGAAACATTTTAAAATAAGATGGGTGACCAAATTAACAATTTTCTGGTTAATATTAACCGAAAATTTGTTATTTTTTTCTGTAAAAAAAAAATTTAACAAAAAGTTTGTTAAATTAACAATTTTTATAGTTAACAATTCAACCTTACAAATAATTTGGTTAAATTTAACAAATAAGTTCGTAAACACTATTTTAACGAATTGTTTGTTAACATTTTCCATACAAGTTACAAACATTTTGTTACTTTTTTTCTATGAGTGTGATATAATAGATGGTATTTTAATTTCCATTACTTTCCGTTTGATTGCTTATAAGTGCAGTTTGATTTTTCTGTTCAAACTGGTTAAAACCCAATAAATCAGCATTTTAGAAGTTTTGAATATTTTTGAAAGCATTGCTGATAATTTTGGTTTTTTTCTTAAAAAAATAAAGTCGAAAAAAAGGTGCAAATTTCAAAATAAAACAGCATGTTGATTGGATTACATAAAATAAAAATGAAAGAAAATAATAAAATAAAACAGAAAAATGTAAAGCACAAAGTCTTTGTAGAAAAATTTGTTCGTCTAAATTTTATGATTTCACTATATTCGTAAGAACCCGTAAGAACAAAACATATTGTTCATTTTATATTCATGCTGAGACATGGTTTGAAAAAAAAGCAATTTATGTGACTCTTGAGACGGAGATGTTCTCATAAAAAAATGTTCCATTTTGTGCCAATAGAATCTTTTATTTCATTCTACTTTATATTATTTTTTCAACTTAATATTTTTTAAATTTGTATTCAGTGAGAAAAGAATTTGAATATAAAGATCCTAAGGGATATGATATGAACTCTAACAATCCTTAAAGGTAGTTCATTTTCATTCTGATCGAATGAAAAAATCAAGGCTCTGGAAGACTTTAATCTTTAAATAATCCCATATAAAGATAATAATCTTCAATAACCTTCCATACAAAGATTATAATCTTCGTTTTTAAAAGAAAAAAAGGAATTTAAAATTCATGTCCGACGTCATACATCCATACAAGTTCAAACAAAATAACATCATGCTATATGAGTCACCAAGTACGCATCTAATCTGAAAGAAAATCAATTTTATTTTTACAATCTATGGAATTAACCTTTTGCAAAATCAAAAATTTCAAATTGCATTTAAATGCGCAATGGAATTATTCCATCAGACTGGAAGTTCCATATTGTTATAAAAAAATACTTTTCCTCATCCCGTGTCGAATGTCGATACATTTTTCCATGAAAATCTTTCCAGGATTTTATTCGATGTCAATCAACAGTGAGAAATGAAAGGACTTTTTAGTATGATGGGATAGCTGGGGAAGATAAAATAAAAATATTGTGAATTCATTGTCAAAATTTGATGACTTTGTCATAGAAATATGTTAAATTGTGTAAATTTGGATTATACATAAAGGAATATCTACAGAAAAAGAAAATATTCGTCTAAATCTATTCGAAACCGATTTAATTAAAAAAAAAAACAATTTTCATGCAAAAAACTGAAAAAGACAAGGAATATTTTTCAGTTTTTATTGCTTTGAGACATTGCGCGACGGAACAAACGAAAGACAATGTGAAAATGGCACAGCAAAAAAAAATCAATTTTGTTAATTAAATTCCATGGCAAGAATCTAAAAAATAAAAGCATTAAAATAAATGGAAAAAATATGGATGTGAATAAAGATAGTGAAGATATGTTTATTTATAGCAAAATGGAATAAAAGTGAAATTGATAAAAGTAATTAAATTTTAAGGAAAAAAGAGTTATGAGAGTGTGACAAAAACATTTACGAGTGACAGTGAACAAGAAAAAAAAGAAAAAGAAAATAAAGATTCTATAATAGAGACGACAGAGATAGAAGCCTCAAAATTATAATTATGAAAAAAGAAAAGTGCAGTAAAAAGGGAATTAGTGTTTATGATATAAACGTGGACTAAAAGTATTTTCACAAAAAAAAAAATAACGAATGATATTTGTGATATTAATCCTTAATACGGTCTTTAAAATAAAAACATAAAAATTTTGTACGATTCTTCCATCTATTATTTTATCACATAAATACACATAGCATCCTGATAAGTGATGAAGTTTTGACATTTTTACAACAATGAAAAATGCTCCTAAAATTTCACAACCACGAGAGAAATGGAGGTAAATTATACCGTGAATAGTTTTGCTCCTGTACGACCAGTATATTCATAAAAATATATTTTTGTTATCAATGCGAATTTTTTTCCACTATCACATCTCTCTCTCTCTGTTACTCATTCTATCTACTGTGCTTCTCATGTTATGAAATTGGGTTGATGAAAAAAAAAAATAGCAAAAGAAAGTGAACTGATGTAGAATAAATGTAACGCACAAATTTATTAAATCGCTTTACGTATAATTTAATCTGAGAGGGGTAGATTTGGTTAAACAAAATTTTGGCAACAAGGGGATGAATTTTTTCATCTTGCTACACCACTGTTATTTATAAAAAGTCAACGAATAGTGCTATATTTGAGAATTTTCTTTAAAATCAAGATGCTAAGTTAGTGTTATAGGGTTTAATTCAATTTTAAAAACTTTCACAGAAAGGATATGTTAATTTTTATTAAAGAAATAAAACTAGTTGGCAATAAAATTCTGTTCTTCCGTACACACAAACATACCAGCCCAAAACTTTTTTCCACTTTGCTTTTTTTTATTATTGTTGTACACTTAATATGTCTGAAGTGTTTAAAAAGAAAAATTTGTGAAAATAAAATTAAATTGAAATCTAATTTAATATTCTTTAACTTACAATAAAAAAACATAACAAGCAATATCGATGTGAATAGATGACGGTGTGATTTTTAAGAGCTAATACTGATACTTGAAAGGCTGCACGTCTTTTCATCATTTTTCAACTCCATATTGCTTTGCCGTCATTCGCAAGAAAATAAGCGAATTTTGGTGAATAAAAATGACAAAAAAGTGCCATTTACGGAGATTTTATATTCATTTTTACTAAGTTTAAGTCTTTTAAACTTTATGAAATTTTTTCTGAGAATTAAAAAAAATTTTTTCATGATGAAAATTTAAAGTTTATCTTTGGACCAGTTTTTCAACGTATTGATGAAATTAATTTGACTGAATACAACTTTTTCATGTCCTTTACATTTTCCTTGAAAGTTATCAATGTCGACATAAATGAACGAATTTTGAGGCAGTGATACATCCTATGTAGGATAAAAATTAAAATTTGAATCTAATACTAAGTGAATTCATTATTTTTTCACAACTAGAAATATCTTCAAACATTGAAAAGTTATTGGTTTATAAAAGTCTTGTCGAAAAAAATTATTCCATATGTTTTACCTCAAATAAATGAACTTTAAAACAAATATCCTTTTTGCGTTCACCTAGCGACATTAACTGCGTGCTCAGCATGTGTAAAATCGATAAATGTGTTTTTTCAAAGATATTTTTTTATTGACACTTTGTATACAATAATTTATACCTACTGGATATAACTCATTATATGGAAATAATGTTTTTTGATAGTTGCTGCTTTTGTATGATGATTTTTGGGAAATACCATCAACATTCAAGATCAAAATCTACATTTTTATCTTTCACTTCTGTTTGACATTACAGTTGATATTGCAAAAAATATTTTTGGTTTAGGGTTTCTAGGAATTTTGTGATGCAAGAAAAATGTTAAAAAATAAAAAAAAAATCAACTGTCATCATTACGTAAATTAAAATAAACTGTTTCTACAATTCAACAGTTTATTTACTCAGTGTATTATTCTTTCATTTAATATCGTTAATAGGCGACAGTAAAAAGCTTGTAACAATGTAAGTAAATAATAATGATCGATATTGATTGATTCGTTATAAAGTGTATCGCATGTATTAAATATGGATCGCATATATTTGATATAGTTCATGAATTTCCAATTACTCATTTTGTGATTAGCTTCAAATAAAACTAGTAAAGAGGTGGTCACTCAAGACGCAAATAATTCGAGTTAAAAGTAATATCAAAAACTGTAAAACGAATAAGAAACAATGGTCAAAAAATATTTAAAAAATAATTGAGAAGTGCAAAATTTGAGGATAAAAGTGGTGAGAAAGTGATGAAATTTAAAGCAAAACAGATTAAAATCTGTTTGCATCATTGCATTCAACTTTCTTTTCTACATTTTTCACTTCTGCATTTTTGTGATTTTTTGATAGAGGTTTTAAAATAAAAACTTAATTAAGTATCTTAACTTAGTAACCTTAATTTATCTAACATGCCAAATTTCTACTCATGAACTCCAAATAGGATAAAGTAATGGCTTTAAAAATCGGTAGCTGGGTATACGTAGATAGGTTGTAAATTGTGTTTTTGCGTAACGTAATAAGTGAAAGAACCCTAATGCAAAATTAAGTAACAAGCAATGAATCTAAAGAGAACACCATTTTGCTATTTGAATTTTAATGTAAATACTAAAGTTCAAACAAAAAGCAGTATGATTCTCCCTCTGCAATTTGCATATGTCCATAATTCTTGTATCAATATCAATTTGCATTTTAAGAAATTTTCCTTCCTTTTTCTCTTATTTTGCTTTTTTTTTCGGTAAATACTGATTTTTCAATTTTCTAACGGTGAACGTAAAAAAACATGAACATAGATTCTTCATTTCCATTTATATGTATATATTTATATTGAGTAAGAGAGAGCAAATTTTATACTTATCATCATCATCATAAATTTTATAAAATACTTAGGGAGATTTACATAAAAAATAAACTTTTTCATCTCTTATAATTGTTTGTATACATCATACTCTATAAGGATATGGCATAATTTTATTTCTTTTCTTTATTTTAGAATGGATTATGTAAATATATGCTGCTGTATACTTGCATTCGTGCTTTATCTCAATACATTGAAGGCTGGCTTCGTTTACGACGATAGGTAAGTTCAACATTCAATTTAATTTAAATCTTCTCCACCAATAATTGTTGATTGGGTCAACTGTCAATTGTCTATAACGGCTAGACAGGCTATTCATTCATTATATTACATAGAGATCGAATTTTAAAATTAAAATTGTTTCAATTCAATCCATTTTCTGTTCCATGTCATTTTCCATTTCCTAATAATGGCGATTAAGTCTAAAAGCATTTAATAATGAAAATACGGTAGACAAAAAGCGGTTCCAATTATTTATTTGGTCACGCTATCGTATCATATTATAGAATGTTTCATTTCAATTTTATTTTCTCATTCTAATAAAAAAATAAAAAAATGGTAAAAATAGAAAAAATAATGCTTAACTTCATTCATTCATTATATACGAATGACGAAGGTGTGTTATTTGATAGAACTGGCAATAAGGATGTAAGAGAAATGAATAAGCAGTTGAATCGCAGAAGGAGAATATTAAGTGGATTATTTTAAGGATTGATTAGCTTTCATTTGCGTCCTTAATATCCTTTATTAAAATAAAATAAAATAGTCTATTGAAAAAGCATAATTGTTAATTGAAAAATTTCATACCTCAATCAAGAATATTCAAAGGAATATCAAAAGAAGGGTCAATATTTGTAATGGATCCTTGATTTGTAATTTACATTTTTCATACAAAAAGTAAATAATTCGATTTGAGTAGATTCGATTAGAACAGGATTATTTTGGAACAAAACTTACTCAAAAATATTGGATCGGCAAATAACTCGATATAACTGAGCTAGTAAAATAAATTCGAGCTCTTTACAATGCTTGGTTAAAAAATTTTATTATTATACGCCCCAAATGAGTGTGCAAAGTGTATTCCTAACAAAATAAGTGCGCTTAAAAAACATTAACAACAGTATTTCAATAGACACACAGAAACAACTCATGTTAACATATTTTTTTAAATAAACGTTAGGAGTGACAAATTAAAAAACTGTCCGAAATACATTCATGAACTGCACTTGCATGAAATCAAATTGCCTACAACTATTTCTGTATCTCACACCCGAATTTTTGGAAAAAACATAAAAGTAGAAAATGTTTATTTTTTTTTAAGTGTTCAAAAATAGTGAAAATTGTTTTTTTATGAGCATGTCATTTTTATCCGTGACAACAATCTTATTATTTTTCTTGTCTCTGTGACTTTATGTTTAATTTTTCTTTTTTATGCTGTTCCACTGGACAATTATTTATGATAATTTAATCGTTCCATTAGCATGAAACACTTTTCGAGCATTTTTATTTTATTTCATCACTTTCATGTTAAAGTGAGAAAATGATTGTGTCTTGACATTTTTATACAACTGAACTACACATTAAAAACCAGGAATGAAACAAATTTAGCTATTCATTCTCAACTTTTATAGCACCATTGAATAACTGCTCTTTCACATCATTACCAAAACAGTTGTTTTCATTTAAGTGAAAGTTGTGTCGTGAGTTGTGGAATTTGTGTCCTTTTGGATCCATTTGCATTTGTGTGTCACTGTTGTAAACTTTTATTATTATTTTAAAACTCTTAAAATCATCCTTTAACCTCAGTAGTTAGAAGTGTCAAAATATTAAAGTAGCTTCAATAATAAACAAGTGGGACAGGTTAAAAAGTCGAAACGAATTTATTCTTTTTTCTTACTTTTCTTTTCATTCTTGTTCCTCGTTATTCTCACTCTTGTCACTCAGGCGCGCGTATATAGCATAAATAAACCTATGTGAATTTGTATATATGAAAAAAAGGATGATACGCAAGGTGTTGAGCTCATGTCAAAAAAACAAAAATTAATATGCAGTAACGTCATTTTTTCTTGTATTGAGATTATTTAAGTCTCTTCTATCAGCTTTGTTCTAATTTATTAGAACATCTATGAATCTCCAAACCTTTAAATATGAATTTTCTTTTTTTTCTCTCATTATTCTATAAGAATGAAATGAAAATATTTCCTACTGTTTTGTGGTTTATTCATTCAGAATCCTATAGAATACACAAGACTATTTATTACATTTTTCTTTTATTTAAACATAATAAAATTATTAAATTTGTATAAACGGCGCAGGATTTTTTAGTGCCTGATGAAAACAAAGAAGAAAAAAACAGAAGTCCGAGAGTTGAAAAGAGAATTTTAACTACAGGCCGGATATACGAGTAATGCTGAAGTTTATTACCCAAACGTGATGCAAACTTTTGTTATCTCCGGATAATGTTTAATGGCACTAAAGTTATTCGCTGCTGCATAAGTTTATTCATGAAAACAAGGCATTTTTTGCAATTTAATTAGTTTGGCACTGTTTTTGAAAAAAAAAAGGAAATATTTTTCATATGCATAGAAATTATGCTTCATGTGCATAATAATTATTATTTTTAAATTAGAGACAATTTTAAAACGACTTAAAAGTCTCTTTTGTTGTTCTGCCTTTCACCTTAAATTTTTATGAGGAAATAGAAATTACTGAATGCTCAAGAAGTAGAAGCTGACCAACTGGTCAGTGATTCATTTTTATGTCGGATTGTGACAAATGAGCATATAATTGACTCAAAGAAAAGTAATTTTTTATTAAGCAACCACAAAAGGGATGGTTAGCAAGAGTAAATTCCTTTAGTTTAGGATATTTTTGTGGTTTTTATCCAACTGGATATACTTAAGAATTATGCCATAAGGATTGTTCACTTATGACTTCTAAAAAAACTACCTATTTGAGCTGTCACAGCAAAGTATGGTAACCTTCTAATTTTTTATGAATAAGTTTTGGCAAATATTTAATTTCTTGCAGTAGTAATAGAAATTTCATGCTGCCACATTTTAGAACACAAAATTTGCAGAATCACCAAACAATCGTTCAATTAAATTCTTATGCTAGAAGCAGTAGTTCCTCTTTCGTTCTCTCTAGTGCTTTATATCTTCAATACACAATGTATTAACCCATAATTATGTTTGAAATTTGAAAATCATAACTATGATAATCATAATGGAATTTCTGCTTACTCTGCCCGAAAAGTAAAATATATCCATTTATACTATACAATAGTAACATAAAAGCTATTGTTAGAAGAACAATTTTTTTTAAGAATTTCAATATAACATTCTTGTTTCTTTTTCAAACTCGTTTTAAATGTCAAAAAATAGAATTTTTCTACTTCCAGTGATATATCTACAAATAATTTATTTATTCACTTATTAATTGGTTTTATTGTTTTCAATTTGTTACAATTCTCAAAAGAACTCGAGCAAAAAGTAGACGGGATAAAACCAAGGTGGAAACAACATCGTGAAATGGATTCTTTTGATCAAAATTAGACTGGAAAAATAATTAAGAATGATAATATCTGCAAACGTAATGCCTTAATGTGTGGATTAAGCATAAATTTTTGCTTCGTAAAGTTAATGCTTGTGGATTTCCCAATTGCTTTACTTTACTTCTTTTTCTTTGCAAGTCGTTTCGTCAGTAACGAGAAGAAATTTATTTTATTTGAATCTTCATCTGTGCGTTTATTTGCTGATCTTAACACCTAATTAATAACTTTGATCAATTATATTCAACGAGTTTCAACGTTACGAGTTTGCTTTAATTTTGTGTATTGATTATAAGTTCAATGACTCAATAAACATGCAAACAATTCATTGTCATAAATACAAAAAAAGTAGAAATAATAAAAATTAAGAAGATGAAAGTGCAAAACGGCACACAATCAGCAATCAGAAGGATTATTAAATGTGATTAAATTAAATAAAAGTCCCAATTAAGAAAACTCGACTAACAATAAGTGTCGTACTATATTAAAATTTTTAACAATATATCTTTTGTCACATCATTTCTTCTTTTTGTTCATTATTTTAAATTTTTCCCTTCTCCTCTTTTTCATTTTAGACGAGCTATATTAAACAATCCCGATGTGACGGGTGCAACTCAACCGTGGTATCAGCTTTTATTCAATGACTTTTGGGGCACGCCACTTGTTGATTCCGGCTCGCATGGATCTTATCGACCTATGTGCGTGTTAAGTTACAAATTAAATCATATTGTTGGTGGACTCAAACCTTTTGGCTATCATCTGATAAATGTGCTTTTACACTGTCTATCTACTGGATTAGTTGTTAAGTTAGCTAGGTATATATTACCAAATGGCATTAGTATAATCATATCGGGACTACTTTTTGCCTCACATCCAATTCATACTGAAGCAGTGGCTGGAATTGTTGGACGTGCCGATTTAATAGCGTGCAATTTTTATATATTAACTATATTATCATATATAAAGCACGTTCAATGGCGTAAAAAATGTTATTTGCGACACTGGATGGCATTATGTGGTGCAATTTTAAGTGCTTCCGCTGCCGTTTTGTGCAAAGAAACTGCAGTCTCAGCTCTTGTTATCTGTATCATTTATGACATCCTGAAAGGATTCAACATAATTTTCAAAGATAAGGTAAGCTTAAAGTTTTATTAATTTTTAAGTCTAAACCCTCTGCTAAGTTATAAGTTATAAGTTCAGATGCAATGGTACATCGTTGGGTTTAGAAAACTTTAGCTTTAAACTAGAAATGTGCATGATGAATAAAACTAATTTTATTCCTTTTCTTCTTGTTACAGCATCAATTAAGGAGCATAGGAATAGTCGCAGTCGTAACTTTAACCATAATGCATCTCCGATTATCACTTCCCGGACCAACAAAACAGTTTTCAATAGCCGATAATCCAACCGCTAGGGTCAACTCATTAATGACACGTTTTTATACATTTTTATACCTGCCCGTATTCAATTTCATCATGCTCCTTTACCCACAAACATTGAGCTTTGACTGGGGTATGGATGCTATTCCGCGAATTACCTCATTTTTTGATTCGCGTAATTTTATTTCCATCGCATTTTATGCCGGTCTATGTGTTGTCATTATGAAATGTGTTGTTCGACTTCGGAAAAAGCCATCGATATCAATGAGTAGTCACAAAAACAGAAAAATAGTTAGAATGAAACGAAAACATCAAGTGATAAATAAAAATAATAATGATAATAAAAACAGTGAAATTTTGATAGATAATAAAAATGATAGTAATAATAATAATAATATAAATAATAACAATAATGAATATAATAATGAATATAAAAATAATAATAATAATGAAAATCTGATGGATAATAATAATAATAATAACAATGAAAATTTGATGGATAACAATAATAATAATAATAATTGTGAAAACAACATCACGTGGCCACTATCAAAACATAATCAATTATTAAGCACAGAAACAGGTTGTTCGGCATGCAAAAATAATAATTCAAACTATCATCAAATGAGTGCAAATCAAACGAATTATAATGATTATAATTATAGTATGATTATTCCATCATATGATACATCACATGTCATGAATGGATTAGAACAGAGTGAAATCAATAAATATAATCTTAATCAAAGTATATCACTATCGCCTTTAAAGAAATATATCAGAAACAATAATAATCTTGTATATTTGATGAACAAAGATGATAACAATAACAATAATAATGAATTCATTAATGATAATAACAACAATAATTTATATGTAATTGATAATAATAATTATACATCTCCGAAATCATCGACATTGATGTCGAAATCATCAAAGTTATCTGCATTGTATATGACAATTAAAGCGTATCCGATAAATAGGCAAAAGCTGATAGATGGCGTAAAAAATTTATCATGTCGAATCTCTAAAGCTGCCATTCATAATCTAAATAATTTTACAAATGAAGAGACTAATTCAAAACTCAGCAGTTCGGCTGCAATTCTTATATCCCTCACAATACTCATATTACCTTTTATACCGGCAACTAATGTATTTTTCTATGTGGGCTTTGTCGTAGCCGAGAGAATTTTGTATTTGCCAAGTGTTGGATATTGTTTGCTAGTGGGATTAGGTTTAGGTAAACTAATTAATTCACAAAAAAAATTAGAACATAATGTGCGAATGAGATATAAGAGTGATAAACGGAGCAATGCTAAATCAATTGCCATCGTTTTATGTATCATAGTCATGTTAAGTGCGTTCAGTTTTAAAACCATGATAAGAAATCGTGATTGGTACGACGAAAAGAGTCTGTATCGTAGTGCTGTAAACGTTAATCCTCCAAAAGGTAAGAAACAAAAAAAAAATAATGTTAGAATTCAAGCTATTGCAATTAATTTTAAAAGCTTATAAATTTTAAAAAATTAATTATAAAATTTTGGGTACCAACCTACATTTTTAAACATTTATTTACAAATCAAATTTTACTGTCTCGAAAGAAAAAAAAACAAACTATTAATTAAGCTAAGGTTTGGTAATGTTGTCATCTTGTTGATTGATAAAGCTTTGACATTTGTTTTAAAATTTTATCAACTTTTAAAGCATCCTTCACATCTTTCTTAAAGTTGGTAGAGTTGTTTTGCCCCTTAAGATATGAGAAAAATTGGTTAGACTTTTTATGTCTTTATTTCTTCTTGGTTTTTACTTTTTATATGTCTCTTTAAACTTCTTACGTTTTTTATGTTCTTTGCTTTATGTTTACATTATATTATGTTGTTTATTACCGTGAACACGGATTCACGCTTGTGCGTCACAAAATATAATAGTGAATGGTTGTATTATAATTTTTTTACATTTTTATAAAAAGATATCATAATTTTTGATTATACATCCCTTTCACTGTGCTGTTATACGTACATGCACTCATGAAAAAGCAATATATTCATTTTAAATTCTTGTTTATTGTTTGGTCGAGTTTCTCATACACAATATCAGATTTGTGTCGCTCTTCCTCTGTGTATTTTCTTTTTATACGGTTAGCGAGGCAAAGGGAGTGAACATCAGTGAACATGTGGATAATTTTTTTAAAAAGTTATTCAATTCTATTTATTGATTTGAAAACTTTTTTTTAAACTTATGCTTAAGAATATGAAGAAGTGAATATAATTAAGATTGTCCTGGAATATTTTTGCTATTCCTTATTTTATAAACAAGTGCCATACCCCTAGACATATATGCCCTTTTCTCTACATATCTCCATTTTTCCCACTCGTTCCCTTTTTCTCCATGCTATCATAAAAGAGAAAGCTTCAAAAAGCATTGCCAGGACATGCATAAATTATAAAGTTGTGGGAATAGTCAGAGTTTCTAAGTGAATGTCTTTATATACTTGATATAGAAAACTTGTTTCATGTGAATGAGACGAGGCAAAAGTTATGTTTAAAATAAATGCTCAAAAGAATCAAACTGGAATTTATTTCTCGAATTCTAAAATGTCACAAACCTAAAAACGTTGTTCAACTTCATTTTCATCGTTTCGAGAACAAAAACTTTAAACGCAAAAAATATTTAAATCTTAGGTAGAAAAAAAAATGATTGCAAATTTTTGATTGCAATCTTGCCACATCTTTGAATTTAATGCTTCGTACCTGTGAATATACATCCACCAAAAAACATTTTCTAATGTACATCTCATTCCCATCAGACTTGAAAAGTAAACTTTCTGTAGAAAATTTCATGTCAATTTAATTTAATTTTTTAATCACATTGAATGCAACGAGCTTTATTTACTAAGTTTATATATTTTTTCCATTCAAATCAATTTCTATTTCACTGACTCGATACATATCTTCAATAGAATATTAAACTAATGTATAATGTACGAGAAGGCAAAAAAGGGTTGAAAATATAAGTTACAAGATAGGTTAATACGATAATGTGTTCTCGCCTTTTCATTTTGAGCCAAAATGTTTCAACAGTGAAATAGATATATGTGTTTGGATCTTCACAGTTGAGTAAAAAAAGTTTTGTTTTTCCAGGCAGGCATGATTATTGTGTGAGAAATATTTTTTCCTTATACAATCCATTTAACAAATGTAAAGCTGAAGAGCTTTTTCTTTTTAATTTGATAAAATAGAACTTAAATTCTATGTAACTGAATTTATTCTATTCTCTTTTTACAGCACTTGGAAACTTAGGAAGCATTTTCTGTTCACTAGGTCGATATTTGGAGGCTGAGAAAGTTCTAAAAGCAGCTCTCAAGCATCGACCCAACATGGCTGATGTTCATTATAACTTGTAAGTACTTTTCAATGATTATTTTGCTCATATTTATGGATTATTTTCCACGAGTTTAAGCTTTCAAAAGGTTCAAGGTTCAGAATTTCTCAAATGGTCGTAAAAATTTCAAATTTTAGTTTTTTGTGGTTGCCGTTAAAATAAATTTTATGTATTAAACGCCGCATTGTGTTCATCATACTCATCTTAGACAGCGAGAAAAAAACCTTTATATATCAAGAAATGGATTGGTCGGTGGAATATTTGTTTCTGAGTATTTATAGAATGAATAACCCTTAATATCTCACATTGAAAAAAAAAAATATTAAAATTATATTAAGATTAAGGAAATCGAAGAGTTAAATTAAGAATTTTAAAAGTTTGAATTTGATTTTTTTTTCTGTGGTGACAAATATTTCGGTCATTTTTTTTAATTACTGTTTTTTATGAGGTCTTTATAAAACATGAAAGACTGCAAAGCTATACAAAAATGTTTACTTTAATGAACATTTTAGTTTATGTTTCATTTAAAAAAATAAACCTGTAAAAAGTTATGAGCTCTTAAAGTTTTTAAGAAGGAGAATACTATAATATTCAGATTGTTTACCTACTTAGAATGAAAAAAAAAATTTTGGTCACATAAAAACAATTTTAAATGCTAATGAAATGAAGAAACCTAAAGAATTCCATCCTTATCAGACGTATTCATTCGATTTAGATTTTTTTTAATCTCGCCTTAGTAAATGCGGTTAAAAAGCGGTTTATCTTTATTTCAAGACGATCCTTGTTATTATCATGGTATAAAAGTTTAAGATTATTATCATTATTCGTATTTTAGTATACAAAACAACTTTTACAACGTGCTCTAAAAATACAAAAAAAAACATTCTTCCAGTATTAAGTGCCATACATAACTATTTAAAGTGTATGTCTAAAAATCACGCAATGTTCAAATGCTAAAGTGATTCTGAAATTGTTTTATGTTTTGTGATTTTACTGTTTAGATTACGGCACTATGGTATGAGTGTAATTCATCGTGACATTTTATCAAGTGTCGGTTGAATGTGAGACTTTATATCTGCCTACAATTAATAACAAAGCTAAAGTTAATAATATTCTCCCACTCCCATCAATTTCATAATTTTATCTCTCGATTTCCCACACATCGACAAAAAAAGCTCGTCTCTCACTTTTAAGTAAAACCAATGTAACTTCCAATTCTTGCAATGAAAAAAAGTTACTAACTTGATTCTCTTTTATTCTTTTCTTTTTTCAGAGGAATTTTGTATCAAAATCAACTAAAATATGAGAATGCTGTGCAAAGTTTTCAAAAAGCTATTCATTTTCGACCAACACTTGCATGTAAGTAGGACAAACGACATTAAATTATTAAATTTTTATTACAACATCGATAACAAGAGAAATCAATGATATTAATGTATTCGCCAGTATTCGCAATACGAAAAATAAAACTTTAATACCAGTAATGCAGAATGGAAAAAGATTTATGTCGTCAATTAGATAATGAAGTAAAAAAGTGGATTTTTAATGAAATTACATAGTTCAAATTGAATGCTTTTATTTCTATAATGTATCACATCCAATCCTCTGTTTTTTTCACACTCAGGTATAAGTGTCTAAAGCAAATTTTTGTAGCGTCTTCTGCGTTTTTTGGAATTTACTTAAGAAACTTAAAACTCAATATATAGTGATGCAATTTTAAATACATTATAAAGTCACCTTACCAGACATCCATTTAACCTCCTTTACAACAAGTCACTCACATGAATTTTTTTTGAAATGAAGATATAAACACAAACAATGCTTCTGAAAGAATAAAAAAAAATGTTCGAAAAAAGAATAAAATATATACTTCCCAAAGTGGGTTAAAAATCAATAATTCCATAATCAAGCGTTATGCTGAGGGATTCCGGAATGGGAAATGAGTTTTTAAGCACGTTTCCATTTTTCTTTATTTTTATTACAATCTTGTTGATTATAATCGATTATTTCATATCTTGAGAATCAAAGAAACTTGTGAATTTTCTTCCGGTAAAAAATAATGAATGAAAAGAAGGAAGTCGAAAGATAGATAAATTGAAAGAAGTTATAAGAAATATGATTGCACTCAATATTCATTTCCTATCCTCGTTTATTTGATTTGACAACAATATGTATTAACTAGAAAAACCGAGGTCAAGTTAAAATTTTCCGAGATCTGCAGATGCTCCGTTTGTACTTCTGTCTGGACTTTTTTTGTTAAAAAAAACTCATTCAAAGTAAATTATGTATCAAAAGATATCTCCTATTTCCGAGAAATTGAAATCAAAAAATATTTTCAATCAGACTTTATTTTTAAAAGATATGGGCACTACCACTGGATTTAAGACACTGCCAATTTTTTTACTTCTCACACACGCTATAGTTTTAACTACAAATTTTTAAAAATATCTCAACAATAATGATCAGGTAAAAATTAAAATACTTTGTTTTTCATTACAGTGGCTTATTTGAATCTTGGCACATCGCTCATTGCATTGGGTAGATGTAATGAAGCAGCACTAGTGTTACGTGATGGAACAAAATTAGATAGTTCTGGATTAAGAGATAAAACGGAGCATGAGAATGCTAGAATTAGTTCTCTTATACAGCTCGGTGGATTATACACAGAACAAGGAAAATTACAACGAGCATTAGCCGTGTATCGAGAGGCATTACATACACTTCCGTCATCATATCCACCACAAGTGAGTTTTTTTTCTAAGGGTATCAATTTTTCATAAGTTTATGTTTCTTACACATTTATTAAAAAAAACGATCGATTTACGAATAGGGAATTTATGAATCACATGTTCATCATCTACATTTCTTCATATCTCTCTCTTCCCATTAAACTGCATTAAACCAGCAACAGTGCAATATTGTTATTGTTAATTATTTACAAAAAAATCTTCTTCTACAGGATTCTGTAAGATTTATTCCAAAAAGAAAACATTGCATCCTATGGCTTCCTGTAATCAACATCCTTACATGAATGAGATAGAAACAAATTATCAGACATGACAAATTAACTTAAAGTTTTTTGTATGTATGTGGCATATTCATTATGTTGCTAATACATCACGCATACTAATTCTACAGATTCTTTTTACTCATTGTTGCTCGCCAATATACTCGCTCGATATTGTTAAGCGAGAAATTTTTTCTAGATTCACCGAAGAATAATGAAAAAAGTTTTTCTACCAACCCTTTAACATTGTAATAATGATGAAAAAAAAAATAATATGAAAAGTAAAGTAAACAGATTTCTCCTCTTCCTCCATTTTCCCACATACACACATTCTTTCTCTATGAGGATGCGAGGAGCGAACTTTGAAAAAGCTTAATTTCTCATTTTTCATTTAAATATTTTTCAAACTTTCTTTCTAAAAGCACCAGTTGAATTTTGATCAAAGCAAAGCATTTTACGTGTATGAGAGCCCGTTGAAAAATTTAGAAGAATTAGATCAACGAAAAAATGCTTTTTAATGTTGACATTTGGATGTGGGTTTGGAATTGATTTGATGAGCAAAAAAGGTTGAAGGATTTTTTATTCCAAAAATATTAATGAGTTGACTGTACAATTATAACCACTTGCTGTAACTTTATAGATTTTTTTTAAATGTTGCTGCTGTGTGTGATTAAAAAAATAGTCTTTTAAATGAGGAATATGAACTTTTTCATTAAAAATGGACGAAAAACGAACTGATGAGTGAGTTATCAAGCTACATTTATGAAAACAAGTTTTCAAAAATGCAGTCAGAAAGTGAAAAATAAAGTAGGACTTCTGTTACAAGAGAAGGCACATTTATTTTAAATCAAATTCAGCATTAATATTTTTGTGACATAAAATAAATGCTTAAACCTAATTATCGAGGCCTAACACAATAAAAATTTATAATGATGGTTCCTCCCTCTTCCACTCCCTTAATAACTACATATTTGTAGCGCATTTTCATGTTATGATTTTAATTTCTTTTGTAGCATTGCAGCATCTGTTTGAAACAATCAGAAAACAGTTTCCAGTTTTTCCATTTTGGAAATGGTATTGGGAATTCCTTATAGCGCAGTCGCATTTAAAAACTGTTGCTTTAAGAATTTTAAGACATGAAAAAACCAACACAAAGGAAAATTTAAAGCATAAAAATTTTGGAATGTTTAAATCAGTTTCAGTTTCTATCAGTTTCTAAAATTAGATTTGTAAAATTTGGTTTCAAGAAATATATAAATAGATTAAATTTCAACCTTTTTATCAATTTTTTTATAATTCAAAATTTTATGAAATATTTTTTCCAATAATATTTTTCTTTAGTCTCAAGAGTCAATAATTTAAAAAAAGCTCAATGTACAGAAATTCAAATTCAAATATTCATGCATAGCCTTGAGAACCGTAATGTCTGTATAACAAAGTGCTATTGACTAAAAGATCATTGATTTTCCCTCAACTAAATAGAAATAGAAATATTTCATTTCAAGTTTTCAAAAGAAAAATTATTTTAATTCTTCTTTTCTGCCATTTTCATGACATTAGCTTTGTTTGAGATACTCTTATCACTGTTTTGGTAAATAAATAACTTTATGGAATTTGAAAAACTAAGCGGATGAGAAGTTTTTGCATAATATTTAAATTCTACTGTCTGGATGGGGCTTGAAAATTTGAAAATAAATTTTATATTGTCATCGACATTTTGTGTTTGCGAACAGATTTTTTTTTAAATAAAGTTACAAATATGTGATATTAATCTCATTAATATGAAAATTTTGTATTAGATTTTTAATTTTTATCAGATTCTTTTAGATTTTATGCAAAAATTTTATTTTTCTGAAATTTTGTGCTGTCAGACAACCATTTTGAATAGGGCAACCATTTTTACATTTTATTATTTAAAAATGAATAAAACGAATGCATTCCAATTAATCAAATTCGCCAAGAAATTCTTCTTTTAAACAATTAATTCATGAAGGTCTATCAAATCGATCTTCGTGTATTGTTACATCAAACAAATCCTTTAATAGAGTCATACCTCTTGATTACTGCCTTAAATAAATTCTATTCATAAACCAAAACTCACTATTGATAACCAAAGTCTCCAAAAAAATTTATAAATATTTCATTACTTAATCTCATCTCTTTAGATAATTTAGAAACTACCTCATGAGTTTACCTCGTGCTTGAGATATAGATTTTGTAGAGCGTATCATAATTTATGAGACAAGATATGAATATTTAAAGATTTATGCTTCGATTATTGCTTTGTTATGAAAAAGATCAATTTCAGTGCTCTTTTGTTCAAGTCTTGTAATGCAATATGTAGATTGTCAACAATACATGCAGCAATGTTCTGCTATAAAAAGTTTTTTTCAGCTGAAAATGGTCGATTAATAAACAGAGAAATTTTTGCACATTTTACAAACAGTATCTTGTTGTATATTTTGCCATTCATGCTTTATGCAATAACATAGCATAAAAGGAATTTTCATTTTCAATGAGGCAATAAAAGATTTTTTTTTCATGGCACACCAACTTCGAAAAAATTCTCCGAAAAGCACACTGAAGTGGCAGAAAAAAATTACTCCCAGTATTAAAAGAAGATATAATTAACGGCATTTTGGATATAACTTTTGAGATAAGATTGGCGTTTTCTTCATCTAAATGCTCAAAAACAATCTCAATTCGTACAAATTTTTGAGTGTTTCGACTTTTTAAATTTTTAACGATTTTTTAAACTCGTAAAGTATGCAACGTAAAGAAAAAAAATGCGTACGACCCTAAAACGAAGTGTTTTCCAAAAATAAGATGTTCCTCATTCGTATATAAATGCTTTCAAAATAGGTCAAAAGGAGAAAGACGTCAAATTTAGCTCGAAATTTCAAGTGACATGAACAAGCATAAAACTAGTCAGTGCATTTATTTACACATAATTATCTATGTTATTACACTCTATAATCCCCTCAGTGTCTTCAATATTTTGCATATAAATAGCATTAGAGTAGCAAACTAACAGCATTGTGTAGACTGAATGTAAAACTTTTCTCGTTATAGTGCTTACTACTTGAGAGAGAGAGAGAGAGAAAGAGAGAAAGCTATTTTGATATTTAACTTCCTTGTAACTTACGCCTTTATATCATCAATTGCAAATAAATTAAATTTGTAGAAACAAACTTAATTGAATATATTTTTTTTTTTATCTTTTTTGCTGCTTCTTTTTTCCTTCTATTTCAACTATTCGTACTTATTTACATGGTGGTGGTGCGCATAGGAAATTTATCATCGCCTCGGTGATGTGTTTTTAAGACTGAATAAATGGCCAGAAGCAGAACGTTTTCATCAAGCAGCACTAGAAGCCGAACCAAATCATATAGGTGCTCACATTTCATACGGCACAATACTCGCACGTAATGTAAGTATAATAAGCTTATAGATGTTTTCGTAAATGTACAAGTTTGCTCCTTGTTTGTGTGTTTTTTTTTGAAGATTAATACGCACATAGCGTGTTGTGAATTTTGTGGACATGATGACAAACTTATGTTAATATTTTTTATTTCATTAATTTTATTTTAATTAGAGTAGTCGATCATTAGACGCTGAACAATATTTTAAACGTGCGATTCGACTTGCTCCACTCGACTCAAGTATTCATCATCATTATGGTACGTGACGAGTGCTAATCATTTATTCATAGTCAAATTCTATTTTCTATTTTTTTCTTCACTGTTTTTATTCATTTAAACAGCGGAGTTTCTTGCGTCCATTGGACGTCATGAGGAAGCTTGCAAGAGTAGAGTGAAAGCGGCTGAATTGTCACCAAATAACTATAATTTAGTAATGGCTGCAGCGACTTCATTAAGATGGCGAGATAGAAAAGAGGATGCTTTAAAATGGTATCGACAGGTAAGCAGGAATTGAACTGGATCTTTAAAAATTTCAATAACCTACGAGGACTATGCTTAGTTTTACACAGCACAGTCCTACATTTTTCTTAACTTTTCAAAAATTATGAATTTTTGTTATGCCTTAATTTGTCTATCAAATCGGAAAATTAATAAAAAAAATTATTGTCTAAAATTTTTTTAGGCAGTCAATCTGCGTCCGAAAGATGCACTTGTTCATTCAAATTTAGGTGCAATTTTTCATATTCTTGGTCATACAGAGCTAGCCATCCAAAGCTATAAAACTGCTCTAAATCTTCAACCAAACGATGCCACAACATTGAATAATTTAAAAAAATTGAAAGTTATTGAGTTCTCATGAAACTCTCTCCATCTCAATTACTCTCGATAAAATATTATAAAAAAATAAATGAATCTTATATAAAAATCATCCACATATGGCATGCAGCTGTTATATATTTAAATTACTGATGCCATTTTTCTTATTATTTATTTTTCATACAAGAATGTCAAAAAATCATAAAATGAGCTGAAGTCTTCTTCCTTTTCTCACCATTTATAGTTATTACAATTTATTCAAAAATATATTTTTTCCCCAAAACATTATTATTCGAATAAAAAAAATTTTCATGCCATGCCTTCAAACAAAGTATCAAAATGATAAATTATCAAATCCTGCTTGTAAAAAATACATTACAAAAATTATAGAACATCATACAAATAAAAAAAAGTCCTCGTGTTATTGGTCGAGGGACTTCAGCACATTTTTGTCGTAGCAATCAGTATTTTTTTAAGCAACCTAATGCGAGTCAATAAGCAAATAGTACCAAAGGTTTGTCTTAGCAAAGCTTCTTTGTTTTAAACATTAGGTACAATTTTAACGTTTTATTTCATTTATCGGGAGAAATAAATTTTAATTTCTAAACGTACTTATCACGTGTTTTTGTATGAAATAGAAAAACCATTAATTTTAGTATGAACACACTGTTTCAAGACATTTAATTATTCGATGAGCTGATAAATCAATAGTAACAAAGCTAATAAAACAAACCCGAAGTCTCTATGATTTATGGTTATGGAGATCTCAGATTTCGGACAGCCGAACGAACAGCCAAGTTGCATTTTTAAAGTTGTACAAAAAATTACTACAAAAAAAATTAATTTAATATCTTTGACTGATACCATATTTTTGTGAATGCACTTTGTATGACACAAAAGGAAGAGAAGTAAATTAAAATTAATTTATAATTAATGCAAAAGACTTGCGCATCAATAATAATGAGAGAGCAAAAAAAAATCTAAAATTTGTGTTTAAGCGACAAAAAATAAACTATGTAAAATAATGTAAGGGGTCGTTCACTTATTATGTTTGGGGGGGTGGGGGCGTAGACGAGATTTCAACAATAGAAATTCTGAGATTTTTTTTTGAAAAATGACCATTATTTCCGAACGTAATAAGTGAATTATCCCAAATCAATTCATGGAATCTTTTGTACGAAATCACCCAAGCAGCACAAATTAGACAAAAGATTTCGTAGGAATGTAGCCTTGTGTCTACCAAGTTACATGAGAACTGAATGAGTAACCTTAAACCCTCAAACTTGTGAGAAAAAAAAATTACAGGAGTTGGAAGGAATATAAAATTTCAAATTTTCAAAATCCATTATTAAAGATTCTGTATTAAATAATCTGTAATAAATGCATCAAACGTCTTACTTTCTTCGGACTACCATTATTTAAATAAATATGAGAGCGCAACGATAAAAAACCAACAGAAGAAATTTATAGAATTTAAGTAGATATTAATTAAAATAAATGAAATAAAAAAATATTTGAAATAAAAATTATTATTGAAAAAATAAACTGAATAAAATTCATGTTTTGATTTTCATTTTCAGATATCAAATTCTTATTAATTTCAGCTCTTAACTTTTCGTAGCAAAAATATTTTATCCTAATTAAGTTGGAACCTATTACTCCCTTGCGACGCTTTCATGATTTGGTGGCTGTGCCTTTTTCTTTTAATTCAAAAAATACAATTTATAAAACTAAAATGAGACTTTCAATAAGTCGAGAGCTTCAAAAATGTTGAAATGATATTTTTGAAGAGTTTTTTAAAAAAAATGTATAGAGCTCGAATTTTCAATTCCATTTTCGTTTTTATCCTCCTCTAAAAGACCCCAACAAATTTGACACTAACCAAAATCGCTCGTCAATTTTTTCTTCCCTTAAAATGTTACAGCAACTACAAAGTCTGCTGTAACGCGCACTGAACATTCATATGTATAAAATTTTCATGATGGGATGTTGTTTTTAATCTTTGTTATATTTTCTGCAGCAACAAGCAACTTTAAAATTTATGCTTTAATTTATATGCATTTTATTTATTATTAATTTCCATAATCCATATTGTCATATCGTCTCTTATTCACTCTCTCACATTCCACTTTCATTATTAATAGTTTTGGTTCCGATGTGCATGTGTGTGATGGATAAAAAAGTATGAAGAAGAAATTTTTTTTTAAATCCCATTTTCTCGTGGATGATATACATCGTTTCACATTCATGAAACAAATAACTTTTTGCATGGATTTGCAAAACGAACATTTTGGTACAAAACCCTAAATCTTAACTCCTTATAGTTGTTACCCGCCCGAAAAAAAAAACAATTTTATTATATCCACAACTTGAATTAATGACATTTTACGATTGATTCATACATAAGTACGAGAAATCAAAATCTTATAAAAAAGAAGAAAAGTTCAAAATCATTAAGTACAATCGTAAATGTGCTTTAAACATGCTATTTCATAATCAGAAAGTTTTTTTTATTCATTCGTTACATTTCTCCTCGTTTTCATGCAATTATCCCTTTCTACGAAACTGTCTTACTTACTTGACTTTTATATATATTATGTTGTTATTTTTATATTTTGTGCTATATTCAAGGTAGACCAACTTCGTTTAAATTCACTGAAAAGCTAACTGAGGGCGCAAAAAATGACTACTCGATTTATCGTTCTTTCATTGAATGAGTATTTTATAGTTTTAGGAAACAATGCTCTTATAAGTCCACTTTGAAAAAATAGGTGCTAATTCGTAGGTTTGAAGATAATTCGTTCACATCTGTAACGGTGACTTCTATACTTGTTTTCTTCAACCTCAGAGTTCTTTTCAGTAAAATCCAACGAAGTTGGTGCACCTTGGTTATATTCCAGAAAAAGTTTTCGACTTATGAAATGAGCTTGAATATTGCACGAACACTTGTAACGAGCAGCAAAAAAAAAGTTTTACGTGGAAGGTGAATGCATGAGATTTCGCATAATGAATCAAAACACTTGTTGATATGCTGCTATGAAAAAGGAAGAAGGAAAATTATGAAATGAATATATTCGACTGACTTGTTAACTTAAAACTGAATAGAAATCGGAAATGAAAAACAGCATTATAGTTATTTTTCTGAGAAAAGGGTTCCATCATTGAGAAACGGGTAAATGTTTTTTGAAACCTCCTTATGAAAAACTACACAAAGAATTGAAACACAAGATGCTCATATCAATCAAAATTCAACATCATTTAGATTATTCAACTTTTTTTTTCTCACACCGAAAAATTAATTTTTCCTCGCTCTCGTTAGCTTCTGCTGAATATTACATATATATTTAATCAAATTCATAGATGCTAAGTAATCAATCATAACATAAAATAACAGTTTCATAATGAATACTGAATAGTGAGCAATGTTGGACGAAGTAATATTCTGTTCTTAGTAACCTAGAAATCATTTATAGTAGCTTTTAGATGAGAAGTTTGTTACGGAAGTGGAGATGTGAGGACCTACTGATAAGCAGATAGAGCTGTTTTAACGTGGTGTAAGCCCTATTGCTTCTGTTTCCCATTTGATTTTTTCGTTGAGGAATTTGATGTTGTTACTTGGAAATTGCCAGGATTACCTATTTGTTTAGATTAATCTTCCATTTGTCAATGTATTGTTGAACTTTTCTTCCTGTATGCTGCAGATGCGTTACAACATTGGCCGAGCTTTCTGCAAAATCGTACAACTTTCAGAAATGCTTTAAATTAGACTCGTTGAATTTAATTTATTATTGCAAATTGTGATCCTTCGAACAAAATTCTTTAATGAGTATCTCTCCGATCTAAAACACATTTCCTTTCCTCTATTTGATGATGGAAGGCAGAAGAAAATAATAAAATGATGGAAACAAACATGTGTTGGAAAAGAGCACGTAAAGATTTAATTTTCTTCACTCAAATAAAATGGTTTAGATATTTTATAGCACATTTTCTTACTTCAGATAAAAAGCACTGTTAACTATACTTTGTCCGAAGTTCCGTCTGCTGACCACAGAAAGTAAAGATAATGAAAGGTCCAATTAAATTCATATTTGACACATGTTGAGAACCTGACCGAATCTAGGATTACGAAACTGGCCACTTCTTTTCATTCATATTCTATAGGTATGACAGTGGCTGTTCCTAAATAGGGAAAAAGTCTACAACCGGAAAATGCGTTTCTGTTTTACCCGTTTATGCTTAATACGTAAAACGAAATCCGAATACACTGACACGTAAAACTTTTCCATTCTTAATTATATAATTGAAGGAATGTGAATAAAATACGAGACGTAAAAGATCACTTCAACGTATTCTTTTTCTCGATGACCGTTCAAAACAACTAAATTTAGATAAGATAGGCTGAATTCATTGATTAAAAATTCCTCACTTAGTTGCAACTTTTATGAAATAAAAAACCAGCAAAAATTTTATTCTTTTGAATAAAGCACAGAATCAAGAATAAAAACTCTAAAAACTTTAAGCTATTATTCAACCATTTTAACAAAAAACAACAACAAATTATAAGGAAAAAGTAAATCTTTTCTTGATAAAACAGCAGATGTGTGTGATGCTGACAGATAAAGAATTTCATTTTAAGTCACATAAAGTTGTGCTCGTGTAAAACGTGAGTGGGAAACTGTTGTAAGAATGTCAAAGCTGTGCTTTATTAGAAAACTTTCCGTAAAGATATTATGTATGTTCGTTTTACCTAAACTTTTATTCCCACTATTCATGTGTGACATTTAATAAATTAAGGGGGTTATATGTTACCAATGACACTTATAGAACTTATAACTATCTGAGACTTTACATTCTTGCGGAATAAGTGACAATCTTTTAAATCCGAGTTTTGTTTTTGGAGGAGTTTGGTGAGTGGAACTATTTGAGGCAATTGGAATTAAAAAGTAATAATCTTTTAAGGCAGTGTTTTTCAAACGTTTGCAATAAGCTAACTTCAATTTTAAATATGTAATGGCCTAAATATGTTTAAAAGCTTTGAACCATCTGAATTTCAAAATTTCTTAAGTTCGTTTTTTCAAAATCAAAATTAAAAAGTAAGAAGAAGAAAATAAAATTTTTTTTGGAGATGAGACAAACAAAGGTACTAGAAATTTTGCTCACAATTTTCACATTCATATCTTTTTTAAAATTTTGTCTATGCATAAAACTGAACAAGGCAAACAAGAATAAAAGTTTTTCTCAGAGTATTTTTTGCAGTGCCAGAAGATAAGGGAAATTTTTTTTTTGAGTTATCATCTTGTATACATAAAAAGCTATTCAACAGTAAAAGAGGAATAATAAAAAATTCTATAAGAATCGACATCAAAATGAAAAGAAAAAAAAGAAAAAAAATCACAACAAATGTTGTGGAAAATTTATTTATTCATAAATATAATTTCTCATTTTATTCGTTTCCACAGTTCAGTTCCTTCGCTGAATAGGTAAAAATGGTCTTAGTATTCATTCATTACAATATTAGCAGTATCGCATATAATAATAATAGATATGCTCATGAATTTTTTACAAATAGCTTTTTCCTCTTTTTTCTTTATAATGCTTTTCTTCTCTCCATACATGTATGTACCGTAGCACATAGTATGTTGGGTGGCTTGAACTTAATACAAAGTCAAAGAACTTTTATGAAACCATTCATTTCGTCACCATGATGAAAAAATTAAAATGAAAGTAAATATCTGTCTGACCATTCATTTAAGTTTAACAGTTAAATTGGTTAATGTAATTAAAATAAATCGATTTTCACAATGAATTCCCTTGAATTCGAGCTCGAATTAATCATTTGTTTTTGTATAGAAATCACTAGTGTGTAAATTACTCGTGCTAGATCAACTACTTGCCAATATATTCTTAAATATATGCATAAGAAGCAACAAAAAAAGCAGTCACAAATTTCGTCAAAATATTAACTTCCTCGCAAAAGTGTGTAAGTTATTAATTTCACACTCATTGATAGTATCTGTCAACATGTATCAAGTATGTTCACAAAGATAATTAAATTTATTGAAGAACTATTTTTTATGTTAATCAGTCATGTCGACAACTGCTGTGCTCTTTTTTATTGTAATCATTAGCCAAGCGTGGAAGTTCGTGGCTTTCTACTTTAGTCATGTTTTTTTCGGATATCGGTTCTTATACAGCATATATAACCTTTGCATAATAAAACAATGTTTGGAGACGCCTGCTCTAACATATTACATGGTTTATACAAATATAAAATAAATAAAAGAATAAAAGGAAAAAAATATTTCTTTTACTACTCAACAATGTCTGCTAGAAGAAAGTAGAGAATGCACAAAAATAAGAAAAAGGCGTACACACTATGGAAACAAACAGAAATTTCGGTAAAATGTATAGAAAATGAAAAAATGCGATTGAAGTGCAATTATAGATAACAACATGCTTATTAGTTTTTAAAACTTATTCGAAGTTTGTAAAATAATTTTAGTCTT